TTTGCAATTTTTGGCTGTTCCATCGAAAAATGCCAATGCATATTGCTCGCGACCATCGCACTATCAAATCGACCACCCACATGTGGCACACCATTCGACAGCTGAAAACCTCAACTATTCGGAATAAATTCATTTGAATTCGAACCAAATGTTGGAAAGAAGAAAAATAGGATTGAAGAGATGGACTCCCAGTGAGATTGGCCGAAGACGATGTCATGCGCGTAATGAAACAAGAACTTGACAATGACGTCATCATGAGCGGAGCTGTTCGCCTAGTTGCATACGAAGGTTTCTGTGAATAGTTTGTCGGGGCCCCCACCCTCTGTCTCCAAGGGTCGGGATATAATGCAATGACCAAACTCCGCTGGATCGACGGCCTCACCAGATGGAGCGGTCTCAGCGTGGATAAACTAACTGCGGCGACCCTTCAGCGAAGGAAATCACCCCTTCACCAGTCACACAACCCAGAAGAAGTGGACGGTTGTTGCGTCAACGGGCAGTAGCCTACGACGTCTGATGATGATGATGATGATGATGATGATGATGAAAACAAAAGAAGATTGGGAAATTCCAGGCCCTCCCCTTCTGATGCTCCCCGGGATATTCAACCCTCCTGGTTTGGAGTACCTTAACCCCCCCCCCCACCCCCACCCCCGACTCATGCGGCCCCACCACCTCTCTCCCCCCAAGAGCAGCACGTCTTAAGATTAATAACTAAAAGAACATAAAGGACATTCCACCCTCTTTGTTTTGGGAAATCCCCCCCGCCCCCACAACCCCTACCCGGCCTCAACGGGGTCCGCTCATAAGTCCGACGCCTCATAAATCCGACAAAATCACATCCCCTAACCAAATAAAGGCCCATAAGTCCGACGCCTCATAGGTCCGACGCCTAATAAATCTGACGCCTCATAGGTCGACGCCTCATAGCTCCGACGCCTCGTAAGTCCGACACTCGTTTTTCCGTTGTCGGACTTTTGAGGCGTTGGACTTATGAGGCGTCGGATCTATGAGGCGGAATAAATAAAGTCCGACGCCTCATAAGTCCGAAATTTCGGACTTATGAGGCGTCGGACCTATGAGGCGTCGGACTTATGATACGGTCCCGCCTCAACCCGGCCCGGTCCATGATATCGCAGTAAAAGAAAGTCTGGTCGGGAACGTCATTGCACCAAATTAAAAGACAAACTTCACTTGTTGGAAAAAACAATTTCAGCCCTCTTGGCGTGGTTTGAACACCACGCTCCCCCCCCCCCCCCCCCACACCGCCCCATCCCCAGGGTCGGAATATGGTATCCAGGGCAGGGAAAAGGAAAAAAAGAAAGTGGTATTCCCAATAATAAAGTCACATCATTTATCAGAAAACAAAACATCTTGATTATTTGGTGACTGCTCTATGTTCCGACACCCCTTTGTTCCGACAACCTAGATTGTGTTACTCCCGGTTAGGGTTAGGGCTAGGAATAGGAATATGTGCAGTCGGAACATAGGGGTGTCGGAACATAGAGGTGTAACCGATTATTTTATTAATCTTGGGTTTTTATTAGAACGCGCGCGGTGCCGGCGGGCCGGATATAACCGGCGTGATCATTTGAAAATCATTCGCAATTTTTGGCAGTTCCAGTGATGAATTTCCATGCATTTTGCTCGCGACCATCGCACTATTAAACCGACCACCCACTTAGGCCACACCATTCGCCAGCTAAAAACTCAACTACTCGGAATTAATTAATTTGATCTCAAACAAAATGTTGGAAGGAAGAAAAACAGGATTGAAAGATGGACTCCCTTGGACAATACGAAGTTTGAGTTACAAAAAGGAAAACGCTAAAACAATATTTTAATCGTCAAAACTCACCCTTTCATTTAACAATTTTGACTCTGTCTTCGGCAAAAGGAAGCAGACATGATTCTGTTGCTTTCAGCATGTAAATTTCTGGCAGGTGCATCCTCCGATGTAGGCCTACAGTGATATTATTCATAAAACTGAAGGAGTTTGGCCGAAAATTGACCGAAGTAGATGGCATGCGCGTAAGCAAGAATTTCATGATGATGCTATAATGAGCGGCGCTGTTTACCTAATTTGCATATCAAGATTTCTGTGTTGGTGGGGGCCCCCACCACCCATCACCCACTAGGGTCGGGATATGTTGCAAGGACCGAAAAAAGAAAAGGAATATATGAAATTCCACCCTCCTCCTTTTGAGCCCCCCCCCCCGGATTTTAAGCTTCCTGGTTTTGAGTACTCTAACCCCGGCCCCCCTCTACACTCACGAGGCATCCTCCCCCACGCCCCCCCCCCCCCCCCTCCACCGGGAACCCCTTATGTGCACTCCCCTTCCATGGGGTCCTGATATGGTGCAGGTGTAAGAAATGAAAGACAGGAATTATTCCATTATCCTGGTTCTCAGTACCCCCCTCCCGTTCCTTTCCCCCCACCCAGGGGACCCCACCCCGCCCCTCAAGGTGTTGGGATATGTGCAATGGCCATTCAACCAAAGAATGTGCATATTCCACCCACTGTGTCTTTGTTCCCCCGCCCCCCCCCCATCCCCTCCCCCTCCCCCACCCCACCTGCAGGCCTCCCCCACCCCACCCGCGGGCCATCCCCACCCCAACCCACCGCCCAACTCCGTTGCATCGGGATACAGGGTAAAAGGGACAGAAAAAAAAGAGACACACACACATTTCATCAAACGGGATCCCTTTAATCAAACGGGATCCCTTTAATCTTCGTAACCGCCTTTCACTGAGCTATATATATCTCCTGCACGTTGCACGTGTTTATATCACGTGATTACTTCACTATCATTCGCAATTTTGGGCAGTTTTAGCGAGCAATTTTTATGCATATTGCTCGCGGCCATCGCCGTATCAGACCGGCCACCCACATGTGCCACACCATATCAAAGCTGAAAACCTGTTCTATATGGAACTAATTCCGGTTTTCCCGAACCAAATTCGAGAAGAGAGAAATTTAGGATTAAAAAGATGGACTCCCTCGAAAAATAAGAAGTTTTGGTTCCTAAAAAAAAACCCGCTAAAAAATGTTTCAACTGTCAAAACTCAAGCAATAGGTCATCGATTTTGATGCTTTCTTCGGCAAAAGAAAGCAGATATCATGAGCTTTTCTACTGTAAATTTCTGGCATGTGCACTCTCCGATGCATAATGATTTCATTCATAAAACTGAAGCGAGTCGGGCTGAAATTGATGGCATGAGCGCAAGCACGAACTCAACGTTGACGTCATAATGAGGGGCGTGTTGACCCCAATTTGCATAGGTGAATTTCCGCGATAAGTTTGTATGTGGGCTATGTCGAATCATATTTCTCTCTTAAAATTCCGAGAACACGACAGTGCATTAAACTACGTAATTTGCGTGGGTTTTTTTGGTTCAAAACAATATGAATATACTGTTTACCTTAAATATTTCATATAGGATACGTGATCTGTACTTTTGTTAAAAAGAATGTTGCAACCTGACGGCACTTTTTTCTTCATATATCATCTCAATGAAGGTCGTTTATTGCAAAAATGATGATAAGATATGAATCTGGGACAGAGAAACATTTCCAATTTTGTTAGAATTTAATATAGCTCTATGGGAAATACAAAATTTTCCTGACTCTCCATAGCCTTTGTACACAATCAGGTTGCAACATTCTTTCCCTTTTGTTCATCACCAAGTCTTGTGGGTCTAGACTAAGTATATAATCCGTGCAGAGCCACACTACGAACATCTCATATGGTGCGCCTTCGATTAGGTTGCACGTGTTTTAAAGTAAAAATCTGTCCTCATGTCAACTCCCTGCCCAATCTCACGAGCAGCTATATAGTCCAGCTCTGATGGCTGCCTGGGTGTATGATGACCTAACAGGGCAATTTCGTGGCTAGTTTGGCGAAACACATTTTTTTTCGAGGGGGGCACTGAAGACATGATGCATTATTTTTACTCAATTCAAGATTTCAAAAGGGGGCCACTGTAGCTAGATTCAAGGCTTTACAGTCACTTCGCCCATTTCCAGTTCGCCCCATATGTCACTTCACTCTAAACCACTTCGCCCCAACGCCACTTCACCACATCGTCACTTCGCCCAAAAGGCCCCATTACCACTCCGCCACACCGCCATTCGCCTCACGGCCACTTCGCCCCATTGCCACTGTGCCCCCTTGCTACTTCGCCCAACTGCCACTTCGCCCCCATCGCCACTTCGCCTCCATCGCCAATTCACCCCATTGCCAAATCCACCTAGCCCCATTCATGGCAATTCGGTCAGTTTTGTTGCTTGAACAATCTTTCCATAAATAGTTTTACTTAAAAAATGGACACAGACCTTAAATGCCAACCTATATAGGAAACACCTATATTCAACGAACTGTTTGTAATTGTGGTGCATTGCTTTATTATAGGCATTCTATAGTCCCAAACTCTGTTCGTCATACATCATCGCACTTGATAAAAGTGATTCACGCACACCGTGTAGAAAAATCCAGAATCCGTGCCCCCACAAAAAAACACAAACATTATGTAGGTCTGTGTTGTGTAGGGTGTGTGGGTACCAACTTTTACAACGTGCTGGTAATGTTGAAAACGTACGGAAGCGTATTTAGGACATGACCGAAAATATTTTTTAGGGCCCACTACTTCGCCCGGGCGGATTACTATTTCGCCCGGGCGGATTACTATTTCGCCCGGGCGGATTACTATTTCGCCCGGGCGGATTAGCATTTCGCCCGGGCGGATAACTATGCAGATTACTAATTCTTCGCGGCCGGGCAGACTATTAATTCGCCCGGGCGAATTAGTAATCCGTCCGGGCGAAATAGTAATTCGCCCGGGCAAATTAGTAATCCGCCCAAGCGAAATAGTAATCCGTCCGGGCGAAATAGTAATCCGCCCGGGCGAAATAGTAATTCGCCCGGGCGAATTAGTAATCCGCCCGGGCGAAATAGAGGGCCGGACATTTTTTTTTGGTCATGTCCTAAATACACTTCCGTAAAAACGTTATGTTGTCATCGCGTGTAATATTGTATACATGTTCACATAGTGGATAGGTATTTCAGTTTGATTTCAGGCTCCTTATGTGGAAGAAGAGGACAGCTTCTAGTTGAAATCTACGTGTTACCAGAACAGTTTGAGTTGGCTGGGAACTCTTTGCGACTCACGTGAGACGGCTGCAAAAGTGACGTGGCTAAAGAGAGGAAAAAATGACCTTATTTCTGACGAAATATCGAGGATGGTTCATGGTCGGTGTGGTATTTGTAGAGTTGTTTATTGTGTGCGGACCGACATTCAACTACAGTATTGTTTTTGTGAGCCTCCAGGATGAGTTTAATGCAGGAGCAGCGTTGACAGGTATGCATAAAATATTGGTGTCTTTTATCAATATGGCTGCTTTTAGAACAGTTTTACAGGCTAGAGGACAACATTTTGATTTAACGGGGAAAAAATCCACAAATGCCAATTCTTGTCATTTGAAAAAAAGGGGTTACACACTGTCATTGTATGTAGGCCTATGTACATGTAAGCATGAACTGTATGTTTTATTTCATGGATTATGCTTACGTCATACCAAAGAATGCTTGGACACAGTAAAAGATGGCGGCTCATTTCCTCTAATGTAATTCCAAATCATTGTCAAGCATTTCTCGATATTGCAATCAGAACCTTGATTTTATGTAACCATGTGAACCGAGTCACACATTGTTATCTAAATATGCCAACTACACAACTCCTTGCAAGAACTGTAAATGGCGCTGTCTGACTTCTCGAAGTTCCCTAGTACCCAACATTGACGTCTGTACTAATAATAATTATTGGACTGGCTGCTACACGCTAATTGGCAAATTCGCCTGGAAGCGGCTGATCCGCCATCTTGGATCCCCCAAACGTCACACCGTAGCGGGACTTTATCTATACATCGTTAATTAGACTGCAGTGGAAATTTCTTTTGAAATACAACTTTCTTTCTTTTTTTAGTAAAAACAACAATTCCCATAACAATCAATTATTCTCTGGATGTTGGCCAGTGCTAATATGATCGATACAATCTCAAAAGCCGGTAATACAATACAATTCTTTACCCCTAAAATACTCGCGTTTACTGCGCGTGGTCACTGAGTTACCCAAGATGGCGGCTGGCTATACTTCAATGCTTGGGCATTGTCGGCCAATCCCCATCGGGCAGGTACCGGTAACTGCCAATCACTTCCACAAAATTATCTGAAGTTCAAGGCGCGGATCCCCCCCCCCCCCCCCCCCCCCCCCCTATTGATTTTACGGCGCTGGCCAAGCGTCCGGAGCAAAATAACCTGTCTACATTTCAGCATTTTTATGCTGATGAAACAACCCCTGCAAAAATTCCTGGATCCGCCCCTGAGTTCATATCGAATTTCTAAATAAGTGACTACAATGGAATAATACATCTTTAATAAGATGGTTAATCTTTTTTGTCAGGCTGGGTTGGGTCCCTTGCCAACGCAGTGATGGGCGCAGCAGCGCCTGTCTCCTCGCCGTTGATTCAGCGCTTCGGCCCCAGGGCGGTGACCGTGACTGGACTGGTGGTGTTCAGCGGTGGACTCGTGGCAACATCCTTCGTGCCCGCTCTGTCGTACGCCTACCTAACCTTCGGACTACTAGTCGGTCTGGGAGCGAATTTCGTTTTCCAGTCTGGGATCGAGCTGCTGTTCAACTGGTTCCCTGATGAAAACTGCTCCCGTGCTATCTCGCTGGCCTTGCTGGGAACTTCTTTCAGTGAGCATTAATAAGTGCCAAATAAAAAAAATTAAAAAAAAAAACATTTTCAAATTTACAACGAATTCGAGACGAATTGACATTTTTTTCGGGTACAAATGTTGACCTTTTCTTTGTCATGCCAAAATCAATGCTTTTCGAGTTAAAAGTGTAATTTGACCCAGAAAGTGTCGGGGACTTTTAAGGGTGAAGTTCTAAGTTTTGTTTTAATTATTTGTCTTCGCAAATTGCGAAACAGGTGTATTGTCGTTCGCACCTCTTCTCAATTCGCTCATCACGGCGTACCAGTGGCGCAACGCGCTGGGAATCATCGGCGGTGGAAGTGCCGTGTTGGGGCTCGTCTTCGGTGTTTTCATCTCAACTCCGGCGGAGGCCTCTCCGAGGGAGGATGGGCAGGAATCTCGCGGGGACGACGGGGCCGAGTCGCCGGCCAGCCAGGAGGGAGAGAACACGGGGACCGGTCGGCAAAGAATTGTCAGGATCTTGCTGAAGCTTGACACCTGGCTGTGGGGTCTGTGTCTACTTCTGGTCTATCTTGGCTGGACGTTCGTTACCGTGAATTATGTGAGTTGTTCGACTTGAGTCCGTAAAATATAAACGAACGTTTATTCTTTAGTGACCAGAACGTTTTTTCTTTAGTGACCAGATGGGCCAGAATATCGTCCTCAATGAATCATTTACTGACTGACTGAGTACAGCTCAACTAGAAAACGGAAAAGGCAAGGTATATTTCTCTTGGCGTATAGTGAGTTGCATGGAATTTTTCCAGCGCCCTCTATTGGCCGATACTGATATCTTGGTACAGCCTTTGAGAAATTAATACTGAATTAAGTTTATGATTTAAATCTGTAAAGGTATAGAGTATATCATTTGTCATTTTGTGCATTTGTTTCGTTTGAAGCAACACACCTGATCAAAAATCTCAAGAAGGACAACTATAAAACCTGATGAAGTTTTAGCTGAGTGATTGTTGTATATTCAGAGAAAACAATATTCTAGGATCTCTATTTCTATTCAAAAGTATGCCGAGTCCTGTTTTGAATTGCGCCCGAATTCAGCATCCGGGACACGTTCTCATTCAGCCGATTGCAGCTACGCGATGTCGCGCTTGAACCGACGAATTATAGCAACCGCGCGCGCTTGTGCGTCACGTCAACGCTGGCGCGCACCCATACACGGCTTCGCCGAATTAAAAACGAACTACTATCGCAGTCAGTAGCCGTGTCACGCACACAGCCCTGTTTGACCTCAGTTTCTCGTCCCGAGGTCAAGCACGCATAGCCCAAAAGCGTACACGAGATTTTACGAGATTTATTCGAGACTACAGAAAAAAAGTGCCTCGATACATGCACTGTTTGGCCAAGATGGCTAAATAAGTGAAAAGTTGAAATCGTGTGCTTTATTTTGATAACAAAAATAACTGCTTTTGACAAATATACAGTGTTGTTATGGCCTGTCAAACAAAATCATATTTTTTTATCAACAAAATCGAGGGCCGATAGTTTTTAGGTGTAAATTCGATTCTTTAAAAAGGCCGAAACAAATGGCAAGGCTTAGTAGATAGAGGAAAGTATACGCTTCATTTTCATGTGAAACACGTGCAGGAGACTTCTAATGTTTGGTCCAAATCGCCGGTTGAAAAATGAAGACTTTTGAGAGATTTCATGATTTGCAATCACAATGTACGCGTGTAAACGTACGCCGACGTACATGTACGTTGGCCTGAAAACATTGTGAATAGCACGCGCTATTCGCGCAATGAATGAATATGAATGAATATAAGCAGGCCATACTCAGCGCGAGCTCGACCAATCAGTGGGCGTATGGGTCACAAGGTCACACCGTGTTTGGGTTCCTCGCTCTATGCTTTACAATGGCGACGATCTTTTCGCGTTGTGAAAAATGGAAGTTGTTGGAACATTAGGTGTACATCGAATTCTTAAAATATTAACGACATCACGTTCACGAGATTTTTTGTAGATGAAGGTTCACTCTTTCGTTTGATTGCCTCCACATTTGGGAGACTTTCGTCGTTCTCGAAAAAAACCCGGAAATTTCAGTACCTAATTTTTAGTCGATTTGTCCGTGAAATAATATCGTCAAAATGCATCGAAATCCCTTTTTTGAGAAAAAAATACCTTGATAGATGTATGAAGGTCTTTAGGTCTTTAACTACCTAAAACAACTTTGTTTGTTTGGATCGGTTGTGTTTGCCATGAAAATTGCGAATTTTCTGAAGCCCTTTTTACGGCCATGGTTCGCTGGCCTCGCGTTGCTATCAGTTGTGTGGACGAGAAAATTGAGCAGCTACGCGTGACACGGTAACTGACTGTAACGGAAATTTCCAAAAATGCGTCTACGCATCTTTGGAAATGACCTTTTATTATTTTCTTCACAATGACATCGACAGCATGCCAGAAAAAAAAATAATGTCACAGGGAGTTTAGTACCATTGCTATATTTAAACCAAGTATGCTTTTGAACAACAACTTCGTCATTGACTTTTTGGATAGCTGCAAATGATTTACTCTACTTTAAGACTACAAGAAGTTGCGCGTTTGGCAATTCTGTTTTCCGTTCTGTTTTGTTTTGACATTCAGGCCAGTTTTTTGGAGCATGATCTACTCTTCACAAAAGACCAAGTGACCATCGCCATCATGCTCTTCGCAGTGGGTGATATCGTGGGCAAGATTCTACTCTCAGCCATCGGAGATCACCTCCCATGTTTGAAGCTGTATGTCGTGGTGGTCTCGTCCGTTCTCGGCGCACTTGTCTCTTGGTTGATGACCAAACTGCATACAGTTCCCCTGGTGTATACTGTTTCACTGTGTAAGTATGAACCGCGTCGATCAATAATGTGACACCCGGGGTAGGAGTCAATATAATAAAAGGGATACAGGAAACGGCCTGTAGCTTCTTTCAAATGATTTATTTCATTCCTGAAATGAGAGATGTCATGAGCTGGTGTCTCCTCGAATACAGATGTGAGAGTGCAAATTACTCATTATGTTCATAAATAAAAAATTGTAAATAAAACTTGTCTCTGTTGCTAATAAATATTTATAAAGTAAATGTCAAACAATCGTTATTAATGTCAAAACTAACTGAAGCCCACGAAGTGTTTAGGAATGTAACCAAAATGGCGATTCGCGCCAAAACATCGGCAATTGCCGCCATCATTGCGGCTTAGTCCATTTTAACGAAAAAATACCCACAAAAATCGGACAAATAAAGTATCACAACTTCCACCTTAAAAGAATAACACTTGTGCTTCCTTACTGAATAACTAGAGAGAGGATTGAAGCAACAGTTTGTCGGCAAAATTGGGGTATAATTAAAATGTATAATTCTTAACAATCTTCGTCATCAAAATTACTCTAGGAACTTGAAACGAAACATTTCGTATCCAAAACAATGCATATTGAAACAGAAAACTGGCTCAGGATAATGTGAATCAACAGGTAAGGCAGAAATAAAATAGTCATAGCCCATAATGTCCATCGGCGCGCTTTGCATGCAACGTTTGACCAGCGAGGAAGGCAGTTGCAGCTGGCGTGTGCAAAACTTGATCGGCGAGTTCCGAATATTCGAAGATTCGGTCAAGTGCAATTTTAAAATAATCGCAACACAAAATTATTCGAAAATGAACAGCCCTACAATTCAGTCACCATAATAGTCATCACGAAGCAGCACACCACGGGTCATCAGTCGCCACAAGATATTCCAGTCTCGACCCTGAACGGTCACAAGCTAAGTTCAAATGAACTCAGTGAAAACGGACTTTGTCATTGTTCGTCCCCTGTTTTCAGACCTATCAACCGACTTGCGATCTGGATTAAAACTAATTTGTTTTCATCTCACAGTTATGGGCTCCATTCGTTCCGGATCGTACGCTATGCCCTTCCCAGCTACAATGGAAATATTTGGCGAGTATGGATCGCATATCGTCACTACTTTATCCATGATGCCTTATGGTATAGGAATCTTAATAGGTGCACCAATATCAGGTAAGGCTATTATATAGTTGCTAGCAAAAATGGGTTTATACATGTAAAATTAGTTCGGTGTTAATTGACATGACAGAAACAAAGTCTGATGGTTCCCTGGCCAGACGATCCTAGCTGACGTCTCACAATATATAGGGCAGGTACTTAAACGTCACATTCAAAAATAGAACATGAGGCAGCAAAGCCCTGCCCACGTCCGGAAAATACTTGAGGCACAGCCTCTATAAATAAGGGAATCAATATGTTTGGCCGGTTTGACAAAAGTACGGTTAAAACCGGCTATAGGGGCCTGCAGGACGCGGATAATGGCTCGAGCGGAATCCGGCCAAGCACAATATTCTTCATTCCCATGCATTCATCAATACCGTTCGGTCAAAAAGGCCAAACAAGTCAAAAATTCCGTAATATTTTGTTCAACAATATTACCTCATGTTTTGTGAAACGCCCCTCTGGCCAAGTGGTATGCATCTCGCGCGCGTACGGTGCTAAACATTTCCTTTTATGAACTCTGGCGCAGCGCACTGCGCGATATTAAGTGAATTTATCAGCGGTTTGAAACCACCCACGCGACGGGCTCTCGACCAATAGGAATAGCTAAATTTTCTCAGGTATTTATGAATGGAGATTAAATACAGGTAATGAGAATAAACCCTTGCTTTGAAATTCTTTAACACAAGCCTTGATTTTTTGATAACGAGCATGACAGGGAATTTTGTTCGTGAATACAGTCAAAACCGGAAATACCCGAGCTGTAGCGACCATATCCGCGTGTCATCGAAAAAATACTCGATCAACTTCGGACACTTTCGGAAACAGGCAGGATCAGCGTCATGTTTGAGACCAGACTAAGCAAAAAAGGACTATAAACCCGTTTAACGGTTTAATCTACGATCAGTGAAATTCCGAAATTTGACTGAATTTTTTTCTCAATTTTGAAATGATCGATACAACGAATCAATTCAATCTAAGAACATAATTCCTATACTTGTCACTGTAGTTGATATCTAGTCGCTGTATTTGGTGTCTCCAATTTTTATTAAACAAAACACGCACATTTATTATTCTTTTGTTAGGTGGCCTTTACGACTTGACAGGAGACTACACACTCAGCTTGCTCGTCATTGTTGCTATATTCGTTTGCTCAGCAATCGTCGCGTTGATGATACCAATCAGGACCCGAATTCACTCATCGAACTACAGGTTTTCGTTCAGACCAACGTCTACTAAATCTAAAGAGATTTCAGTAGCGTATCTACACTCGACTTCCCAGTTCACGGCTCAACCCAGATTATGACACGTGCCCAACATTTGGGGTGCGTTCGAGCGTGTTCCTCCTGTAATTCCCTGGGGGAACTTAACAACCGCGCGCCCGCACACGGGACGCGAGCGCGAAGGCGACAAATGTTAGAAATAGGCCACTTTTTTGAAAAGATCTGATCGTGACAGATCAACCACTTATGCTAATATTTTCGTTCGTTCTCCCTCAGACAGTTTGATTTTGTACATTATTGTATCATATAAATTTGATGTTTTTTTTAAATTTAATTTGTCCCCGGCATTTAGTGAAAATTTAAAAGAAAAGGGTTTCCCCGTGTATATACCCCCGCGTTCTACGCACAGAATGTGCCTGGAAATATCTTCCAATCATACTGCATGTTTTCTCCAAACTCAGCAGTCGCTGTGTCAAAACATTCCGTTTGTGCGGTGATACACATTACCAACTCTTGCCTATCGCTGTTCCAAAATACATTGCGATTGGTCAATGTTAACCACCGGCATTTGGAAAATTACTATTTCTTGTCTAATCAAAACTTCTACAACTACGTATATTGATCACACACGTTTGTGGCCGTGTGTGGAGGGGCGCCCTGTGAGCGCACATGCATTGGGAAAAAAATGTACTTTCTGTGTGCATGTATTTTATGTGGGAAATTTAGTTATACAATTTTGTGCAGGACAAATTCATATGCTGTCGTGCCGTTCATGTGCTCAGGAGTGTACTCGTGGTAACACGCTCGAACGCACCCAAGGTGACAGCAGATTTGTCGCGTGCCCACGTGCTCTTGCAAATAGCTTGATAAGGAACTGTAATTAAACTTAGCTAGGTTCATATTAACTAACGACTTCAGAGGCCCGACGTTGGATGCATCGCTGGATATAGCCGAGCGCATCACATAACTTAGTCAGTGACTGAGTATCACTCGTTAACTCCACGAATTATGGATCTATAAAACCTGGACAAGCTTGCGCGTATCGCGTAACATAAGAATGCGTGACCACATCGGTTGCTGTTGACGCGACAACGGGTGAATGACCGAAGACCCCATATAGAAAGCGCCCGCTGGTTGGTCAAAATCTTGAGGTCAAGATGCGGTTGTCTTGCATAATTAATCAGCGAATCTGCTCGCATATTATATAGACTACACATAAGGCACAACAGGGAGAAATGGTCCAAGAAATTTTGCGGCTATACGTTTGACAATAGAGTAAGTGGTTTGTTCAAACGTTCGTTCATCATCATTTTAGTGCGCAGTAACAAATCACTTATAGTAGTCGACCAATGGTCCTTGAACGAACGTGCTCTTTAACTGTAGGCCTATACGGTGAGGACGTAGCATCAGGGAACAAGTTTATGTTCGCCATCTCACAAAACAAATGAACGGAAACCAGAACAGAAGTAGGCTTAAAGAGAATCATGCCGAAACTAACATGTAGAATGGGCTACAAGATATATCTTATTATTTCATGATGAATATAATTATAATAGCGCCTGAAAGTAAAAGGTCACGCGGCGATCGAGCTTCCCTTTTCTTGATTATTTGTTCAAAGAATGTTCTCTAACCGTAATCTCACCAGGAAACATTCATATTGAAATGTTGTCTTGGGATTCCTCATAGCTCAAGAAACAATGAGGAGAAATCACTTGGAGATGGGTCAAACGATTTTCCTTATACGTACGACCTTTCACATCCAGCATTTTCGTTATGTCTCCTTGTTTGTTCACGTTCGCCTTAACATCGCGTAAAAAATGCATAACGACGCGAAGATTTACCTATTAGGCCATCAGCCTCAGTCCAAAATTTTGGCCACCGGTATCAAATGAGGGGAATAATCGTCATAGCGATTTTTGGCAAGGTATACACCTCCAGAGTTTGAAAATATGTGATAGCATTGCAGCGGTGTTAGTGTATATCACCCTTTTTAACAAAATGTCCATCAAAATGCTTGTTACCACTCTATGGGCGGTATACCTTGCGCATGCGCACTATAATTATTTATGCCCTGATTTGATACTGGCCAATTACCCCCAGGCTGATGGCCTATATACCTTCAGCCGATGGATTATAGATAGCCGAGGCCGAGCTGACTTGGATACCAGCGGTCGTTTTTGATTTTTTTTTGTAAATGCGAATGAGCCCTTGTAGTTTATTTTTACAAAAAAAAAATCAGAAAAGACATTTTAGTCTCCTATTTAAGTTTTATAGGACCACAAAATCATTTCAGAAATTTAACGAGTTCCACTAGTCCACATATATTTGAGATTTTCAGATGAGAGGTCAATAATAATTGTTGGCACTTTTCTCATTCACTTCAGGCGATTTTTCAGTTTCCATAAATTGAGACACTAGTAATTAACCACAAAGGCCTTTTTTCGAGGATGATTTTCTTAACCCTAAAAAGGGCCGGGTTATTTTAACCATCTCCCCCGCCCCCTAAGATCTCGGCCATCGAGTGACGAAAAAATATGAAACTCGGTACGTGCATAACAACTTGTCATGAACGTACCCAAGAAATTTAATGACTATAGGTCAAAAGGTTTTTAGAATTATGTCTTATGGTAATTCTGGTTTGTGTAGGCCTTACACTATGGGGAAAATAGTTTTCACGGTGCGTAGCGCCGGAATTTTTTTCCCTTTTTATGTTTTATGTATGAATTTTATGTTTCTGGTGTCGAAAGATGTGCAAGACTCGAGGCTAAAAAGTCAGAACAGCTCGGGTCGCTAATTTTTTTTTAAAGTTATCGCAGGCAAAGTTGAAGGGGGGGATTCCGCCTCGGCCCTTTGAGGGTCCAGAAATCAATGTACCAAAAATAATTGGACATTTTTAGAGTTTTGGGATGTTAATTTTCCTTTTCAATGGTTCCGGAAGCGCGCCACCAGGGTGACCTTTCAGGCTCTGTTGATGCGTTTACGATTTCCTGTTTCGTTTTCTGTTTGCACTTTTTTTTGGGGGGGGGGGGGATGTGGGGGCGGCTAAGTGGAAAATAGGCACTCTCTTTTTGAATTAGATGTGTAAGCACACTGCAAAAACTGCAGTGTTAAATTTACACTATCGGTATCTTTATAGGACCATCTGGTGTTCAGTTTTACTGGTGTTGTCCTATATAGATACCGAATGGTGTTAAATTAACGCTACAGTTTTTGCAGTGCATGCAGGATAAACTAAGACAATTTAGGTCAACATGTTTGACCTTTTTGTACTGGGGGGGGGGGGGCCTAAGTGGGAAATCTGCACTCTTTTTTGCATGCGATGTGTATGCATGCAGGATAAACCAGGGCAATTAGGTCAACATTTGTTATCCTGGTATCTTGGCTTCAGCACTCTCACACAAATACATTTCAATTAAAGCGAAATGTGGTTTTCCGTAATTGTCAAGTCAGCTTTTGTTTTTAATAACGCTGCATAGTTTGTGCAAGGGCACATTGAAATTCGAAAGCATCTCAAATCATTTAATATATAATACCTATCAATATAGCATTGTTCTCTACACCAATTATCCAAAATTTAACACCATGCTCAATAAAATTATTATAACAAAGTTTAACACTTGAGAAAAATAAACAATGCCTTGCAAAATTCTTTATAAAAAAAGAGTTTGAATTAACAAGGCACAAAGCTGCAATTCGAAATCGACTCCAGTTCCCACACACACAAAAGGCCACAACACACATTAATTTCATATTTCAGAGAATACTGAGTACTTCACATGCGGCATTGTACACAGCCATACCAAGTTCTTGGTATTGTACATGTATCAACATTGTCTTGAAAATTAATACAATGTATACTTATCAATTAATGCCGAATAGCCCATTACGGTAATGCCAAGTTGAAATATACTGTGGACTTCAGATAAACTCTTAGTCCATGTCAGGAGTTGAAATTCAGTAGATACACAGTACTCAGTCTTTATTATGTTGACCTGCTAATACATATACATGTAATGTTACATTTGCAAATCTTATGGCTCATTAAATTCACTCTATATACAAGATGATAATTTCGTTAAAGGAATGTAAATGTTTTGTAACTTTAATAACAGTAATCCATTACAAAAATATCCCTTTGTTCCTTTCCCTGCCTAATTACCACCTTATGTTACCCCCCCCCCAAAAAAATCTCTAACTCTTTATCCACTGCTGCACTAGTTTGTTCCTCCCCCAGCATCATCCTTCTCTTCACACCCGATTTGATCTTTATCCACCACAACCCCCCTCTCCATTCCCTTTGATCTTCATCCACCACCACACTCCTCTAGCTGTTCCTTTCCCTGCCCCCATCTTCTCGCCTCATCCCCTTTGATCTTCAACCACCACATCCTCTGTTCTTTTCCCTGCCCTCATCCCATCTCTCCATTCCCTTTCAGCTTCACCCGCTACCACACTCCTTTGTCCTTCCCCTGTCCCCATCCCCTCTCTTCTATCCCTTCGTTCTTCACTCTCTGCCACACTCCTTTGTTACTTCCCCTGTCAAATTCCTCCTTTGTGTTTTTCCTTATACACCCATGCATGCATGTGTGTCCCCTACTTGTTTTAGGGCTGTCCCAAATATACCGAATATTCGATCATCAACCGAATATTCGAAAAGCTTTTTGCTGGTTTGAATATTTGAAATGAGAAAACTATGCACGTGTGCACTTGACTGTGGTGTCATTTTAATCGTCAAGTTGCATTGTGATTGTGAGACGATACTTTTTTGTTGACTATAACTTTCTTGTTGACACCAATTTATTGGTCCCATTCCTTTTAGCTGGGTAAAATCCCTGGACACTGATACATTACCTACTGCAATAGCGAAATACTCCAGCGGCCCATAATAGCCATCGCTGCATACAAATTTTAACCGGCGCGCTTTGTATGCAACCAGCAAGGAAGGCAGCTTTAGCTGGCGTGTGTAAAACTCGATCGGCAAGTTTTTGAATATTCGAATATCGGTTAAGTGCAGTTTCGGATAATTGAATACTAAATTATTCGATACTGGACAGCCCCTTGTTCCTTTCTGTAATACTGTAATTATGCCTTTGACAAATGTCCTGCTGAGTGCTTAGATCCGAAACATTAGACCTCCATTTTTTTAAAGATTTGTATGAATATTTCAGGTCAATCCAGTAATTAAGCAGTTACATGAAGTAGCAGTTTTATTCATTTCCAACAAACGGGAGATGAGAGTTCAATAATCTGAGATTAGAGTAAAATATTTAGAGAAAATGTATAAAGGCAATTGTCATAAACATTAGGAAAAATACCAATTTTTGTCATAAATGCAATAAGAATACAAATTGTTAGAAAAAAAGTTTCTCAATTTTTGATGCAGCTTTAAAAGCACTTTCAATTGGAGATTTCAGTAGCAATCATGCGAATACAATTAAGCATTTTTTTAAAAAAATAAACAAATCACACCCAAGTAACATGTACATTGTACATTTTTTACTCTTACCAAGATATAAAGTTTTATATTTATAAAGTACAAATATGAGTATTCAAAGAAATGAAGTTCTTTCAAGTCGAGTTGTAAAACATAAGAATATGTACAAATACGTGAGTGTATTAATCAAAATTTGGAACACAATTTTGTTCTTGAGATGCTGTTAGCCTTATACATTCTCATAAGGCCGAGTCCGAATCTCTTTTCTAGGAGCTAGCTGTTGGGACGTCTAGGTCATTGACAATTTGAACACCTGTACTAATATGCTGACAACAAACCTAGCCGCACCAGTAGTTCTGGAAACCGATTTGGACACGACCTTATTCTGACATACATGTGTACCTTTGTATAAATACTGTAACTGTTATGGGGAAAGTACAACATTTGCTTTTGCCGCAATTTTCAGAAATAAATGGATTTGGAGGATTAGTATGTTATAGCAAATATTGTTAAAATGACTTGTTTCATGTTTTGGGCTTGTAGATGTTGGAAAAACCAAGAAAACCATTCATGTTCTTGTAGTCTGGTTCCCTGACCCCACTTAAGATGAAACGGAGCAATTTGTAGACTTTGGGGAATTGTAAGGTCAGAGAGTCAGTCTAGCAGGCTTGTACCCCTTCACAGGTGTGTAATCAATAGCAAAGAAAACATGGAATAACTAATTATGAAAAATTAGGAGCAGTTTTGAAAAAAAGCCAGTTTTCTCCAACACTGGTTGGCCGACCAGCGTTGGAAATATACCATTTTTCTTGAAAATCAGCACACCAGGAGCCACGATTTTACAGGATGCTTTAGACTCAAACCCTAACAATCCAGCAAGGTATTTTGTGATAATTTGATCATTTCGTTTTGTAGGCCTAATGTTTGCAAATGTTGTATCTTCCCTTTAAGGAATACTGTTGGAATCCTCTCGCACTCAAAATGAGAGAGAAGTGGATAGAGTTTGAGATTACCGAGTTTAAGATAACGTGTATGTGTATCAATTTGCATACAGGTATAATACATGTAGATCTCTCTCATAGGACATCATCTTCGTAAGAAAATTACAACTGCGTATCAGGTGCGGGTGCGCGCAGTGTGCAAAATGTTCTAAACATGCGCACATGTTGCTTGAAATTTCTTCGAAATACGGCACTGTCGTATGAAAATTTGACGCCCAAAATGCTGATGCACTCAGCCATCTGCAGGAAGTGACATCATTTGAGAGAGACCTATACTGTAAAACCAGACACCATATGGTAAAATACCAAGTTTGACTGGTTTACGAATATGGTACATTTACTTATTGAAATTGCGTGTAATGTATGCTGCATGAAGACATGTACACTTATTTATCATCTAAACATCAAATTTAGATTGTCAAAGCTGTTTAAAGGTCAAAATATTAAAATGATCTTTTCTAAAGCAATAAGGCCTACATTTTATTACAGAGGCATTTTTCAACAACTGTTGAATAAGTTTCAATTAAAACATCTTTGGGAATGAATTCACTTTTATTTACTGTCATGGGTTCCTTTTGAGGGGTAGGAGTTGTTAAGAGGTGGTGTTAGTCTTGATCCAAGACTTGATTTTGATGTTATGAGATGGAATTTTGCGTCGGGGTGATATAAATCAAATTAGGTTTTGCCCTTCACCGACGTTTTTAAACACTGTATACTCAGTGTGTTACCTCCCGAGTGAGAGTTGGAAAAAATCACTCGGGTGGACTCTAACTAGACATCTGCACTAGAAAGCAGGAGGTCGTGGGTTCAAGTCCCACCCGAGTGATTTTTTCCAACTTTCACTCGGGTGGTAACACACTGAGTATACAGTGTTTAAAAACGTCGGTGAAGGGCAAAACCTAATTTGATTTTGATGTTATTCCCCTAATACAACCGGTCACGTGTCTGATAAGCTTGGTAATGCCAATGCGACGGTAGAAGTCAACAAGATGAATCAAATCCAGTCTTCGAAACTTCGGCAAAGCTACCCAGACAATGCCGAGCATACCTCATGCCCTTGCATTTGCTTTAACAGTTGCCAGTAGATTGTACATGTATGTGCATGCTCCTGGGTAGTGCTGCTTAAGTTCCCAAAACTGGATTTGATTCCACTTGTTGATAGCGACCTCTACCGCTGCAGCAACATTGCCATGCTTGTCAGGGACCGGCTATATTTGGGGAATACAAATCAAACTCCAGTCTCAGATCAAGACAACGTTGGTGTTGAATATTAACGCTGAGTTTCCAAGGTTGCAGGCCGGTACACGGGTGCATCTGACTTGGGTAGTGGTTCCTTTCCTAGGATGATATCAGCTGCCTTCTCTGCAATCATGATGGTTGGAGCGTTGAGGTTTCCACTGGCAATGCTTGGCATGATGGACGCGTCGACCACTCTCAGATTCTCCACACCTAGTACTCTTGTCTGGCTATCCACGACGGTCATGGGATCCGAGGTGCTGCCCATTTTGCAAGTACAAGATGGGTGGTAGGCACTGTCTCCTGTCTTTCGCACAAACTCGTCAAGATCTTTGTCACTCTCAGCTGCAGCGCCTGGCTGGATTTCAGGACCTCGGAAGGGATCAAAGGCCTTCTGAGACATGATTTCACGGGCAAGACGAACACACTGTCTCATCTCCCAACGGTCGATCTCAGTCTCCAAGTAGTTGGGCTGGATGATCGGGTGCTCCTCAGGGTTGTTAGATCGTAGTTTGACGTAACCTTTACTTGTGGCCCGCATTGAGCCTACATGGACTTGGTAGGCATGGCAGTAGCCCATTATTCTTCCGTGGTCAATCACAACAGATGGGAGGAAATGGAACTGGATGTCTGGGTGTTCCACACCAGGTTGACTCCTTATGAAGCCGCCTGCTTCTAAATGGGGTGAGGCACCAAGACCACTTTGGAACAAGAACCAGCGCAAGCCGATGCGGATCATGTTGTGAGGAAACTTCCACTGTGCTGTGTAGAGCGTGATCGGCTGGGTGCACTGGTACTGCAAGTAGAGGTCCAAATGGTCTTGCAGATTCTGCCCAACTCCTGGAAGATGGGCTACAACAGGGATACTATGCTTACTGAGCTCATCTGCGTCACCAATACCTGACAGCATCAGCAGCTGGGGCGAGTTGATAGCACCACCGCACAAAATAACTTCCCGAGATGCTCGAGCTGTGGTCTTCTGTCCCTTCTGCAAGTACTCTACCCCTACGGCTTTGGTTCCTTCAAACAGCACCCGAGTTGTGAGAAGCTTTGAGGTGACTGTCAAATTCTTACGTTTCATAGCCGGACGGAGGTAAGCACTAGCTGCGCTCCAACGGAAGCCCTTATGGACACTGAGGTCCATGTAACCAAAGCCTTCTTGTTGATAGCCATTCATGTCATCTGTTGCTGGATAACCAGCCTGAACTCCTGCATCTATGAAAGCCTGATAAAGTGGATTATCAGATTTCCCACGGGAAACATGAAGGGGACCGTCTCCACCTCTGTACTCATTTGGCCCAAGTTCGTGGGTTTGTGCCCGACGGAAGTAGGGCAGGCAGTTTGCGTAGGACCAACCCTCAGCTCCTTCCTTCTCCCAGCGGTCTTGGTCAAGGGCGTGGCCCCTGACGTAACACATTGCATTGATGGAAGAGGACCCACCCCAGACACGCCCGCGAGGCCAGTACATCTCTCGGTTATTCATGTGGGGTACTGGCTCTGTGGTATAGAACCAGTTATAGGTGTCCGAAGTGAGTGGGTACATCAGGGCAGCCGGCATGTGGATCTTCCAAGAGTAGTCCTTGGGTCCCGCTTCTAGGAGTAAGACATTGTTGGTTGGCTCCGCGCTGAGTCTGTTGGCTAAGACGCACCCTGCCGACCCAGCACCCACGATGATATGGGTGTACTCATTCTGATCGGCCCGCAGCCTGCTTGTGGAATGAATGGCTTGATACCTTTGGAACCATGTTGCAGGGATGAGGACTTCATTGTGTTTCCATGGAGCCATCCTCCATCTTGGAAGATTCCTGAGAAGAGTAACCCTCGAGGTGTTCATGATTCACATAGATGACCTTGCTAGAAAAGAGATACAAATTCAGAATTTAAACTTTTAGATCCAAAGTTCCAAATGTTGTATTTGTATAACCTCGAAACTGGAACAATACGCTATCTGTTAGTATTGTACAAAGTCCTTTGCTGTAATCACTGTCTCCTGTCAAAATTCTCCTGTAAAACTTTGTACAAAAGCCATACCAATATTGTAATACTACAACCAATCTTACACATATCCAAATTACAGATCATGAGCTGAACATGCCCTTTACCAAATTTGCCCTAACTTACCACTGAAAAAAATGTCAGAGTTTCGCTTCCAACCACAAGCCAAAAAATTGCTTATACAGATGATGGCTATCAAAATTGCTTGTACATGTGTGGAAATGACTCAACTTGTCTGAAGAGCAAAAACCTCCAGGGTTGAAAACTCTATGGACAGTCTTCTACCACAGTCACTATTGCACAGTATGAGGTACACACTATATGTGACTACCTGCTGGTTGTGTAATGCCCAATATTCATGATGGAACTCTTGTAAAATCTGACCTTTGTCCACAAATGTCAACAATTTACCATTTAATCTGATTGGACGTTTAGCAAGCACACACTTGTTATCACTGTATATGTAACTTTATTTTTAAACACTGTAATCCTTTTATTCACTATATATTCACTCATGCCATATTAGAATAACCACTGAAATGGAAATTAGGGAGCAAAACATCCGTTCATGTCATGGTTGACAGAATTGTTGGGATGAGCCGAATCATCAGTGACATTGAGTGCAACGAAACCCATCAAAAGGCCCATGTTTTAAGCTGCGGCTGCATGAACAGCTCTAGAAGTACCGGCGCTCGTGTCTCTCTGTTGGTTGGTTGGTTAGTAACAAACTTCACCACATGCCCTTTTTGGCAATCAATCACCTTGTCCCTTCGGCCCTCGCAACAACACGTGCTTCAGGTCTCCACTGACTGCAGAGCTACCAATTTATTGCAGTCATGGAAAATGGGGCAGCAGGGCACTCATTTCGCATTGGGGCTAGCACTGTACTGCACACAAATTGGGTGTTGGCCATGCTGTAAAACAATCGCACTAACTGACGTCCCACAAAATAATGTGAATCCTTTTCAGTTGACAGTCACGACCACATGAGTTGTTGTGTATATAAGAACAGACTATTACATCATGTACATGACTGAATACAGGCTACAGCAGGTTTAGTGTTGGGCCGCAGCTTCCGACATCATTTCGAGTTTGTTTTAAAAATCAATCAGTAAAATACACCTTTGTGTCACATTTTAATATTCTGCCATTTCAAGGTGTTTAAAAAAAAAATCTGTCTTAATTAGACAGAAATGTCTTTCATTAGACAGAAATTTCAGTGTTACATCTGGTTCGCCACAAAATGTTGCCAGAATGTTGGAGTTTTGCCGTGGTGAATTTTCTATTTTTTTTTTAAATGTGGTTTCAGTACACGACACTACGTCAATGAACAAACTTCACAATAACATGTTATCTCCCTGAAATCTATTCTTTTTTATCAATACTGCAAACAACCTTTGTCGATTTATAACCGCAAATCAGTCTAGCTAAACAGTCGACCCACTTATCTGAAGCGCTTGCAGGGTGGTCTTACACACTACATGTACACATACATTTATATATACAATATTGGACTTTTATTGCAAATTTTATGTGCCTCCGCCTTTTATTGTTAAACAGTCACTTTATCCAAAAGTAGCGCTTTCAGAGTAAATGTACGTGAACTTAAAATTCTGAAATAAACTACATGGTGTAGGCAACTAGACAATCACGCTCTGACAACTGTAATGCATTTATTTTTCTTTCCCATGCCTCATGAATTTAAAATGGTCCAAAATTGTAGAAATAACGTGACACATAAACAAGGCAATGTCTGCCAAACCAAATATGCGTTGATACATCACACAGTCTTGACATTCACAATAGAGTGTACATGTATGCAGCTGTCACTAGATGAAAGAAACAAAAGAAATTCTACAAAAATGAACACACAAAAAATCAATTCAAAAAGTGGCCTTACCTTTTTCCATTGTTAAAATATTTGTAAGGGGGTCAGGGTTGTTCAATTTGTGGCTATTTTCATGTCAATTCACAACTTTTCTCAATAAGCTACGTTACTTACAAAACACACTAAATAAAATCCTGACCTCCCTTTTTTTTTTTACATATTCAAATTAAATAGACTGATTACTAAAGTATAAAACTGACTGGTGAGACTTTTTATTTCAAATTATGTGCTAGTCACAGCAGAGCACTTCAGGTTTTTTTGTTTAATCCAAACCCCCTTGAGTGGTTTACTAAGGAACTACCTCACTCTTGCAAAATCTAACACCATGGTAAACTCAATACCCGAACTGTTGGACTCTGATTATGTTGTTATATCTTGTGACTCCATGTAAAGTATAACCGATTTACTAAAGTGCAGTCCTCAATCCAACAGAATCAAACAAAAAATGCAGTTGGATTTTGAAGGGTTGGAGTTCTTTAGGGTTAACTTTTATTTTGGTTTTTCTACTTTTTTAAAGTTCTTTTTCACTAAAAAAACACAAAAACCAACAAATTTGTACATATTAGGCAGGATCGCCAAACAACAAAGATTGCATTGATCTTTGAAAGCTGTTATATATATATACATGTATATATCAGGCATGCAACTGGGATATCACAAAAAAAGAGGAAATTCAAATTTTTCCCAGACTTTGTACATTGTTTTTCTATTTTCAATGGCACACATGGGAAGTAAAAAAAGAGGAAATCAGCTGATCCGAGGAAAAGTTGCATGCCTGATATATACTGCCTCGTGGGAAAAGGTTCACATGTACATGTAGCATGCATCAAAACAGATTTTACGACCTTGATGATATTGAACCGTTTATGTGATTGTACACGTATACGTAAATTTGATGTAAATGGCGAACCCATTTCGGTGCATTGTACAATGGAGTCATCTAGCCCAACGGTCGCGTTTAGTTGTGCATTGTCAATTGTTAAAAATATAAAGAAACCCTTCACAGCAGTTGTTAATGTGTGTCGTACCATCACCCGTACTGTCGCTGGATTTACCGGAGCATGTGCACATAATTGCTGGCATAAATTTCTCTGTGGATAACAAAGCCAGACTGGAAATATGCAAAGACAGTAGGGGCCTAACATTTGCTTGCCATTTTGTTCTAACTAAATTTGTGTTTTTGTTATTTGTTTTGTTTTGTTTTTGTGTGTGGGGGTGTTTTTGTTCTTGTTTTGTTTTGATTTAGTTTGTTTTGTTTTGTTTTGTTTGTTGTTGTTATTGTTGTTGTTGTTTTGTTTTTTGTTTTTCATTTATATATTTATATTTACATTGAATACTATTTAATTTTTGTGTAGACATTTCGAGCATGGGTTGGCAGGCCTTAGGGCTACAGTGTTTTAGTACACTTTTGTTTACCCTGGCCGGCTTGGAATGTTATATTGTTTTTGTTTTCTGTCCCTCTATCTCCTCTCCCCTGTCAAACTGTCCACCCTCCCTTCCCTCCCCCCTACCCCGACCCATTCCTACTCGCATTCTTCAGTCTTGTCTGGTCTTACTTTGCAATTTCCAATTTTTGTTTACTTTTTAATTTTTATGTGCTTTGTCATTGTACTTTTGTTCATTTGTTGGCCGAATAAATAATAATAATAATAATAATATATTTTGGGCGCAATTGGTAGTCACCTGTGCTATCGCCAAATCGCACCTGGCAATTGGTCGATCATGCTGCAATAGGTCGATGGTGCCGCCATTTCACATGTTTTCTTTTCCTGATTTATGGTTCTGGAGGATTGTTTTTTTAATAGGGAAGTAAAGTATGAGATTTCCAACAGCATATTGACCAAATTGTGCAAATTTCTTCGCAATTGGTAAATCACGCAAATCCGCTGATCACGCCCAATGTACATTAGATAAACTTGAAACATAAGGTGTGGGTGGGGTCATATTAAAGCCAGTTTATTTGTAGTCCAAGTAACTGGGGAGCTAGAAGGAGAACTCATTTTCCCCAAAATTTTGACTTTGGTCGGTCGTAATAGCTAATGTAAAGAGCTCTAGCGCACCAGTTACTGGGTCTAGTTCATTTACACAAGGTTGATTTTTTTTCCCAGTTTTGATTTAATGTTTGCTTTTTGGGGATATCTAAAATTCACACTTTCCACAGGATTTTGCTTTTGTTTTACCCTCCCACAAAAATACAACAAGTATAAACTTAAAGGGAATGTACATCATTGGCTTTTGCTGTAATTTTCAGAAATGAACTATTTGAGGGGTTAGTGTAATACATGTAGATCAAATATTGTTACACTGACATTTTTGAAGTTTTGTGTTCGAAAAGGTTGGAAAAACCAAGAAAAACAAAAATGTTCAAGTAGTCTGGTTCCCTGACTCCACAAAAGATAAAATGGATCAATTTATAGATGATGGAAAATTGTAAGGCAAGGGAACCAGTCTAGCTGGCCTGCACCCGTTCATGAACATGTAACCAACAGCAAACAAAATTTGGACTGAAAAAAATGGTAAATTTGGAGCAGTAGTTGAAAAATAGTTAGGTTTTTCCAACGCTGGTCGGCCGACCACTGTTGGAAATGTTTACAAAAATACCATTTTCTTGAAAATGACTAATTCACACCAGGTGCCATAATTTTACAAGATGCTTGAGACTGTCATTTACCAACATCCTAGTTAGGTATTTCGTAAAAACTTGGTAGTTTTATTTTTCGATGTTTGCAAATGTTGTATATTCCCTTTAAGTTCTGTACACTTACCATCTGCAGTAAAAAAAAAGAGAGTCTAAGTTGTGATTGCACACATATTTACCGGCCTCTAAATGCATTAAAATAAGGCAGTGCTACTGGATATTTGGCTGGTTCCGGGTTCATTTTAGTAGGCTGAACATTATTTTCACAGGGGCTTGTAATTGTATTGTTGGGAAAAAATGTGGCAACTTGATGCCACTTTTTTCTTCATTTAGTTGATAAATTATCTCAATGAAGGTCAGTCATTGCAAAAATTATGATAAAACATAAATCTGGGACTGAAAGACATTTCCCATTTTGTTTAATAGGAAATACTTAAAACATTTTTCTTGACTCTCCAGATACACAACCGCTGAAGTGGTGTCAGGTTGCAATATTTTTTCCCAGAGGAATCAAAGATGACCTTCGGCAAAAGCAACTTAAATAGTCTATCCACTGCGTGCAGTGTTAGACCCGTAAATGTTGTTGACGCCACGTTTAATAAGGGGAACATTATAAGGGAACAAAAACCGCTTTTAAATTATGTGACCTACCAAGTACCAAACTAGTTGGCGACATTTAGAACATACAGCTTTGTCGGCAAAATTACCATATGCGAAGTTCACTAATTTTCCTCTGTATTGACTAACAAGCCCCCAGATAGCAATTTCATGTCATCAAAGTCAATTTGAGCAGTGAGAAAATACAAGCATTTTCTTAGAAAACACTTAGAATTTTTCAGTCCAATCTCATTCATAGGGTTTGTACACAGGGTGTTGAGTGAACTTCGTATATGGAAATCTTTCCAGCTTTGTCATATAAAGGGCAGGGTTTTAAATTTTTGAGGGAAATTTGGGGGTAAAATGACGATGAAAACAACAAAACGCAACTCGAAAATAAAGAAACTGTTCAAAAATTACCAAAAAAGTGTCATTCCATTCAGAGAAGTCTGCTTTACAAATGCTTTAGGTTGGCAATGTCATTTTTTAGGAATAAAAAAAATTTGATCGAAACAAAAACAGGGGCACACTACACTACACTACACCGTACACGATCGCCATGTAATCCACTCCCTAGGCCCTGCATCAGTGCATGCATCGTGCTAGACCCGTGAACGTGGCGTTGTTTACAAGCCACGTTCGCGTTCACGGGTCTAGCATCGTGCATGATAGCCTGCATACTGCAATGAATGCAAGCCAAAGCCCGCGCAAAAGTGTTGTTTCTGTTCTTTCTCTATCTTGTCAGTTGACCACTCTGGTACGTTCATCACTGAATAAGTCTCTACTTTAAAAGACAATTGAGCTTTTAAATGGGCATATTTTCAAAAGATTACTTTGAGAGGTTAAATTTTTATACTCACCACCAACTGACAAGATCGAAATTCGGCATATGGCAAAAAAACGGCGCGCTACATACGGCGGAGCGGCCAGCGCCACACGTTGCGGGGATTTGTTTTGTTTTGAGATGAAGCGGACATTATGAGAGCGCCCTCTGTTGCCGGCTCTGTTTTTTCAACCTCGTTTTCAGAAGAATTAACCCAAAATGAATACTTATTTTGCGTACCAACGCGGACCACGGACTCTGTTAAAGAGGATGACATATTTGTAAAATGGTTCAATCAAGAGATAATTTTGGCTAAGCGGAGTCTGCGGTGAAAATATAAAAACATCGAAATGTCTTCAACAGCAAATTCATTTAACGGGTCATAGGTAAATAATTATATTTTAGTGGTCAAGAGAAGGCCTATAAATATCTGTTGGTGTTTTAGGTGGAAGAGTATTGCGGCAAAAGACGGGTTGAAATTATTGTTTACAGTTGTCAAGCCGCCATATTTTTCTGTAGGCCTTTAGAAGTAGGCTAAGACTTAAGTTAAGTGACGCTTATGTGGGCTACTGGTTGCCCAGATTTCGGACGTTTTTCTTAGCCATTGCATTTTAAGCAATTGTGAATTGAAGCTGAAGGGCCCCTATTTTAAGTTGTCAAACTAAATTAAAGTGTTTTTTTATCATTGAAAAGATCTCTGCAGTCTTTTTAGCACTACTAGTAGCAGTAGCACTGTCAAGTGTCATGACTGTGACTGTAGCAGACATCTTCGCTTATTCATGTTTATTAGTTTAATATAAATTCTAAATGATAATTAGGCCTAGGCCTATCGGGACCATCAATCTGCGCATCTTCATGTAATGATTATTTTAATGCTTACATTACAAACGCTTTAATACACTTAAAAAATGAAATCATTCATTAATTATTTAACTTATTTATTTAATTAATTAATTCAACACTTAATTAAAAATGTAGCTGGCCCCTATTGTTTTCTCTGAAAACAAATCCTGTTGTGTTGAGCCAACACTAAAGTAATAAACTGAAAAATGTTGCAACCTGACGCCACTTTTCATATATCAATTATCTCAATGGAGGTCAGTCATTGCAAAAATGATGATCTGGGACTGAGAAACATTTTCAATTTTGTTAGGAAATACTTGGAAAATTTTCTTGACACTCCATAGACTTTGTACACAACCGCTGAAGTGGCGTCAGGTTGCAAATTTTTTTCCTAATAAACATGATGCAAAGTGCATAAATTGTTCACATTACCAGATAACCACCCCTAAATGTAGGCCCTATCTCTGTACCTTTACAAAAGCTCATTTAGCATAATAGAAAAAAATCCTTATATATACATGTCACTATTTTTATTTTAAAAAAAACATACACGTGTTGTTTTATTATGCTCAATCGTGCATACATTTAGGCCTATCGTATACTTGAAATCCTCCGCACTGCTCCAGGATGTCACTGGCTCTGCCTCAACATACTGACAGTGATTGCTGGAGGATTTTGCAGGTTTGAGGCAGTGGTCCACCCTCCAAGGACCACATTCAAGAAATAAGTGATGATTCTGGAGGATGGAGGCTGTATGCAATTTTTCACATGGAGGCAGTAAGAGGATTTTGCAGGATTGATGTTGCATCCTCGCAAAAACGCCCAGCGAGTTAGGGTTATTAATAAAATTAAAGTGTTTCTAGAAATTTAAGATTTTGTAAGGGCTTTTACCACATGTTTACCTGGGAGTTTTAATGAGTTGTTTAGGGCCTACATGGTCAATTCATTAGGCCAAAGAATGATGTTCAAAAGGTATTCAACTCAACTCCGAACTTCAGAAATTTGAAGTATGAAGTGCTGTATGCAATTTTTACATGGAGGCAGTTAGAGGATTTTGCAGGATTGAGGTTGCATCCAAGCAAAAAAGTGGAGTGCTGTGGCCTTGTGGTTAAAGGCACTGGATTCATGGTCTGTGGGTAAAGTTGCAGGTTGTGGGTTCGAGTTCTGTCGGGGTCATGGTGCGTGTGCCCTTGGGCAAGGCACTTTGTCACTCATTGCTTCTCTCCACCCAGGAGTAAATGGGTACCTGTGAGGGCAGATATGGTTATTGTGATTGAATTAGCTTCCTTGGGCCTAACAGGCTGCATCGAGCTGTATACTCCCCAGGGAGCTGAGATGGTATTTGGAATGTTTAATTGGCCCAATGATCAGGGGTAATAATAATGTCAAGCGCTTTGATCTTACTTAAAAGCGCTATATAAGAACCTTTTATTATTATTAACAAGTACGAATGTGATGATTGGTAGGGTCATTATTTTTGTGCCTAAGTCTGTTTTTTTTTATACAATAAATGTGATGCGATCAAGCTAAATGAGTCGTTTGTCGGGAACTTTCATTTGGAAATAAAGGCCAAAATAGAGCCACTTGATCACATCATTTCATCACATCTCTTGGTGTTCCGATTTCCATAGTTTTTAACTAAAGATGGTATCAGCATGTGGTTTTCACAGCAGTAATGCTGAGATTGTGCTCTTTTCAAATCTGTAAAAAAAAAAAAATGACCAGGGTCGACAAACGACTCATTTTGCTTGATTGCATCACAAATATGCATTGTGTAATGTGTATTATAACTTAAAGAACGTGACTCCTTTCTTTCAGTAGGTTTTGAAATGAGATGACAGGGATACTAACCAGCTAGGCCAGACAAGATTGAAATTCAGCAACCATCATGGCGGAGGATATTGACCGATTTATCCAAGAGCAGAAGAGGCAGCTGGCACGAGAACGCAATGAATTGCAGCAGGAGAGTGCTCGGAAGGTGCGTAGGTTATTATTATTGTTATTAATCATTTCTGGTAATTAAACCAAGGATTCCTCAAAAGCGCCCTAGGCACTGTAGCTCGCAAGCCTGAAGAAACCTGTGGAGAGAAGACAATGAGAACAAGTTACAGTTTTAGAGGTGGGAGGAAAACCCTAGAAGAATATTCTGGGGAAAACCCACGGAATCAGGCAGGGGCTGAAAACTCAATCCACATATTGGCCCAGGTGGGATTCAGCCCGGGTCACAGCGGTGGAAGGCGAGGAAAGTACCGCTAGGCCAACCTGACTCCCCATTATATAGCGCTTTTGAGTAAGGTTCCTTACTGTTGCTAACGATGGTGAATGAAGTCAACTCAACCTATTATTGTTGCATTGTTCTTTTGAAGGCCAAGAGAAACAAACCTGTGTTTCTGGTTAGGCCAAAAAAAAAAGTCTCCGATTTCTGGTATGGAGCTTGCCCCAAAAGTGGTGCAGCGACGCGGCTTTTTTTTCCTTCTTTTTTTAAACTTTTTTTTCTTCAAATGTCGGCTGATGACTGCAAATGTTGCCAGACTTAATTTAGTGCAAAATATGTGGGAGTCAAGAGAGGCCACATAAAGCTTATACTCGATCGTAACCCCATCTAAAAACAGGTTAAAATTGTGCAGCAGCAGGATTTCAGTCGAACCAGTGAGTTTGGCGGTTTTGAGATATCATCTTACATTGAAAAAAAACTTTTTCATTTTGCCGACGCGCATGGTTACGGCGACGTGCACGCAAACCAGAAACCGAAGACTTTTTTCTTTGGCCTTAACCCAACCAACCTTGAAAATAACACCGAAAAAAAATGTTGCGTCTGTGCAACAAGGTCGTAAACTCCATTCTGCAACAAAGTTGTATCTCGCGAATAAGCTCCGTGCAACAGCGTCGTATCTCGACGTCCATAGACTTTGTGTGTGCATCTGGGTTATTTTAAGTGAGATACGAACTTTGACGATTTGAGACTCGCGTTTCACGTGTGGCCCATTTTATGAGGTATGACCTTGTTGCACGGACACGACGAGGTAGCCAGGATGAAAAGAATCATGAACCACATTGGTCTAGTACATGTACATGTATATGATATCCTTTCAAATTTTGTAAAAGAACAATTCCTCATTTCAATTTTGATCTGTGCAGGTCCTTGAACCAGCATCTTCTAACAACCCAGGACCTGGCATTAATGGATTCAAGGAAAACATTCCCCCAAGTGACAAAGGTAGAAAAGATGAACCACTTAGATGAATTCATAAATACCTCAGTCAGTTTAGCTATTCCTATTGGTCGAGAGCCCGTCAAGTGGCCGGTCTTTAATAAACGGATGATAAAGACATGGCTAGCTGGTCTTAAACACTTTTCCAGTGTCACAATAAAATGTGGACTCCTAAAAATCCAGTGCCTCTTACCGTTTCATTGGTTGAACGTTCACAATCCTCACGTAGGCATGCGCAACACTACCAGGGAGTCAGAATTTTATAGTTCTAAATTCAAAACTTAACGCCCCAGGTGCGTTCTGCGCGACATCGCGCAGAACATGCTGCGCGCGCGTCAATCTCCATAAAAGGGTTGTTTACATCTTACTCTCCAGCTGAACACTCATTATTTTGCTAGAGGGATGTTTCAAAAAGCATGAAGTAAACTTGTTGAACAAAATCGGGATTTTGTAAACGAATTATTATTTTTTTTTTTTTACCGAAAAGGTATTTATGAATGGGAATAAATATGTGCTCGGTCGGTATTTATCACTCTGTTTAATACCGCTTAGAGTCTGGGTGCTGATAATTACCCTCGCCTCCGGCTCGGGTAATTATCAGCACCCAGACTCTAAGCGGTATTAAACAGAGTGATAAAAACCTCCGGAGCACACATTTATTCCCTTAATATAATATGATTATAAATGTGTGTTTCTTATAAAGCACACATACATGTATCCACCAGTATTTATTGCTCGAGATGCTTCATCATTAGCACCCATGCTCACCGGGCCAATGAAACATTCCAAAGACAATCTCAGCTCCCTGGCATGCCTGGGGTGTATACAGCTCGATGCTGCCATTTCAGTGCAAAGCAGCTAAAAACAGTCACAATTTAACCAGCTCTGCCCTAACAGGTACCCATCTACTCCTGGGTGGGGTGTTTCTAAACAATGAGTGAGAAAGTGCCTTGCCCAAGGGCACACACCACAACCCCAGGCTGGACTCGAACCCACAACCTGCAGAACTACCTGCAGACTTTGAGTTTAATTCTGCAGACCATGAGACAACAGCACTCACCAAAAAACAAAATAATGATTGTAGATTTTTTTCAACTACCCTCCCTCTCAGGCAGGCAAATTTGAGCCATCCCAGCAGTAAACATTACTCAAGTGACTGTCTTTGACTCTTGAGAGTTCACTGGCCACATAAAGCAGGATTGACTGGCTGTGACTGTTTATGTGACTTGATACAACTATGCTTTGACTGCGGGAGATTGATCAGCCAGCTGTGCCTACCAGTTACTTGCTTTTGTCTGTTGATGGAATTTGACTGTCTCAGTGCTTGCTTGAAATATGATCTGGCTGTTTATGACTAGCCTTAGGCACAGCAAGGGAACAGGATTGCTTTTTTTGACTTTCTGTAACTGTTCAGACAGGAGGAGCGTTAATACATGTGTATTCACTCTGCTGGGTGTTTCAGTATCACAGAATGTTTTCGATTCAAAGACCTGGACTTTTTTTTTTAGAGAGAGCTGGGAACTCTTTTGATTGAATTATACTGCAATACACAAGCATGCAACTTTTCCTCGGATCCGCTGATTTCCTCGTTTTTTACTTCTCACGATGCCATTAAAATTGGAAAAACACTGTACAAAGCCTTGTGTGCATTGCAGCAAGGATGATCACCTACACTAGGAAATCGGACCACATCACACCAGTGTTAGCCAACTTGCACTGGCTCCCTATCCAACAACGAGTCAAATATAAACTGTGCCTCATCATCTTCAAGACCTTACAAGGTGACGCTCCAGCATACCTAAGCGATCTTGTCCAGCTCTATGCCCCGGGGCATCGGGGCTTACGATCCTCACAACAAAAACTCCTTAAGGAAAACATGGCTAATCATCGATGGGGGGAGAGAAGCTTTCAAACTGCTGCACCAAGACTTTGGAATTCCCTACTTGAAACTGTTAGACTTTCAAATTCACTTGGCACATTCAAGAACAGTTTAAAATCCTACCTGCATAGGGAAGCATTTGGTTGACTTTGGTTTCTACCTGTTTGCTTGACGATGCCGTCTTGTTAGTGTGACAATGCATCTTGACAGGTGGAGGGTCGAGTCAACCAGGTGGTTCTTTATTCTTATTGTTTTCTGGTTGTTGTGCAGTGCAGCGCCATGAGCGCCGCAAGCGGCGGATACCGGCGCTTTATAAATTTTCATTATTATTATTATTATTATTTGGAGTGTTCTCGTTGTTTCTAAATTCCCAGTTGCATGCCTGATTACAATGTAGTTTCTAAAATTAATGACATGCCACTGTCATAAGGTTTTAGTAGTTCTCTATTTTTTATTTATATTGTAAAGGTGTTGCTTTGGAAACAAGCAAAGCGCTGCCCGTAGGTAGCCATGACAACCTGAGGAACAAGCTGGCGAAAGAGCGACACGATGAGTACCAGAGGTTTCTAGAGGAGGTTTGTTGTGATTGCATTTTCTCTCATTTTAGTCCGGCAGCCAGAGGATGAACCATGTTTTCTTGGATATATAATTTTTTTTTGCATTTTCTTATCAAGAAGGCCATTCCCTTCAAGAATCTGTGTGATGACACCTTCTCAGGGTTGGGCATCATCTCTCAAGGCACATTGTTTATTTTCCCATTATAATGTGCACACAAATGACTATTCTTAGTAGTCTTAGCATTGGGGGTGAATGGAGATCAAACATTACTCCATTACTCCATCATACTTGAACCAATGTTAACGTAACTTGCCACAACTATTGTTCAGTAACATGACATCATGATGACATCGTCATTTGTCATGGAAACAACCACTTGAGGGCGCTATACTCAAGCGTGTTTTAAGCACATTTAATTGTGGATTTTTTTGATATGTAGAAATGCAAGTTATTTCACTTTATCAGTCACCCTTTCGCTTTATCAGTGACTGGTGTTAAGAGTTCCCAGCCTACATACAGCAGGATTGACTGGCTGTGACTGTTTATGTACCTTGATACAGCTATGCTGTGACTGTAGGTGATTGATATTAAGCCAGCTGTGCCTACCACTTGTCTGCTTTTGTCTGTTGACTGAATTCGACTAGTCGCAGTGCTTGCTTGAAATATTATCTGACTGTTGGTGACTAGCCTGTGTAAAAGGCATGCCAGGGGACGAGGATTTATTTTCTTTTTAACTGTCTGTGACTGTTTAAACAGCAGGAGGGCTAAGTAGGCCCATACTGAAGATCCCCTGCTTTTATAATGACTTAAAATTCTTTCTGATGTACATGTATTGATTTTTTCCCTTAAAATATTCTGGACTTCCAACTCGTAAGTATTATCTCAACTAGTGCTAATCTCAACAGTGCTGTTTCTGTCACATGGAACTAGCATTACACGTAGCTGCACTTTAAAAAAATAACCTTTTTGTGAACTGTTTCTGAAAGTGTTTTTTTAGGGATTCAAGAACAGAAACCCCACACCAACATTGCCCCTAACCCCAGGCCCCTTTTAGTCTGAGTATCACCCGTTATCCACAGAGCAAGTCTCCTGTATAACGTCTGATATGTCTAGACATGCATATATATGCAAGCCGTGCGCCAGCCGATCGGAGTCGACTTTACTAAATCGTGACGTCATTTCATTCCTAAATCAGGACTAAATGGTTTGATTGGTCAATTTGAATGCAGTGTTTTGTACAACAGCCGGGCGCGATATCGCGTAACATGATAATTTTTTTTTTATCCATGGCATTTCTATGCGAGCAACGGATGAATGACCAAAGACCCGATATAGAAAGCGCCCGCTGATTGGTCAAAATCTAGGGGACAAGAGGCGGGGTCTTGCCTAATTAATCAGTGAATCTGTTACGCTTAATAGACCACTACATATAATAGACCAGGCCACTTTTTGGCTAGCATGCATCCTCAAACCTGCAAAGATCTCAACCTGCCACCGCCTAAAAATCAGAAACTGCCTCGATCATCCAAAAATCCAAAATCATCCATTATTTTGTGCAGTGGAGGGGTGAGCAATACAGAGATGAAAATGTTCCGATTTTAACTGGAAATCCAACTTTTTCAAATTTATTTCCAAAATTCCAAATATCTGACTGCATAGCTACACATGGATGGAAAGCACCTACTGTGTTGTCTGTCACTGTCATCACACTCATTTTAATCGTTTGCTGTCTTGTTTTTTAAGTTAACTACATGTGTCACTGCACAATGACACTGTGAGGAACACTCTTTATATTGGTTGTAAACAGGATGAGTAAAAAAATAAAACGAAACCAAAATGTCGGGGCCATCGTTTTAGTGAAGTCCTGCATGTAGCACTTTCAAAATCTAGGATATGAAAGCCCAATCCATAAGCTTTCTTTTAGTACAAGAATCATTCAAATCACTCATGTAATTTTCAAGTTGTGGAATTTTAAACACAACCACCGTTTTAAAGTTCTGTACACAGATCACAAAAAGGTGAGTGTTCTTTCAGCAAAACGAAAACAATCACATAAGGATGTGTGTGAATTGTTTTCGTTTTGCTGAAAGAACGCACACAGATCAAAAATAACATTTTCACAATTGTCATTTTTTTTTAGATTTAAGTGTGGTTTGGAAACTGCTTCAATAATTTTTTGGTTTTTGACTATTATCTCTTTTTCTTTCATGAACAGAAGGAGAAACGGTCTGGTACCCGATCCCAGCCCCAGGCCGCGGTAGATGGAGGGTCCTTAAACATCCCAAGCAGGGATTCAGCCAAGGTCTGGTTTTTGTTCTTAAATCTCAAGTATCTCTTTGAGAACCACCTTTCACTTTAGTATGTGCGTCACTCTATTCCCGAGGGCATTTGTGATGGGCACTGTCCTGGATTCTTACTGAAGGGCGGACATTTTATGGCAGGCGCTATGAGCGCTCATCTGTGGTGGATACCGGCATTTTACAAGACTTCGTGATTATTCATTCAGTCAGTCATAAATACCTAAAACAGTTTACCCATTCCTATTGGTCGAGAGCCATTCACGTGAGTGATTTTAAACGGTTGATAAAACACCAGCTGGCTGGTTTTAAACACTTTCTCGGTGTCCACGAAATTTGGACTCCTATGAAATCTAATCCCTCTTGCCCTTTTATTGGTTGACCGTTCACAAACTTTGCATTCTACCAATGAGTCTATATTTTTATAGTCACTAATTCAGGCTACACCTGCACTGCTGCATTCTGCGCCACAGAATTGTTTTTGTAGAACAAATGATCTGGGGGTCAGCACCTGCATTGATTACCGGAGCTACATGTGGTTACCCACAGTGCTTGCATTTCAGTCACAGTAATTTGTGGAAGAAATGAGCCATTTAGGAGCCACCAGTGTACACGAATGTGCACTGTGAACAAATTACAGGGGGTAAATGTGGTGTTTATTCTCTGCTTGTACCTGGAAAAGGCAAAACAAATGTCCTCTTTAATAATGACAGCAAAATAAGTTCGTCTGCATCCAAATTGGTTTACACTGCGACTTTGGATTCTATTATAAAATTAACTTTGTGCAGAAAAAAATTGGAAGCTGTGGACAGAAATGGCTACTTAAAACAATGACATAGGTTCATAAATTGCTTACTTTTATTATTTTGTTATATTTAATAGGATCGGTCGAGAGTGGCTCGTAACAAGGAATATAATGAATTCCTGAAGAATAAAGGCGGCAGTACTTCACGCAAGCCCAGAGTTGGCAACGACGAATTATCACCGGGAATTGTAAGTTGAAGTGCAGAGCTAGAGAACGGCTTCATTTCTAAGGACTTTAAATTTGTCTGAATCGATCATGTCTGGCTACATGTGTGAATGGCTTAATTAGGTGTTGGGCCTTGAGCCCAACACCTATTGGTTTTGTAAGAATTTACTGTTTTTGTTCTTCTCAGCATATTCTCCGCAAATCCTTCTCCAGAACTGTTTGGAAAAATGGAAACATATATGAACTTCATTTGTCAATACATGAATGCCCAATCCAGGGTCTTCATTTTTGGTATTAAGTGCAAAATCACTTGACCCTTCCTTCCGGTCAAAAGCCTTATTATTTGAAATTATTTGAAATTGGCAGGAGATGCGAACTTGCTTTCAACGATGTGAGTGTCTGCCTAGGCAGTACTGTACAAAAATTTTACAGGTGACGTCATCAAATGTTAAAGCGCCCTCCGGTGGCATGTCTGGAAACCCTTGATGGACGTAAAAGCTGAAATAGAGAACATGCCGCAGTTGTGCAAGTAGAAAAAAAAAAATCAAAATTCTAAATTTTCACTCCTCATGCAAACATGTTTCAATTTATATCTCAACTCTGGGACTTAAAATCGTTGAAAAAAAAGAATAACAAAAACCTAATTGTGTGTTTGTTTGTTGTTTATAGACCCATAGAGGAGCCGCTATCAACCCAATCACCGGCGATCCGGTAGCCGCGGCCAAACCCTCCCCACCCGCCCAGCCCAACAGCCATCCCCCCTCTGATCTAAGAGCAGCAGCCCCGCCCCAAGACAGATTCGCAGACATACAGACGCGACGGGAGGCAGCCTCACAGACCCCACGGCCCATACTGAGGGACTACGATGACAGACCCCCTCCCGGACCCCCAGGGGGACCTCGGAGGGGGTGGGGCACTCCCAACCCCGACTATGATGAAATCTTGAGAAGAAAGCGAGAGGAGGAGGCCAGATACAGGTGAACAGTTCCTTCAAATTTGTTTTGTCACTCACACCTAATTTTTTTCATTGATGACACTAGGGTGGTGTATCGGAGCCGAGTACCCGAGTACCCGACCATTAATGTCAGAACCGGTTCCAGATTATGGAGTCGAGTACCGGTAACCAACTTTGCAAATTACTTAGTAACTTCTCAGTCAATGAAAAAGAAATGTTTCGAATGTCAGTGGGAAAGTTTCAAAATGAAAAACAGGATACATGGAAAACCAAAACCAATGTCACGTTTTATGATGCTTGCGAAAGTTGCAGTTTTCACCACATAGCTAAAGAGCTCACTACGGTATACACCCTATCTGTCTGTACTGCCGCACTAATGTGGACCTTTATGAACAATCTGAACAGCAACTATTTTAGAATTTTTGGCTTGTGTTTCTTTAAAGCTATAGTCCATCATTTGCAGCTATCCGAAAAGTAGCTGGCGTAATTATTGTTGAAAAACATACTTGGTTGAAAGATAGTAAGGGGACTAAACTCCCTGTAAAATTATTCTTTCTGGCAAGCTGTCATTTTGAAGTAATCAACGAAAGAAGGCCTTTCCAACGGTGCTTCTTAAGACGCACCGTAGGAAAATTTAAATTAGTAGTTCGTTTTGTTATTCGGCGAAGCGCGCGCAAGCATTAGCACGACGCACACGCACCCCCGGTTGCTATAATTCGTCAGATGAGTGCGCGACATCGCGTAGCTGCATTCGGCTCAGCAAGAATGTGTCTCGGACGCTGAATTCAGGCGCAATTCAAAACCTGATTCAGCAACTTTTGATTTGAAATTGAGATCCTAGAATGCTGTTTTTCTCAGAATATACAGCTGAAGCTGAGCTGAAACTTTATCAGGTTAGTTGTTCAGTACCCTTCTTTAGATTTTGAGCACTTTTGTTGCTTCAAACGAACAAAAAATGCACAAATTACAAATGATGGACTATAACTTTAACGGATACCCGGGTAACCCACGTATTTTCTTTCAACGGGGCACTCAGTTCCTGTTTAACCCGTAAATGCGCATTCCTAGATGACACAAGGCAGGATGATACTTCACTTTGGCTTTTACCCCCATATTCTGTCTGAAATGCAAACCGGGCTTCTGTGTTCACGCAATAAAGGATTAAAAACTCCCAATCTTGCAGCATTAACCTCAAACCTCCAGAATAGACCCACGGGGTTTAGGAGGACTTTGCACAGATTGAGGAAGGTACATCCGTTTCACTCTTCCATGCCCTTCAAAGTTGAAGCACGTAAAATAAATTGTTTAGATGAGACAGCTGGAACTCAAACAGAGCGCTTGCTGTCTTCAGAGGCTGCCAGTTTGAGCCGAAATATCATGGGAAACTTGTGGAGGAATCGGACAACCATTACAGTGGAATGTCGCTATACCGAACACCACTATACCGAACATTTTGCTATACCGAACATCGTCCTTGGCTCCCAATTTTTGTGTACAAAACAAACCGAACATTGGAGTTGAAAACCGTCAACAGAAGAGCGAAAGTGGCTATTATTTCCCCAAGGCATAGAAGGGGAAAGCCACCCATCGATGTAGGTAGTAAGCTCAAAACTGCGTAATTACATTATTCAATAGTCGGCATGTGTTCGAAGTCGTCTTTCAGTAACTACCAGGGCGTGCATGGTGAAGTTCTGAAGGATGCTATTTATTGAAAAGTGAGTACCGGAGCACCGGCAGCTTAAACTCGCTATACCGAACGATCGCTATTACGTACATTTTCTGTGGATCCCGCGATGTTCGTTATAGCGGTGTTCCACTGTATTCGGCTTGAAAAAAAAAAATTGATTTCTCCCACCACTGCAGTGCAACTTTAACAAGAAGTTTATTGTGTATTTTTATCTTGTATGTCTTGACAGACGGTATGATGATGATTTAGATTACTACCAACCTCGTGGAGGAATACGACCCTCCTACAGCGATCCACATCTCAACAGATACCCCCCTGAGGTACAGTACAAAAAGCAATTCCATTATGATGTTCAGTCGGAGCTGAAGCCAAGTTCTCACAAGTCCTCACAAGTCCATCACAAGTCATCAAAAGTCATCACATGTCATCCAGTCTCTAGTCTTGTTTTTTTGTGTGTGTAGGTGCCTTGATCAGGTTTCCGTATAAGTGCGCTATGTAAATTATTATACTTATTATTATCATTATTATTAGTCAAGTACAAGCTATTCAAATGAACTGTGACACAGGTATTCTGTTGTCATTTTTCGTCTCCTGTTTTCAAGCTCTGGCTGGAGCTTCTGCATGCATGTCACTTTGTGGTCAGTCGGTTGTTCGGTCAGTCGGTTGGTAAGTCTGTCCCCGAAAAATTGACCAAAACGAGCCCCCCCTAAGTTTCCTATAAAATATAACTACAATTTAACCAAAAATTGAAGAAATGCAATGCCGTCATCAGTAAATGCACTCTTGGCGAAAGGTTTCGGAACACGCCCCTTTGTTTCGAGCGATGCGCGTGCACGTCTATTTTGCATATGAAGCGAGACAGTCTGGAACCGGGCCAGAGCTTATTGTGCACTTGCGCATGTTTACTTGTGATTAGAATTGTGGTGGACATAACCCTAACCCCTAACAGGTTTTTCTCTAGGCACCCTGCCAAATGCAACTGGGCTGAAAGAAGAACCTTGCTAAATGCAACAAATTGCAACAGTGGATTCTGTTGTTGCATTGTGCAGTGAACCCAGTGCATACCAGCCTTGGCACCAAGCAGTTACCCTGCTAAATACAACCAAGTGCAACAGTGGATTCTGTTGTAATTCCTTGGCGACTATTAGTAGTTACCCTGCTAAATGCAACAAGATGCAACAAAGCATGGGGACTTGAGTTGCCTGCTAAATGCAACAGTATGCAACAACTTTTTACCTTTGTTGCTTTCTGTTGTATTAGCAGGGTTTGGGTTACCACAACTCAGTACACTGATTTTGATTAAAAAAATTATCCTGTATGGCTTTCTAAACAAAAATTTAAAATTAAAGCTTTTTATAATAAATTCAACTTTATTTTTGTTTTTGTTTTAGGATGGGAGGTATTCCAGAGCCAGAAATGACTATTATGACCAGGAATATGACAGAAGGTAATTTCAGTATTTGCTTCATAAAAGATAACATTATCTTCAAGCAAACTTGAATCCTCGATCCTGATTGGTTGATATATGGGAAAAAATAGTGTGGTATTATCACTTAAACCATTGCTTTGACATCAAACTATTGTTAAAAAAGTATGGATTCGGATCTATGAATCTGTTACGCTGGTCACAAAGTGTGGATTCGGAACGAAGAATCTTTAGTAAAGTGTGGATTCAGAATTACGAATCAATGCTTTGAACATGTCGGACAATTGTTTTCCATAATGAGCATTAATAGGACCGTCTGCGTGAAAAGTTTCCTTCCGAAATTACCAATGCATCTTCACTGTCAGATTCTCCGCCGTCACTGTTTAATAACTACTTTTGAGTAAAAGAAATCGTTGTCTGAACTATCCATGTTGACGCAAGGAGCCTACACACAAAATGACTTGGTTGTACGGGTGTGGCGATACACATAATGCACACACCACAATGCTTGATTACGTATAAGAACCTCGAAAAACTCCCTTGTAAATTACTCTAATGGCCACGACTCGACACGAGATATGCAAGTCTTTTCATCTCCGCTCACTGGACTGTTAATGACAATATTTCTTTTGGCACAATGGTTTAAGTCGAAGAATACACTCGCAAGTGTGGATTCTTAATTTACGAATTCACTCGGCGCTTTGCGCCTCGTGAATTCTTTAATTACGAATCCACACTTTCTCGTGTATTCTCCTTAACGTATATCACAGTCCATATTGTGCTTTTCTATTGCATGCACGTGTAATAGGAAAACCATTGAAAAGTTGTTGTACAATGTACGTAATCTAATCTTCACTATATGTCAAGTTTGCTTGAAGATAATTTCATTATCCCACTTGCGTGGCTCGTGGAACACGGAAAATGTGGTGTGTCTCTGTTCCATGTGTCATTCGCCCTTCAGCCTCATGGCATATGGGACACACACATGCACTACGTTAGTCCATGCTCCATGTACTCGTGGGATAACTAATATTGTTATATCGTGTGCTTGGATACTGTAATTTTATTGGTCTGGGACGGCCACGTGTCTGGACAATAAAAGTGCATGTCACACACTGAGGGTGATATTGCACTGAACTTATTGCGAGCGTTGCGTGGCATGTGGAACCTGTCGGCGTGCTATAGCCTTGCGCCATAAGAACTGCAATATCAAATCCTCAGTCTCATGTCCGGCAGTAGATCAAAATTTTCAGTTATCAAAGGTTACATCGCAGTGGTTTAATTTATTTCTCACACAGTAAGTTACAACCGTTTATCATTTTGAGTTATTGGCACGATATAACAAACAATTCTTGACTGCTGTGATGTGGAATATGCCGTTTTTAACACCTGAGGGGCTTACAGCACTCGAGGGTGCTATGGGCATTAAAAAGTCATATCCCACATCACAGCAGTCAAGAATTATTATACCACTGTATTGTTTGTTATCAGTCCAAATAATAATTATCCCCAGTTTGTGCTGAAGTATCTTGTATGTTTATCTTCCAACAGGAGAGTGAGATTCAGCGATGAACGTAACCCAAACGACAGGTGAAGAAAAATCTTGCGTTGTTTGTGCTGAGCAAAATGAAACTCCCATTTACTGATTGTGCGTTTTGACTTTGGGTGTATCGGCTTCTATAACACACCTGAATAGAATATAAACACAGAAATGCAAGTAGCCATACAAAAGCGGTACAAAGTTTCGAGTTTTTCATAGGTGTTTGCATAGACATGGATGGGCCCAGCAGGCATCACTATGTACATCGAGTTACAATTTAGCTCTTTAGTAATTTACTATGGAGTACCGAAGTGAATACGTCACCCGCACAAAATGTGTGTAAAAGACATTAGCGCGTGATTCAGCTCGTGAACCAACACGCGTGCGTACTCCGTTCATTTGCTCTACACTTTCGGTACTCCATAGCTCTATGGTTACAACAGACCCCCTCCCCCATGGACAGACCTGCAAGCAGACCCCCCCCCCCTCCCTCCCTTATTTAACAGCAATTTTAATGTAGCATGTATTTGAATTTTTTTATGCAGGGGTTATCCACCTCCTAGCAACGTACGTTATGACAGACCCCCTGCAAACAGAGCCCCCGGGGATGGCAGGGATGTGCTGAGTGAACCCTTAGCATATGACTGGGTATGTATAAGTGCTCATTGTACTTGGTCACATTCGTGACCAAGACTCCCCATGGATAGACCCCCCATGGATAGACCCCCTGCAAACAGAGCCCCCATGGATGGCAGGGATGTGCTCAGTGAACCCATAGCATATGACTGGGTATGTATAAGTGCTCATTGTACTTGGTCACATTCGTGACCAAGAAACCCCTTGGACAGACCCCCTGCAAACAGAGCCCCCGAGGATGGCAGGGATGTGCTGAGTGAACCCTTAGCATATGACTGGGTATGTAAAAGTACACATTGTACTTGGTCACATTCGTGACCAAGACCCCCATGGATAGACCCCCCTTGGACAGACCCCCTGCAAACAGAGCCCCCGGGGATGGCAGGGATGTGCCGAGTGAACCCTTAGCATATGACTGGGTATGTAAAAGTACACATTGTACTTGGTCACATTCATGACCAAGACCCCCATGGATAGACCCCCCTTGGACAGACCCCCTGCAAACAGAGCCCCCGGGGATGGCAGGGATGTGCCGAGTGAACCCTTAGCATATGACTGGGTATGTATAAGTGCACATTGTACTTGGTCACATTTGTGACCAAGACCCCCCATGGATAGACTCCCCCTTGGACAGACCCTGGCCCTGCAAACAGAGCCCCTGGGGATGGCAGGGATGTGCTGAGTGAACCCTTAGCATATGACCGGGTATGTAAGTGCTTATTGTACTTGGTCACATTCGTGACCAAGACTCCCCATGGATAGACCCCCGTTGGGTAATCCTGCGAAATCCTCCAACTGCCTCCGTGTAAAAATTGCATGTGCACTTCAATCCTAAAAAATCCTGCGTTATTTCTTGAATGTGAACCTTGGAGGGGTGACCGCTGCCTCAATCCTGCAAAATCCTCCAGCAATCACTGTCAATATGTTGAGGCAGAGCCAGTGACATCCTGGAGCAGTGCGGAGGATTTCAAGTATAATCTAGGCCTAAATTTATGCACGGCTGAGCAAAAACAACACAAGGTCCGGCCCAAGACCTTGACACAGTGCCATCTCGAAATTCAGGCAAACATTTGTGCCATAAAGCCTCAATCCTGCAAAATCTTCCTTTTTGCAAAGAGGATTTTGGAGGATTTGGGAAGGTTAGGGTTAACTATTTTTAGTTCCAAATCGTTTTTATGATGTTTCACATGTGAGTAATACATGTACTTGTGCATTTTATTTATATTTTGACAGAATATAAGCCGCGGTGGACGCAGTCGTACTTTGCCCGAAATGGAAAGGTAAAATTTCCGCTGTCAACTTCTAAATTTAAATTAGTACTCAGGAAGAGATTTACATGCCTCTAGTACCCAGCGCCTTCGAATGACAATTATTTTCAGATGCTACAGGCCTTACCAGTGCTTTGTAATACACTCAACCAAAAAAGAAGGTCCCCCCTTTCAATGCAGAAATTCCTTAGCAATCCAGCCATACTCTTTATTTGGCCCAAAACAGTGATAATGTGTACAAATTTATGCAATTTATAACAAATGATTCCGAAAACAGTTGCACCAAGTTGTGGTTCACACTCACCTTGCACGAACACAAAAGTGCAACTTTTTTTTCGGTACCACTTGTCATAAATTGCTTTAGTGTGTACACATTATCACTGAATGGGCCAAACAAAGAGTATGGCTGGATTGCTAAGGAATTTCTGTACTGATTAGTCGTTATTTGAGCGAGAGGTGCTCAGTAGTTTTTGAGTTAGACAAAAAGTATTGGAAGGGGGGACTTTCTTTTTTGGTTGAGTGTATTTTCAGATGATGCACGCCTTACCAATGCTTTGTATTATTACTGTGGGAAGTCGTAGTTTTACCTTTTTTCGCCTTCCACTTCTGATGACAGTGGTTCGAATCTCGCCTGGTTCCCAACAGGGATTGGGTGTCTCAGTCACTCCTCGATCCGTTTGGTTTTCCTCTTTTAACTGACAAACATGATTAAAATACTAGTCGACCACCCGTGTGTTTAATAGGTAACATATGGCAGCGCGATGCAAGCAAATTATTACCACTTTTACTCTCATTTCATTGGTGCAGGTCACCGTACTATAAAGTGCTAAGGGTGTATGTACAGTGTGTGTGTGCTCACTGGGGCTGAGTCAATTCCAATAATTGAATATTGAATATTTCACCTTCCATTTGATGGAATATTCGAATACACTGGAAGGTGGACTTGATCATCCGATTTCCAGTTGAAAATGCCGTCATTTCATTTTTGGTAACACATACATCCGCTGCCTTTAAAGGGAATGTACAACATTTGCTTTTGCTGCAATTTTCAGAAATTAATGGATTCGGAGGATTAGTGTGCTATAGAAAATATTGTTAAACTAGCTTGTTTCACGTTTTGGGTTCGGAGATGCTGGAAAATCTAAGAAAACCAACCGTGTTCTTGTAGTCTGGTTTCCTGACCCCACTTAAGATGAGACATTGCAATGTATAGACTTTGGGGATTGTAAAATCAGAGAATCAGTTTAGCAGGCTTGTACCCCTTCGTAGATGTGTAATCAATTGCAAAGAAAATGCGTAATGACTAAATATATTAGGAGCAGCTTTTGAAGAAAAGCCAGTCTTCTCCAACGATGGTTGGCCGACCAGCGTTGGAAAAATACAAATTTTCTTGAAAATGTCAGCACACCAGGAGCCATGATTTTACAGGATGCTTTAGATTGTCATTCACTAACAGTCCAGTAAGATATTTTGTTATAATTTGATCATTTCGTTTTTTGATGTTTGCAAATGTTGCATCTTTCCTTTAAGTGTCTGGCAACATCTTGCAAAAAACTTTAAGAATGTTATTTTGTTTATAAAACAATTGCCTGTTCTCGTTTTTATATCATTGCATTTCACTCAGCAATCGAAAAAACTATATTTTGATTAAATATTCGAATATTAAAATATTCAGCACAGCCCTAGCTAAAATATTAAAATATTCAGCACAGCCCTAGGTCGACAGGCAGAGAATCCTCGTTTAAATTAATTTGCTTTCTAAGGGTTCAAGTTGTATTACCACAATTTTACTTGCTAATTACCCTTAAATCAAAGACTAAGAGATGTTATACAGTGGAACGTTGCTATACCGAACACCGCTATACCGAACATTCGGCTATACCAAACATCAGCTTTCTCCTGGTTTTAATGTACACAACGTACCAATATTTTTTGTTGAAAAAAGTCAACAGATTAACAAAAAAATCTACCGGTTGTACATGTATTAAACACTATTTGGGCCACTTTCAATTCTCGAACATCAAACGACCCATAGTTTCATCGTGTTTGAATGTTCAAAAGCAATAGATGGCTATTATTTCCCCAAGGAATAAAAGGGAAAACCACCCGTTGCTAAGTTTCGTGATGACTCCTTGTGCGGCCGCGGGATGTGGGAAATGCCAGTTCACTATTGGTCAAAAGAGGGTACCGGTGGTTCAAAATCGCTATACCGAATGATCGTTATTACGAACACTTTCTGTGGATCCCACGATGTTAGTTATAGCGTTGTTCCACTGTACTTGGAAAATGTCAGGCCTCAAATGGTGTTTGTTTTTTTCTGTACAGGCAAAGGTCTAACGTTAGCAGAGCTGACGATAACACTGACAGCAGACCACCCCGAGCCAAGTCAGCTACACTATCCAATGATGAAGTAGGCATAGCTATAGGTAAGTCTATCTCTTGAACAAAAACCCCAGGTTTTCCAAAACACATGCTTCTCCTGCTTCTGCTTCAGCAGCCGATTTCACGAAGCGCTACAACGCGTCGCAACCGGAGTTACGATGTGTAGCACGTCGCAACTCGCGATGCCTTGTAGGATCCTTTTCAAGAAATTTGCGGTGTGTTGAACGCATCGTAAGTTCTTTGACACTGGCTTAAAACACATCGCAGGTTAGGACGTGTCTAGTGGTTATTGGAAAATAAGAAGCAGCCTTATCTTAGCCTGTTTTATGCCATAAAAATTACATAAACAAGACTTTAATACCGAAACCATGTGTTCAAAGTTGATGTGGAAAATGCATTGAAGTAATTATGAATTAGCCTGGAATATTGCAGTTGAAATTTCAAAGAAGCTACACAGTCCACTGTGATCTTGTTTTCCTTTAAAATTGCATTACAAGTCTGCAATTTTGGTTTACGTTTTAAAAAGTTTTCGAGAGGAGATCCAACGACTCTCTGTTGAACATCAGAGGACTATTTACTGTACGCTGAATAAATACGTATAATAGTCGCCTTGTTGTGCTATAAATACACCTACGATGCGTCGCACTTACAACGATTTTTGTGAAATGAATCGCAGGACGCGTTGCAGCTGCGATGTATCATAGGGATACGATGAGTCGCAGCGCTGAGATGCATTGTAAGTTATGATGAGTTTCGTGCAGTCGAGTGCAGGACATTTAACCCCCTGTTAAGACTGGCGTTCCAGAGTCGCGGTGAACCAAATAGATTTCGGAGCGACTCGAGTCGACCCAAATAGAGTATTGGTTTCAGACAGGCGAACTTAATACCCTGGAAAATTGTGTGCAAACAAACAAACAAACGCACAGTCTTAGCAACTTGTGCAATGTATGGTTTGTTTTGTTTTCTAACAGAACCATGGTATCTGACTCAGACTTGGGGTTTCTCCCAACTGTTTCCTTGTAACCATTGAGGGTGCACATAGTCCATAGGTCAATATTCTGTTTTAAGAACTTCAAATTCTATCATTTTAGTCCAACGTTAACAGTACTCCCATTTGTTTTTGACGTGAAAGAAATGATGCTAGTCTTTAAATGATTACAGGAAATCGGGATACAGCCAGCGCTACAAGGCGAAAGAAGGATCAATATCGGAAGGAACTGGAGCAACAAATGAAGGAAGCACAAGAGGCGAAGAAGAGGTAGGTAGATAAGATATGGGACACCAAAACTGCATCATGAGTTCATCTATTTGGGGAGTCAGGTTGGCGTAGTGGTACTTTCCTCGCCTTCCACCTTTGTGACCCGGGTTCGATTCCTGTCTGGGCCAATATGTGGATTGGGTTTTTAGTCCTTACCTGATTCCGTGGGTTTTCCCCAGAATTTTCTTCTGGGCTTTTCCTCCCACCTCTAAAACTGTAACTTCTTCTCATTGTCTTCTCTCTACAGGTTTCTTCAGGCTTGCGAGCTACAGTGCTTAGGGCGCCTTTGAGGAATCCTTGGTTTCATTACCAGAAATGATTAATAATAATGATAATAATCTACTTCGTCAGACACGTCATTTGATTCAGAAAAGTCATCATTCTGGGATGCCAACTTACTGGTTATAGCTAGAACTTTGCCAAGGAAATAAACATGTGCTTGGCCAGTATTAAACAAGTCCGTTTCAGACCAGCTGGGGAATGGAGGCTGATATTAGCCCGAGCCAAAAGTGAGGGATAGTATTGGTGACCAAGCCCCCAGCCGGTCTTAAACAGACTTGTTAAGCACATATTTATTCCCACTCCTAAATATCATTTGTCAACAATTAGTCTTTCTGAAATGCCTAGAAATGTAATCGAGGATTTTTGTTTGTTGTTTTTTTGCAGAGAGAAGCAAGAGGGATTACGCATCAATGCAACGGGTGCCAATGATCCGGCCAAAAAGGTTTGCAGAAAATAGTCCTTAAGTTTGCTGTCACACAAATTTTTGTCTGTTAGACGAGATTTTTTCTTCAAAATTTGACTTAAAGGGAATGTACATCACTGGCCTTTGCTATAATTTTCAGAAATGAACTATTTGAGGGGTTAGCATAATAGATCAAATATTGTTTCACTGACATGTTTGAAGTTTTGTGTTCGAACATGCTGGAAAAACCTAGATAAACAAAAATGTTCAAGTAGTCTGGTTCCCTGACTCTACTAAAGATGAAATGGATCAATTTATAGATGCCAGAAAATTGTAAGGTAAGGGGAACCAGTCTAGCTGGTCTGCACCCGTTCGTGAACATGTAACCAATTGCAAACAAAATTTGGACTGAAAAAAAGGTAAATTTGGAGCAGTAGTTGAAAATTAGTTAGGTTTTTCCAGCGGTGGTCGGCCGACCACCATTGGAAATGTATACAAAAACACTATTTTCTTGAAAATGACTTCACACCAGGTGCCATAATTTTACAGGATGCTTTAGACTGTCATTTATCAACATCCTAGGAAGGGATTTCGTAAAAACTTTGTAGTTCTATTTTTGGATGTTTGCAAATGTTGTATATTCCCTTTAAGTCTCTTCATGCTGTTCAAGCTTTACCAACCTGTATGTTTGTCATTGATGGTCAGTCCAGGTTTGCGTGTGGTTCCAATTTTCTTTGCTTCCGATTTTTTGTTAAGTGTTGTCATGTGCAAAGGCATTGACAAACAGGGGAACCACCAACATAGGGCTGGATAGCTCAGTTGTTAGAACACCGGAACGGTAATGCGGAGGTCGCAGGTTCACACCCTGCTCTAGTCAATTTCTGTGGTCAATATTGTAATAATTAGAAATGAATTTGAACCATTTCTGCATACTTGATGTCAATTCTGTATATTCTGTGCAATAGGCTCAAGGTTTCGGTGGCTACGCGTCATCCCGCGGCCCCTCAAGAACACCGGTGCCCAACCAACAACCACCTGCCCAGGCACCCCCACCTCAGCAGCAAGCTGGCAACCAGCCAGCGCGCTACCAGCCTTCATTCCGCAACCAGGCTTACCCAACTGGGCAAGGGCCGCCCGGGCCTGCCCTGGGTTTGGAGGAGGCTATTTCCAGGTCGCGGCTCGGTGATGCTCCCATGATCGAAAGGTAGAGTAATGCGATAAATCGATGATTCGTGTAAGCAATAAAGATCAATCAATCAATCAATCAAAAGAAATTTACAAAGCGCCAAAATCAAAAAGTTTGCTCTTAGGTGCTGATGGGGCACCAAAAAGAAGAGAAATTATTGATGGTACACCTGAAACAGGTGAGCTTTCAGGAGTGTCTTGAAGTTTGTTCCAGATTCTGGGGCCGTATACAGAAAATGATTATCAGCAAAAGAGACACAAGGGGTTCTGGGCTCAACAAAGTGTAGTGAACAGGAGGTTGATGATCGAAGTCGTCTCTGTTGAGAACTAATTTGGAGCATGTCCGTGATGTAAGCAGGAGCTTGTTTCCAGTAGGCTTTAAACATAAGAATGATGACCTTGCAGTTGATTCTTTGTGTGATTGGAAGCCAGTGTAATTTGATAATTTCAGGAGTGATGGAGTCGAACTTCCGTTTGTTTTAAATTACTCTGGCAGCAGATCGCTGAATTTTTTCAAGTCTATTTTTCAATTTCTGACTGATACTAATCAAGAGGCTGATTACAGTAGTCCAGTCGTGATGTCACCAGAGTGTGTACTGCTAACTTTGCAATCCATAAAGCCCCATGACGCTTGGACCAATCACAGCCTTGAGTAATGTCTGACATGCGTGCACAAAAGTCTGACATGCTTGCACAAAAGTCTGAGATGTGTGCACCTGCATATGATGCGTGCTACACGCGTGCGTAATGCGTGTGGTTGGAACAGAGGCGCATGGGTTGTTTCCCCACGTACACAGCATGTGGGATTTAAACCCTCCCACTATCTGAATGCAGTCACTAACAGTAAAAAAAAAAAACAATCCTCTTCCCCAACCATGCCTTTTACACAGGCTAGTCACCAACAGGTATATCATATTTCAAGCACTAGTCAAATGTTGAATTCTTTGCACTTCATACTGTCTCATTAGGGGAGAATGCAAAATTCAACAGGCAAAAGGTGGAGGTTTACCTTGAGGTTTTATGGGGTTTAGCATGCTGTGAGGTTTCGTGAGGTTTTGTGAGGTTGTATGGGGTTTTATTGGGTTTTTGAGGTTTTATGGGGTATTGTGACTCACAATACCCCATAAAACCATAAGACCTCACAGTGAGGTCTTATGGGGTTTTGTGAGGTTTTATGTGGTTTTGTGAAGTTTTACAGGGTATTGCAGGGTTCAACCTCAAGTTTCGCTATAATTTTGCATTTTTTCCTAAAGCAATCCCACAACTTCTCTAATTCTCAAAATGGTCATTTTGATTATTTTGTTTTCTTTCTCGCAGGCCATTCTCTCTGAACACCTACCAACCGCCGCTCAACGCCACCTCCACCGACCCATACATGTACTATGGCGTGAGGAATCCCTTGGACCCTGATCCTGGTACGTACCTCGCACACATACATGACACCCTCAGCTTCGCATTTACTGAGGTTCTCTTTAATACATGTGGTATGAGAGCCTTTAAAGTTGGGGTATGGACTCCATTCAGAGACTGTAGAGGGCGCTGTGTGATCTGGCATGAAAACTAGTGAAGGACACATTTGCTTATACAGGTTCGTCCTTACATGTGGCCTGGAGTACATTTAACCAAAAACATGGTTGAAAAGTCAACTTTTTGTCTAATAATTATACTAATTTCTTCATTGTTTCTCTAGATAATATCAGAACAGCTCGCACTTGGATCGATTCTATGTCCCGCTCCCTTAGCCGAACTGGCGGTGAATATATTTGTGAAACTGATGACGTATATACACGCTAGGGCTGTGTCGAATATCGGAACATCCAAATATTTGATAGAATCTAAGTTGGAATATTGGATATTCGAAAATACACAGCCGTATTATGCACCTAATGTGTATGAATCACATCTTTTGCAGCAGGCACCAAGTTGATGCAGTTGAGAGTTTGCTCACAGCACATCACAGTTTGAAATTTGTTACTTCAGTACTAACCTTTGAAATAATTTCATTTTTTTTAACGTTCGATTTGTGAGATTCAGATATCTGAATTGTTAAAAAGTGTTAATGTTAAAAGTTTAATATTTTTTTCCACTTAGGGAACCCTTTCATTTTTTATTCGTACTCAACTATCAGTACTCGAAAAAAATTGGACTTGGCCCGTACTTGATTCTTCATACTCGATTTTTGCACAGACTCAACAGTTTGGTAATCGGTACTCGACCCCAGTACTCAGGAGTACAAATCGAGTACATTTCTTTTAATTGATTCCATTGCTCAACCTGTCGCACAATGGCGCGCTTGCAGTCTGTATTACGGCTTAGTCCAGCACTCGGCCTTGAATGTACTCGTACTCGGTTCTTTGGACTCGGACTCGTCACAGTGTACTTGGACTCGGCCCTGGACTCGGCCCCTGAAGTACTCGGCGAACTCGGTACTCGGCTTCGAGGACTCGACTCCAACACTGTCAAAGGGTTGCCTCTGTTTCAGTTAAATATTGCCCAGCTTCCAAACGGCATTTTGTAACTTACATGTTTGTGTTGACTTGGTTTTAAGAATTGCAGTGAAATACATGTACTAACACAAATTTTACTACAGGATTGTTGCACCACGAGTGTTGAAAACATAACATTACAATCAGAAAAATTGTTTTTGTTTTCCCGGAAAATTTTGTTTTAAATCCATGTGTATTTTTAAACACTGTACTAACCCAAGCCCAGTGCATGTAGGGCAAAATGCATGTAGCCAGAATTTTTTAATTTGTTTAGTGCGTTTTGATTTGCAGGAGCCATTGTAGGCAAAGATGGAGACACATTTTCTGGTAAAGCAACCTTCTGCTGTTCTGAAATTTAAATCTTTGGTTTTAAATATGTTTACAACTTTATCATCTTTGTATTTGGAATATTGGTTATCGCTGATGACCCTTTCATTTTGTTCAACTTTTGCAGCAGTTTAATGAAAGTTTAATACTTGAAACATACATGTACACTTACCTGAAATACTTCACGAAGATTACCAGTGTGCTGATATTATACTAATGCTCTTGATAAATATGTCCATGTCTTTTGCCTCAGTTGCAGCTAGACCGGATAAACTCAATGGTATGTTTCTAATATGAGTCAACTGTCTGCACATGTCCAGTTTTCACCATACAATGACACAATATCAAAGATCTTATAGCGCCAAAGGCGCAAGATGGGGAACTCCATAGCAATTGGGAAATCGCCATTGACGCCATTCGAGTAAGCAAACGATTGCGCAAACCATTTGTTTGGACAATGGTTTGCACAATGGTTTTCACAATGGTTTGCTTACTCGAATGGCGTCCATGACGATTTCGCAAATTCCGACGATTTCTTGCGCCTTCGGCGCTATAAGATCTTAGCACAATATACATGCACATCACACCAATCTACTTTTTTTCCCCCATATTTACCGTATTTGTTGACACTGTGCAAGCACAGCTGGTCCATAAAGGCCAAGTGTCTTCTACCTTTCTCACTGACTGACTGGCTGACTCCCCAATTCACTGTCATTGTGAGTCGGGCAGTGCTATTGTATAGGATTACCCTGTAATCCCAATGAATGGGCTGAATCCAGCCCAGTTTGTAGACCAGATGCATGAAAAGACTTCCAGTGAATTAGCCAGGCTGAATCAATTGAATAGAATTTTGTGCATTCTGGGACCAGCTTAACTAGGCTTGCCTAAGGCGGAGTAAAACAAAAAATTAAGTGGTTTCTCATCCGGCCTTTTTGAAAAAAATGAAGGAGGCGGGCGCTTTTTTTCCAGTTTTTTTTCCACCAAGATGGCAGATTTTCCAAGATGGCGGATGGATTCTTAAATTTTCTCGACTATTTTGCTGACACAAAGTTGTGTCCAAAGGAGCCATAACACTTTAATATAGCTACAATGCTGTTGGAAGCAAATAAAAAGACAAAATAGTGACAATAAATGTGCAAATTAGAAAAAAAAAAGAAGAAAAAAAGAAAGAAGAGGTGGCTTGTAAAAACGAACCGGTTTGGGATGAGAAACTTGTCAATTTTTTTTACTTGGCGTAATATGATATACACGTTTCTTCACTGAAGAAAAGTGTGTATTGTGTTTTTGGAGGAAAAAAACCCCAAGGAATTAGACCCACAGTCAGCATGGTCAGTACATTGTTCCATGTGAAGTCACATTCGATATTGTTAGGCATTCATTTGCAATTTACAGAAATTCCTCTCTTTTTTTTGTTTAGCCTTCATGACTGATGTAGAAATTGCAGAGGGTAAGAAAGAATTGAAAACTCAATGAATGAGTCATACATAAAACGATTTTGGGAAACAAATTCAATTTTAAAAAGTATAGTTTAAAAGCAAAGTTCCTTAATTTTCCTGAAACACTTTAATAAACAGAGTCTGGCTCCATTAGATTATAAAATATATTCTTTGAAAGGGGGGGGGGGGAGAATTATCCTTTCAGACCATTTTTGTGTGTGTTTTAATTTTTGTCATGCATACATGTATAAACTTAAATGTATTTGAAGCACAGAAATGAAGTATTTCATTGCATGGACTATTTCCCCTAGGCCTACTATTTCTGCAGTTTAATAATGAAGACACGGCAGCAGTAATGCCACGGCAGCAGTAATTTATTGGGGTGAAATTTTGTTGTTGTTGTGATTTTGTAGTCCATAAATGTATGTTACATATGATGTCATATTCTATTTATAGCCAACCTGGTGAACCAGGGGGTCCCCAGACAGCCACAAACCCCTCGCCAGCAGCCGGCAGGTGTCTTGACACGATATGATGGACATCAAGGTGCCCCTTCCCACGTCCCCACAATAACCCATCTGTTGCCTAGTTTTGGAATATCACTCTCTGTTTGTTGTATTAGCACATGTGCTGTTCAGTCCTGTTAATATATTGTGATGCAACCTCATCCCCAGGGTGTTGAGCAGTACGCGCCCACCACAACCTGCTCTGTCACCCTGGTATTGGATCATTTGCACGTGCTAAATTTTTGCACACGTATGCAAATGAGCAATAGTCTGGTGCCTGCCTGTGCGTTACATTTGCGTTTATTTTTGTATGCGGTGTCTGGGGTGAAAACAGAATCAATTCGTCGCAACGCGAGCATGGCGTCAGCTACGAAAACACGATTTTATTTTAATTAAACTGTTGCGATCTTAACGAGACAACATGCAATATCACATTTGATATTAATATTAACAAAGTGGAAAGGAAATGAATATTTTCGAGAAGGCGTGGACAAATGATCGCAAAAACACGTACTACACGTTGTGAATAACAACACCAAGTACATGATATAAATCCATTTCTACATGTTCTAGCCAATTGCGGTATCGAATCAGGATACAGGAAGAAAGTTTCCTATCCAGGGTTTACTATTGGAAATGAGGTTGGAAATAAAGTAAGCACTGGGGACGAGGTTGATTGTGATGCACTGCAGAATCAACTCTTGCAGTTTAAAGGAACACTACAGCCTAAAATCGCTAACATTTGTATGTTTTTGGATTGTTTTCTCATCCTATTTCAAAGTTGTGGTTGAGACTAACCTAGTGTCGCGCTGTTCCTGAGTTAAGATGAAAAAACCTGGTTGTTTACTTCTAACCCAACAGAAAGTTTGTAGCATATACTTCAACTGAAAAAAAAAATGCATAAAAAGCAGATGATTCTTATTGTACCTTTTAATTATATTTACCTGCGTTTGTTTCTAAAAGTTTTTAATTGTACTCCTGTCTTGTCATACCCCAGAATTATAACTTTTCTTTTAGTGTTTCTTGTAAAATTGTCTGTCATTGTTCCATGTTAAAATATGAAATCAGTAAATAATGATGCATCGACTCTGCCAGGCAAATTTAGGCTTTACTTCTGTTGTTTGTGTTTATTCATGTAATTAGATCCTGCACGCGAATTTTAATGAGAGGAAAAAGTATTGTTGGTGTTTCTTCATCGACACTTTCTTTCTTACACAAAGCTTACATTAAAAATTCTTGAGTTGCTTTTAACACTTGTAACTTTTGTTGAAGTTTTTATAGTTTTCACATCTGATTGATGTTGAATACAGTTTCCACTAGTACTAACATGACTTATAAAAGAATATTTGAACATTGCAATGAATTCATTAATTGCAAAATTTTAACAAACGTCACATACTACATATGTGATGCGCTCAAGCTAAATGAGTCGTTTGTCGACCCTGGTCAATTTTTTTTATTGCAGATTTGAGAAGAGCACAATCTCAGCATTACTGCTGTGAAAACAACATGCTGGTACCATCTTCAGTTTAAAAATTATGGAATTTAGTCCGAACATGAAGAAATGTGATGAAGTGATGTGATGAAGTGGCCTTATTTTGGCCTGAATCTCCAAATGAAAATTCCCGACAAACGACTCATATAGCTTGACAAATCACAAATGGGATGCGATCAAGCTAAATGAGTCGTTTGTCGGGAACTTTCGTTTGGAGATTCAGGCCAAAATAGGGCCACTTTATCACATCACTTCATCACATCTCTAGGTATTCCGACTTCCATAATTTGCTGTTTTCCATAATCCGACTGTGCTGTTTTCAAATCTGGAAAAAAAAAAAATATTGACCAGGGTCGACAAACGACTCATTTAGCTTGATCGCATCACACATAAAGATAAGGTTTTTTTTAATACAGAAAGAGTTTAACAATCCATTAGGATAAAGAGAATTCCAATTTTTTGAAAAGCACAGATAATACGTCTTTTCGTCCTTTCATACATATTTTTCCTTCATGACCCAAGCAGTACAGCAGCCCCTCACTCCACGGCAAGGAAGACGACAGACCCAGAATGCTTCTCAATTGTCATCACCGTTTGCAAGTAAACAAACATTACACTTTGAATGAGTCCCTTTATACTCAATAGTTTGATCCATAATGCTCTTCCCAGCCTAGTGGTTAGGGTACATGTATGTGACTCTTGATCAGAGGGTCAGCGTTTGAATCCAGCTGCTGGCAATATATTGGAATTCCCTACCTGAAACTGTTAGACTTTCAAATTCACTTGGCACATTCAAGAACAGTTTAAAATCCTACCTGCATAGGGAAGCATTTGGTTGACTTTGGTTTCTACCTGTTTGCTTGACGATGCTGTCTTGTTAGCGTGACGATGCATCTTGACGGGTGGATCAGGGTCGAGTCAACCAGGTGCTTCTTTATTCTTATTGTTTTCTGGTTGTTGTGCAGTGCAGCGCCATGAGCGCCGCTAGCGGCGGATACCGGCGCTATAATAATTTTCATTATTATTATTATTATTATTATTATATTGTGTCCTCAGGCAAGCCACTTTATCACAACTTGCCTCTCTCCACCTAGGGGTTTTTAACCGGTATTGTCATTAGCTAGGAAGTAAGTTGTGATGGACTGGCATCCCATACAGGGGGAATAGAAATAGTCTCTGTAATTTCATGCCATGGAAACCGGAGATAAAATGGAAACCGGCCTGATGGGCCATATTGGCTTGTGACAGACTTTACTATTACTGTGCACATAGAGAACAACATTGCGTATTCCAGCTGCGCAAATTGTAAGTGCGCGCACGCATGTCAGACTTTTTGGGCATGCATGTTGGACATAAATCACAGCTGTTATCGGTCAAAACACCACGGAGCATGCAGGGCTCAATGGATTGATCTTTGCACTCTGCAACAGTTATCCTTATTGTAGTATGGCGGACACAATAGAGGGTGCTATTTCTTGTACATGTACATGTAGGTAAGTTTGAGTGGTTGAAAAGTGTTTACCCAAATAAGGCAAAAAAAAAAATAGTTGGTCTCTGGTCAGACCAAAGTTACGGAATTGATGCGGCGACGCGTTTGTTTTTTGTTTTTTCAAGCTTTGATTGTACAGACAAGCTGGGTACTATTTTGCTGTTTTGTGTCCTCATATACATTGGTGTCCTCCATCATCTGCCTTGGTGCAATTTCCCCTTTCCTTGGTGTTCCTTGGTGCAACAATTTGAGTTGGTGCAGCAATAGAGATCGCTGCTGTAGCTACCGTGGAAAATTTGGGGACAAAAAAGATTGATGCACATGATTAAAATCAACGGGCACACTGACCAGAGACCGAGTATTTTTTTTTTTGGGCCTAAGATAGCACCTGTCTTTTGTGTCCACCATATCTCAAAGACGCCAGTAAAAGTTGATGCAAAAATCTATGGCAACAATAAAAACTTCTCCAAAGTAATCTAACTTTGAAAACAATTTTTAAACACAGAACAGTATGTGACAAGTGTTTGGTAGAATTCATATAATGTTGCACTCGATATAAACATATTGTAAATTTAATTAAAATATAAATACATGAAAATGAAACTTAATAATAATTTTAAAATGTGGACATAAAAAGTGACTTACTTTTCTCATTTCAAGCATCCACTTCATCCATACATCCATCTTGAAGTAAATCTCATTGTAAGCCACACCTTTTTCATTTCCTTTAGCCAATCAGGAACTTGATATCCTTATCTTTCAGCCAATGAGGAGCTTGAAAACCCTCCCCCAGTACAGAATACCATCACAGGACGACGGACGCCAAGACAACACAATCAGCCCAAGACAGTCCTCAAACGTACCTCACAATTTCTCTTTAAAAGTTTATCATTTCACTAATCCCTTACTCCTCCCAGTTTCTTGTTGGAATATTTTTGAGGCGTTCTGGCAAAATGAGACAGAACTGGGCAAAGGACAAAATGAGGGTTTGTGGGTATTAGGAAAGAGAATGACATAATCCGTACAGTATCTTTTTATTGCACTTCGATCGCACATTCAGTTTACAAGTTATGGCTGTTTGACAAGCCAAAAAAGTTGAATACTGAGAAAAAGGCCTATAAAGTTTGGAGTTTTGTATTGGTGAGAATGATAGATTGCAACTGTGTTTCTAAAAAACTATTTTATTCCACTTTTTTATTTTATTTTTTTTAAATGCCTAGCAGACATTTCAAAGATTACAAATATCAATAAATCCGAAAATTGAAAACAATTCACTTCCTTTGTTATTTTTGCATTTTTCTCCACTACGGTTTGTGCCCAGTTCCGTCTCAGTTTACCAGAACACCTAACATTTTATGCCTCGCAATTTACAGGAATGAATAGCCCAGTTACTACTAATTCTACAGGCATGAGAGTCTTCCTGTTTTAAACAGGAATTCCTTTTTGTTATATTCCCCAAATTTCCGTGCTTTCATTTATTTTGAGCCTGTTATGGGGGCTTTTTTGCCTGATTTCACATCCTTTTTCCTGTTTTGGCACAACTTTTCTGTTGTTTTTTTTTCATTGAAATTCATTTTCATGCCTGATTTAATACACTCAGGCTTGGTACGACTTAAAAAGTTTGAAGTATGGAGACAGTGTTATTAGATTTTTACACAATGGTGGATTTTGGAGAGTTTTGGAATGTTTGTCACAGATGTACTTTTGAGGTGAAGGTTCAGGTTTTTGTTTCAAGTTGTGTAGCTGCAAGGTTTGTTCTCGCAAACTCTGTCTTTGCTTAAATTTGCTGTGTCTAGTCCCGCAGATTAGCCATGATGTTACACACGTACGATTTCCTTCACCTTTTTTAGAGGGGGAGTGTGGCCAAGTGGTTAGGGTTCATGACTAATAATCAGAGTGTCAGGGGTTCGAATCCAGCTGCTGGTCATATGTTGTGTTCTTGGGCAAGCCACTTCACCCCCACTTGCCTCTCTCCACCCAGGAGTATAAATGGGTACCGACATTAGCTGGGGAGTAACCTGCGATGGACTGGCATCCCATCAAGGGGGAATAGAAATATTCTCAGTCCACTCATGCCAAGGAAACCGGAGATAAACGCTGGCCTGATGGTCCACATTGGCTCGTGACAGACTTTACTTTTTGTACAATCCAGTCCTTAAAAACATAAACTTCTACTGACCATTGTCTATTTTTGCCCCATTTCCTACAATATTGAATTGTCCTTGAATATTATTGTTAACTATTGTGTCATAAAGTACATTGCCTTTATCAATTTTGATAACCTCTACTTTATTTGCTTTTTTCTTCCCTTTTTTCCCTCCGCAACTGTACTGCTTGTTTCTCCTTGCTTAGCACCCACAATTACTGGTGTGATAAGTGGTGGAGCTGGCCCACAACAAGCTAAAGGAAAAGTCAGCTTTACACGTAATTATTCAATCATTTGCTTATTGAACATTTCAGTTGTCAACCAACTACACGATTATAGCTAGCAAAAGTACCTTACTTTTTATTTTACAAGTCTTTAGATAGAGCATCTTTATTATCAGCACTTAGTCGGGGTTTACCATTCCTTCTTTGAGATGATATTTTTCCTCTTCGGGTCTCAAACAATCAATTGTTGTAAAAGATTTTATTCTTTGACATATTCCTTTTTAACTTATGTCCAAAAGAGACAAAACTGTTTTTGAAAGATTCTGCCTTAGGAAATGTATGTACTGTAAGAGCAAGCTTGGCAAATTAGTGGGTATTGGTTTTGAGTGAACCTGCGAAAATTCATTCCATTTGAAATTCCCTGTGTTTTAGTTCCAGATCCCTCGGAGTTACCGCATCGCGGCTATGATCAACTCACCCAAGCCACCAGGCAGTTTCAACAAACCTACAACCGTAAACAATTTCAACTGAAATAATACAAACGTCTGACATGTCTTGAAAAGTTCAGCTGCTGTTTTAGTATAAAAAGATTATCTTGCTGTTTACTTTCTAATCAAATTTTGCAGGGATAAAAAATTGAAAGCGAGATTTGAACCTGCAACTTTCGGAATGCAATCCTGTCTATAGACCAATCGGGGCACGCTTTCAAATCTGTCACGAAGGCCCTCTTCAATGGCGAAAGCATTGTGCTAGCTGCTGTTCAGATAATCCATCACGGGGCAGTTGCTTTGTACAATGGTTTCTCCATTAAAGGGGGCCTCGTGAGTGCACAGTGATCAAGTGCCCGGATTTCATCTATAAAAGCAATAGGTTCACAGAAAATAAAAGAAAACTTAACACGAAGAGATTCAATTTCAGGCATCTTGGATAATTTGCTTGAAGTCGTTACCAAAATTAAAAACTATTCCCAATCTCGCTCTACAGGGTGAGTAAAAAAAACGAAATCCAAATGGCAGGAACATTTTTTGAATGAAGTTTTGCTTGTAGCACTTTCAAAATCTAGGATATGAAAGCCCAATCAATGAGCTTTCTTTTAGTACAGAATCATTCAAATCACTCATGTACTTTTCAAGTTACGGATTTTTGAACACAAACACTGTTTTAAAGTTCTGTTCACGGATCACAAAAAAGAAAACAATTCACATGCATCCCTTTGAGAATTGTTTTCGTTTTGCTGGGAAGAAAACTTACTTTTTTTGTGATCCGTGGATAGAACTTTAAAACGGTGTTTGTGTTCAACTTTCTGTAACTTGAAAAGTGCATGAGTGTTTCAAATGATTCTTGTACTAAAAGAAAGCTTTATAGTGACCGGGCTTTCACATCCTAGATTTTGAATGTGCTACAGGCAAAACTTCATTCAAAAAATTGGTCCTGCCATTTGGGTTTCATTTTCTTTACTCCTGTATGAAAGAATGCTGTGCTTGGATATAAGACAAAATGTTAGAACAGCAGCTGCACCGTTAGAAAACTATTAATCCCATCACACAGTAATCACTTCATGTTTTAATTAGGTCTGGATGTTGAAGTGCTGCACAGTTGTAGAAGCACGTAGTATATTAACATTCTTTTTCCTGAAAAGCAGAAGTCACCTCATCATGCTATGTTGAGTAGTCAATTTAAACCAAGAGTGATCAGTATTGAGGACTGTGATAGCCCGCGGTCGAGTGTTCATGGCTGTCGTGGCTAACCTGTCTGCCTTTAACCTGTTTACCCGAGTCGATCTGGGCCCAATTTCACAGAGCTGCACAAAATTTACTTAAGCTCAAAAAAACATTGCTTAGTAAAACTGGTTACCGTCCAAAACTCCATGTGATGTACATTGCCTGTGACTGGTATTTAGCTGTTGTTTACTTAGCATAACAAACACATGGAGTTTTGGCTGGTAACCTGAATTTATTAAGCAAGACTTTTTTGTGCTTAAGCAAATTTTGTGCTTAACAGCTCTATGAAATTGGCCCCTGGGTGAGCTACTCAAATGCACTCGTTGAAAAGTTTGGAAAAAATATGCAGAGTGGTTGCCATAGTTACTGTTTCCTTGTGATTTCCATTGTTTTTCTTTGTTTCCAATTTGTTGTCAACATTTTTTTGCAGAATTCTCGAGCAGCCTAAAGAAGCAGCCACAAGGAATTCAGCAGCAACTACGAGCCAGTAAACACTAACATTCCTTCTTACAATCTGAATCGAACAAATCAATCACAAAAACAAATGGCATCACAGTTTTCCCCAACTCACAAATCTTCTTTGCTGAATTTGAAATTTACTTTACCCTCCCCTCTAAAAAAAAAAACCAAAACAAAGAGAAATTGTCAGGAAAAATGACTAATTCCATTCACTGTAATACTATGTAATAAATTTGGGGCCTGTGAATTTAAATAAGCTTGTATTAGGCCAAAAAAAAAAAGTCGGTCTCTGGTCAGCGCACGCGTCGATTTTAATCATGCGTGTCAATCTTTTTTTTTTTCCCAAAATGTTCCGCGGTAGCTCCAACAGCGCCCTCTATTTTTTTTTACCAAAGAGCACCAAGGAATGGAAAATTGCACCAAGGCAAATATTTGATCGAGAGCACCAAGGCAAATGATGGAGGACACCAATGTACATGAGGACACCAAATAGCAAAATAGTACCCCACCTTGTCTGTACAATCCAAGCTTGAAAAAAAAAAAACAGCCGCGTCCCCGCGTCAATTCCGGTCTGACCAGAGACCGAATATAATTTTTTTTTTGGCCTAATCATCAGAAACAGCTATTCGTTGTTCTGGTACAAGATTTTCGTCTTGCCGTTTTCACATATTCATGGTTTGTCTTTAGGTTTTTGGAACCTTTTGAGCAAAGATGTGACCTGTCATCACGGAATGAGCACAAGGCGAAAATTGCAATTTTGCAGTTCAGTGGGGCTACGCTAAGGGGTGGTCTATTTTTATTCAATTTTATTGCAGGTGAACCTTTTTGACTGATTATCACTGTAATACAACAGCGGAATTTTCAATTACCATTTTCTCATAAAATTACTTTTACAACCTCAATAATAGTTGGCAGTCTGTGTTTCCGTTACTGAACTCAGTACTCCCAAATGTAATAACAGCTCCTTTTCTGCAAAATCCAGAAATAAAAATATCTTAATTCTTATATTGTGGTGATGGATCCACATTCCCTTTACATCTCTTTTTTAGAAGCACCCGAACAGAAGGGCTTCCTCACAGCGTACGGCAGCTACCTTGGCAAAGAACAAGACCCAATGACCAACATCAGTAAACCTATCTTCTCATGTAATTTACCCTCACTTTGTGTCCACATTTCTACCATGAAAATTGAAAATTATCCCTTTTTGGCTATGAATTTGAGTCATTTCAAGACAAACTATGATTTTAGCTTTGCAATCATTAACAAATGTTTAAAGATCAGTTTCCTTTTAATTTGGCTAGAGATTAGATTTTTGCGAATAAGTAGGATTTGGTAATTTACGTTACCCTTGCTCCTATTGACTGCTGCCAGAGAACCACGTAGTAGATCCACCTAATAGCCATTTGATTTTTCATGTCACTTGACTTGTTACAAGTGATCTGATTAGATCTGATTAGTTTGCGTTTGTTTGAAGTTTGCGCAGAGCAAAATGAAACGCTCATTTACTAATTGTGTGTTTCGGTTTTGGTTGTATCAGCTTCGATAACGCAGTGGTATAAAATACAAACGCAGATATGCAATAGCCGTACTAAAGCCATACAAAATTCAAGTTTTCCATAGGTTTGTGCACAAACATGGATGCACCCGGCAGGCTTCATTTGTACAGCGAGTTAGCACTCTAGTAATTCAATATAGCTGTACGCCTATAGTCCTATTTGCAACACTGACTCACTGCCACTTGTGAGTCGGGCAGTGCTATTGTATAGGAGTACTCTATAACACCAGTGAATGGGCTATAATTGCTTTTCCTATACCATGTATACGGATCTCTAGAAAAAGTCAATGTGTAGATCATATGCACTGAAAGACTTCTAGTAAATAGTTATTCTGGATCAATTGAATGTAGATTTGTGTGTATTTTACTGGGCTTTACTTACATACTTGTCTTGTTGTACCAGTATACTTTTACTTAAAAAAAACCCTAATTGCACAACGTTGCTTTATTTTTGTGTCTTGACCGTTTCCTTCCACAGCTCAAACAATTGGAAACCGAGCCAAGTTTGAAGCTGTCCCCGTCGTGAAATCTACATATGAGAGTAATTAATGGCGTCATGTATATTATTTGGGGGATATCTTTGTTTTATTTTGGAAATTTGGGACTAGTTGAAAGCATCATATATTGTAGTAATTAATTTCTAGAGGAAGTTTTTTTTAATTGCAGTAACTTTTTTCCTCTTTTGGTTTTAGAATTTTTATCATCAGATGTTACTTACGACGGATGTGTTTTTCTTGCAGATCCTGACATCAGAATTCTGAAGGACTAATTTGTTGTTTTCAAATTGTTTTATATTTTCAGTTTTTAAGGAGCACGTTGAAAAGGAGGACAGGCATAATAATGGTACATCCTCATGATTGAAACTGACAAGGGTCCAGTTTACAGGAACTGCTCAGCAGAAAATAGTTGCTTAGTAGATTTTGCGCTAAGCAAAAAAGTGAAGTTTGGGACCCTTTACAAGCAATAAAGAAACCAAACTGCCATGCAATGTGTTAGGCTTGTTTCTGGTTCTCAACTGATGCATGCTTACTACATTGTATAAGATTTCTGCGTAATAGCAGTTCCGTGTAACTGGCCCGGAATGTGAAGACATGACAGCCACATAGAACAGAAGTAGCCATAGAATGATTCTAGCACCAGAAACCCAAACCCAAATTAATTATCCTGCATCCCCACTTCCTCCCAGAGTCTTACTGCCTTGTCCCTGCCCCTAGAGTAACCCTACCTTCCTAGTATCACCCCAACTTAAGCATTGCCTGCCGTGATTAGATGTAGGCACTTGTGGATGTTACAAAGATTAATTGGATTGGTTTAGATTAAGATAATCCCCTCTCAAGTCCTTACTCTTATGCCCATCCCATGACTTTCCTTCCCCTAAATCCTCAATCTCGACTCAACTTAATTTACCTCTACCAGTACTTTGAGGTACATCTGGCACCACTTCATCCCACCTAACCCCACCCCACCCCACCCAACCCCGCCCTACTCTGCCCCTGCCCGCCCCGCCCCATCCCACCCCTGTGTGAAGAAGCACAGTATTGATCTAATTGATCTGTCACAATTCTTACCCTCATGGCCCCTCAACTTTCCCATTGCAAGCACTGCCCGACAAGTCTGCCACCAAACCCACCAAACCCAGCCCAACCCAGCCTAGCCCAACCCAGCCCCAGCCCAGCCCAGCCCAGCCCAGCCCAACCCAACCCAGCCCAGCCCAACCCAACCCAGCCCAACCCAACTCAACCTAACCCAACCCAGCCCAGCCAGCCCAGCATAGCCCAGCCCTTCCCAGCCCAGCCCAGCCAACCCAGCCCAACCCAACCCAACCCAGCCCAGCCCAGCCCAGCCCAGCCCAACGTAGCCCAGCCCAGCCCAGCCCAACCCAACCCAACCCAGCCCAGCCCAGCCCAGCCCAGCCAAACCACTTCTTTCGATGCTTCATTTCTTCGAAGTCTAAGATAATCGGATATGCTTTGATAAAACTTTAGGGACCTTCATGAAAAGGAGACTTAAAAAAAGTAAAAAATAATTTAAAAACCCTAAATTACTAAACTGCAGAGTTGTCTGAGATAGAAATTTCAGGTTGGAGCTTCAAGATCTATTTCAAAATGTTTTGAATGGTTGACTCTTCAAGTTCATCGGCAAGTTCATGATAATCTCGATTGATGAATCAAGTACTGTTGAATACAATGTGCAATTGTTGTCCATTTTTATTGCAGGAGTCTGTCTTTGTTAGTGTGATGTACATGTATTTTGCATATACTAATTCGTGCCTTCCTTATGCTTTAACTTGTATTTTTGCAGTGTCTTTCTTTAACTTTGTCCGATAGATTTTAACCCTCACCATAAAGATTTCTCACCCACATGTATAAGGAGAATAAGATGTGAAACATGAAGGAAAAACTACACAAGCTTGACCCGTTGATTGTTGTTAGGTTCCTGGATATTCTTTGACAATACTTTACTTGCTGGTTTGCAGAAAAGTTTGCCAATTATGAAAAAATAATGTATTCATTTTTCTAATGATCTCTTGTTTTTGTTCATTTGCATCGTGGTTTAAATTGCCATGGATTGTTCACTTGGTAAGATTGTAACCCGAGTTTTTGTTAAATTTGTTTTGATTTTTCCAAAGCCTTTGCTTTTGCAAATTTCTGGGCGATTTCAAGCAATTATTGGATATAGTCTGTACTCACTGTTATTGTTGTTTTTTCCCTTCTAAAATCACTTCCGGTGTTTGTGTTTTGATTTTGTTTCTTCTACATGTATATACTTTGTTGAATTTTGAAATGTAGATTTTCAAAGGAAGTTTTTCTGCTGTTTGCTGTATCAGTGAATCACAGCAAATAACAGACTGGGACCTTGAGTGTAGAAAACATGCAAAACAAAATCACGCCAACTTTACTCACTCTTTAGCGGACAAAATTCTCCCAAAGTTTCATGAGGCAAAGATCAGGTCCTTGGTATTTCACCAGCCAAGTTTGAGGTCTCAATTCAGTTTCCAAAGGAGACTTTTCTACAACATTTTGCACCTGAGAGTGAAGCCAAATGATTTAAATTTAAAGCCAAAGACTAGACTGGTACATGTACAACTTTTTGGAAAGATTGATCCTTCAGTATAGCCTGGTGGCATGACTATGGAGAATGTGTAGAAATAGAGACTAGTACCAGATGTTTCTTCTGATGCAGTTGATTGATGCAGTACTAAAGGGGTGTTGGACTGGTTGTTTCAGGTGTGCCAGTCAATTTTCTTGTGTTGCATGTTTTCACTATCAAGTTTTGGGACTCTCATACACAGTATTGAGAGTCCCAAATTTTTGGACTAGGCAAATACCCATAGTACTGCATTTTCTTGTTCCTTTTTTTTCTTCACCTAGATCTTTCTAAATATTTTAGTTTGGTTTATTGTGGTGGTCAACAAATCTTTGAATTCCCCTTCTATTCCAATTTTTTTTTCGTGAGAACATTTTCCCCCTGTATAATTTAACCCTATGCCTTCAGATATAAACCTTCCAATGTACATTCCTCCACCATTTCTCAGTGGTGTTTTTAGATCCCAAAGCAATTAAAAAGCAAACATGCATTGGTCTTGTACTCAGACTTCATCATGTGGACTCCAACACTGGCACCGATTGAGACTGGCTCCCCACTTTCCAAATCCATTAACTGATTTCAAATACTTCTGCTCTTGTAATTGTGAAGTGTTCTTTATCTTTTTCTTTGTTGACAGCTGACTTTGCCTATCGTATGATGCAACCGCCGGTGTCACTAAACACGATGTACCCCTCATCCTACGATGCCTTACCAGGAGCTGCCAAAGCTGGTGTGCCAGTGAATAATGCCCCGCAAGAAAACCTTTCTCTCCTTAATGCCTCCAAGTAAGGACAAATGTTTTATTTTCGTAACATAGTCAAGCACTTTTTTGACATGTTTGATACATTAAATTGATATTATACATGTACATATGTTAAGGTAGACGAAAGATTCCTACTTAAATGCCTACCATTTTATGACATGATAACAGTTTGTAGTTTGATCCTTATTTCAAAACAGATTTTCTTGTTTCATTTGTAAGTATGTCAAGTAGGACAGTGATACTGAAATTTGTGCAGAAAATTATTGCATCAGAATGAAATAAAAAACTTTTGATATTTTGGTTTGATTTATAATAACTCTGACAAGACAAGGGAGTTGGCTTAAGAGGATAAATGTGACCTGCCATAGCATAATGAGGAATAACCCCCACCTTTGACTTTTCACGTTATGTACATCATGTTAAAGCGCAAATCATTGGCTTTCCAATGATACCAAGTTTATATCTGTAGCTTAATTTAATCCAAAGATATGACGCAGGAACTTCAACAGTGTCCTGCCAAATTTCTCTAACGACATTTTAAAAAAAAGGCTTTGAAAAAAAGACATGTATTGCGCCGCCAACGGCAGTGAAAAACGTTCTTAATTTTTTCCCACTTTTTGTGGGTATTATTTCCCCAACAAAAATGCATAGTGTGAATCTTGGATATCTTGGCTACTCAAAAATATAAAACAATCAATATCGATTTTGAAATAATTTTTCTACTATGTCCAACTTCAGGCGTCTATTACTTAAAACAAGGTTTTGGGGGACATTCCTCATTTTGCCTCAGTAGGTCACAAATGTGTTTGCCATACACTGAGAAAGTTGAATTGCCTGCTTGTCCGACTAAGTTTTCCTCCTAAGGCTTATTTATAAGCGGTTTTGTCGCAATGACAATGTCGCAGATGCACGGTTGTCCACAAATACGCGATATACTGCATGGTTGTTTCGTCTATCTTTTACAACCGACCAGTGCAGGCACAGCTTCTAGGAGAAATGTGTATGCAACATTTTGTGTCATGTGATAAAATAATTTCAAAGTTGACTTTTTTTTTTTAAAATGGCGTGATAAGTCACATGACAAAAATGTAAAAATGCTCATTAATTTGTTCGTATTTTAAAAAAAAGAAACGCGGCAAACTCACGCATGTGTAAATGGGCCCTTAGAGGCCTCGCCCATTCAGACCTGGTATAAAAAGGGACCGCTGTAAGCTTGCCCACTTGCAAAAAGTCCTTTCTTACCGGCCAAGCTACGTGGCAAGGAGGCTGGTCCGGTGGCTTATCACAAACTCTCCCATCCCGGGGTCTATTGTTTGCAAGTGTTGACACATGTAAACTATCCTTGAAGAATATGCTTGCGGTTTCATCCCTCAGTGCAAAACATAGAATCCCAACTGCAGTAGTTAAACAATTTGGTAATCTCTGGCCATAAGTCTTTAAAGTCTTCTTTCGTTCTGCTCTGGATGTTTCCCAAGCGGCAATAAATGCGCCTGACTGACCTCAAAACTTCAGGTCAGACTGGCCTATGTACCGGACCAGAGTGGGCTGAAGACCCGATGGGCTCTAGACAGGTAACAGGGGGCCCTTTTCAAACAAGGTCTATATGGTCACCCCCCCCCCCCTTTAGTAGCAACTTCACTTACTGTACATGTATATTATATCCTGAATATTGATTTGTGTTGTGTTCTTTCCAGGACTGCTCAGATACGCGGCGAGAGCTCCATCAAGAATTTTGTCGGGGACACCACTTTGAGCCCAAGAAGCTTGAACGACCCCAAATCCTACCAGGCTATTCTTAAACAACAGGTATGTCTCAAAATGTTAAAAGACTGCCTTTTTGCTTGTGGGGCCAGGCTGGAGTGAGGTGTGTCTTTAGCCGCGTTCACATTGGACTATTTTTGTGTGAAATTTTACCAAGTCAATGGTAAAATTGGAATGGGTAAAATCTTACCACTGTCCACTTCGCTCGTACCCCCACCCTGCAAACAGGACCCTGGGAAGGGCTGATTAATTCACGCTCTGATTGAATAGATTTTGCGTGACCTGTGACCTGCCAAGTCATCACGACCACGACCCTGCAGGGTTTTAAACGGCCGTCAAGACTGAGTCATCACTCTTTTATTCTCATTCATAAATGTGTTATTCGTTGAAAAGCGTAATAATGTAGGAAAATCTGTAAACTTTTCTGTTTTGTAAATCCCGTCAGTTGCTCAGGCTCCGTTTCGAATTCATTTTGAAATGCATATTATTCGACGCCCAAAATTTGTCCACATGGTCCACAATGAAAAAGAAATCACATCCGGTATGGAATGTATGCATTTATATGAGAAAGTTTTCGGATGGCATTTGTGCACATTGGCTAACTGCGGTCTTAAACAGCTGCAGCCAGAGCCATGGTATGAACGTCTGATATGTCGTAGTATGCAAATTTTATGCGATCCCGCGCGCCAGCCAATCAAAGTGGTCTTTAGAAACTGTGACGTCATTTTGATCAGCAATGTGGACTAACTGTGGATTGGGCAATTTGGATGCCATGTTTGTGTAATACAATAATGGATTACAGAAGACCTGATAGAAGATCCGAATCTCAGATCAAGACGCAATGTTGTTTTGCATAATTAATTGCCCAATCTGCTTGCATGTCATAGACTCTTGAGATGCAAGAGGATATTCCATAAACTAGGTCACAGAGATGGAAGGTGAGGAAAGGACCTCTGCGGCAATTTTATTTCCAAGTTGTCTTTTTCTATACCACTAGCATGACTAGGTTTTTGTTGTTGTGTGTATCTGTCACAGATGGAGGAGAAGGAAAGAAAGAAACGAATCGAGAAAGAAGAACAGGAGCGCTACGATGCTAAGTTGGAGGCCCAGGCAGCAGAATATAATCCTTGGGGGAAAGGTGGGGGTGGGGCTCCCATGAGGGATAATAAGGGCAAGATAGTTGGTGAGTAGGAACCTTCATGAATTGTTGTCGAGCTCTCACATGACAATCACATGTCCATCGCAAGTCAATCACATGTCAGTCACATGCTTGTCACATATCATCAATTGGGAAAGGAGGGGGTGGGGCTCCTATGAGAAATAATAAGGGCAAGACAGTTGGTGAGCAGGAACCTTCATGAGATGTAGTCGAGTTTCCACATGTCAATCACATGTCTTTCATATGCTAGTCACATGTCTATAGCAAGTCCATCACAATAGTCACAAGTCTGCCAACCAAATGTCATTTGCATGGAAACGAGGTGAGTGGGGCTCCCATGAGAGATAATAAGGGCAAGATAATTGGTGAGTAGTGGTGAGTGAGTCAATCACATTTCTAGCATACGTGTTTCAACAATCAATCACAAGTGAATCGCAAGTGAGCCACAAGCCATCACAAGTCGATCACAATCAGTTGTCTTTCATCCGAGATTGTTCTGTATTTCATCAGATTATCAGCTCTGAAATCATTTCAAATTGCCAAATGAACAAAAGCAAACGTGTCAATATTTCTGTCGTAGCCGATCTTCGTCAGTTGCACCAACACAACGAGCAAGCCTTGAATGACCCAGCCAGCACCCAGCTACAACTATACGCTGATCAACCACTGGCAGGAAACACCACCACTACTGCTGCTGCTGTAACAGGTATATGATCAGAAGTAGGATCAAGTCCATTACAAGTCCATCGCAAGTCATCATAAGTCCATCACAAGTCAGTCACAAAGCATCATAAGGCGAGGCGTCATAAATAAATTAACCGTTCGAACGCGTGCGCACGCTAGGAACGGGGCCTTTTGTTACATCTACCTCCCGTTTGCACGCGTGCTCACGGCATCCCGTTCTCGTCGCTACAGGCTAGCCCGTACAGTACAGGGGGGACGTATAAAAATACGGGCACCTTGAACGGGGAAAGCAGTCCTTTGCAAACTTTACTATCAGTATGTAAAAACCTTGAATATTCGATTTATAATTCGCTGATCGTGTGTACAAGGCCAGTTTATAACATCAGTTAGCAAACTTCTTACAATGTTTAAACTTGTTTTTGTGAACATTATATGCAGTACCGTACCTGCTAATTTACATTTCCGTGCTTGTACCCAAAAAAAGAAAGAATACTCGCACTTCGTTTTACATAAAATAAGTGTTAAACGTCTCAATTATTTTTTGGGTTGGATACGATCTAGTGTAGTATGTCTGGTTTTCTCAATTTTTATTTTAAAACGACTTTATCTTCTTCGTCTGTTTTCATTTCTGTTCTTCGCATCTTTGTTGTGCTGCTCCCGTTCTCGCATGCAAAGGAACGGTTGATTAACATAACAATACCCCCTCAGTGAAGCTTGCCCAAGCACGATCTACGGAACGCGTTCTAAAAGCCGTTCGGCACGGGAAGGAACGGGGGCCGTTCAGAACGGGAAGGAACGCGTGCGCACGCGTGCGAACGGTTTTATTTATGACGCCTCGCCTAAGTCTATCACAAGACAATCACAAAACAATCATAAGTCATCACAGGCCAATTACAAGTCCATCACAATGCAATCATAACTTCATCGCAGGCCAATTACAAGTCCATCACAAGGCAAATATAATGCAATGATGCACTCAGCTATTGGTTAACCAGCGATGGAACAGTGCCTCAGTCTCCGGTTAAGAATTGTCAACTAGATAGTCCAACTATCCTGCATTCGACTCAAGTTAGTCAAACTATGGTTGAACCGTAGAGCTATATTAAATTACTAGAGCGCTAACTCATGCACGAAGTGATGCCTGCTGGGCGCATCCATGTTTGTGCACAAACCTATGGAGAACGCGAAATTTTGTACGTATTTTGTACGTCTATTTGCATATCTGCGTTTGTATTCTATACAGGTGCGTTATCGAAGCTGATACGCCAAAAACCGCAACGCACGATCAGCAAATGAAAGTTTTATTTTGTTCTACGCAAACAGCGCAATGCGTGCGCGTGTCCGCTGCAGATGATTACCGTGACTTTGTTGAAAACCGTCGTGACGCGCTTAAGTTCTGTGCGTACATTCTACTTGCGCGTTGCATTTACATGTAGAGTACACTTTCAAACTTCAATCCATCTAATTTCATTATGTTCTACAAACACGCACATGAATTCAAAATGTCTGCGCCCAGAACGGCTTCAAAGCATCTCCGCACGCAAGAATGAAGAGTGAGCGCTCTAGTAATTTAATATAGCTCTATGGGTTGAACATAGTCCTCCCCTGAACTTGCTCCCAATGAATTAAGGTTTAACACCCCAGCTACTCAAGTGTTGTGTAACTTTGCAGTGTGCTTTTGTATATTTATGGGTTTCTCATTTTTTGCACATGTAGCAGACAGATCTCCACGGCCTGGTGCCACTGAACCACAGCCAGTCACCTCAGCATCCAAAGATCCAAAGGATGAATATAAAGAATACCTCAAACAACAGGTACCAGACCATTTGACTTTTGACACTTGTACGACCTTGTCTGAATTTAGTGTTGCTATCTACGGCTAGGCTATGGACTACATTGTATTCACCATAGAACGCTAAGGGCCCCCCCCCCCCCAAAAAAGTCTCCGGTTTCTGGTATGGAGCTTGCCCCAAAAGTGGTGCAGCGACGCGGCGTTTTTTTGTTTTTCTTACTTTTTTTTTCTTCACATGTAGGCTGATGACTGCAAATGGTGCCCAACTATATTAAATGCAAAATATATGGGAACCCAGATAGGCCACATAAAGCTTATACTTGATCGTCTCTCTCTCTCTCTCTCTCTAACCCCATCTAAAAACACGTTAAAAGTGTGCAGCAGCAGGATTCCAGTCAAACCAGTGAGTTTGGCGATTTTGAGACATCATCTTACGTTGAAAAAAAAAACTTTCTAATTTTCCCGATGCGCATGGCTACGGCAACGTGTGCGCATATGGCGACGCGCGTGCATACCAGAAACCAGAGACTTTTTTGGGGGGCCTAAGTCAGCTACCTAAAAAAAAAATTATTGGTACGTACATGAAATCAATTTTGTTACCTCAATATCAATGTTTCAATATTCCGTCAAATCCAAGTTAAATAATCGAAGACTAAATGATTAAAAAAATGCACGGCACCAAAAGCATTTTGCATCTCAGTAAAGCTTGGTGGTTTATTTCAGGTGGAGGACAAGAAGAGGCGAGAGGCTGCCTTGAAGGAGAAGATACGATTGGAAGAGGAGAAGGAGGAGCGACGTCTTGAGCAGCAGAGGATAAAGATGCAGAGAGACTTTGAGGTGGAGCAACAACGGATGAAAGACAAAGAAGAGGAGGTGAGTGATAGTCATCTTAAAAACTTGGAGCAACCTTTTTTTTTTGATAATCATCTTAAAAACTTGGAGCAACCTTTTTTTGCAGAAGGCATGAGAATTATCCTCCGGGGATTCGTGGATTTCAGACTTCTGGAGAAAAAAATCGTAGTCTTCGAGATGGATGTGAAATTGATGTAAAATTTGGGGGGGGGGGGTAGATTATTGTGGCCTCGTTGGCTAAAGGTCAACCTTGTGCTTTGTAGTACTCAAAATATCACTCGCACTAATCATGCTAGACTCCACTCCTTTGCTTTTATTTTGTCCTAAAAAGTACGTACGTACATGCACGACATGTAATGAAATTTAAGAAAAGAAATCTACTTTAAAGACTACAAGACGCTTCCATTTCATCCTGAATTACTTTTGACCTGGTCTACTTCATCGAGATACCAAACTGGCTTATTGTTTGCTAATAGTAAACGCAAGGTTTACCAGCCATAAAACCCAATGATGCATATTGCTGTTGGCTGGTACTTAGTAGATATCTGCTTAGCACTTATTCCATGAGCAATTGTTTTTTTTTCAAAAGGAGTTTTGCTACATTCATGACCTGTTTCTATTGATTACACTGCTCAGTAACCGTGCTCTAATGCAGCGCAGTGTCATTCTCTCCCCTGCAATACTTAAATGCTATATTTTCTACCCACCACCTCCCCAGTCCGCAATTAGTTCCCCATTATTGATCAAAAGGCTTTATTATCAAAATCGTTCATCCTGAATAAAATGCACCAATTGAATCATTCCATACCACTGCATGCGCTCACATTGTTCAAGTTCTTATTAATATTGTCACCATGGAAACTGCTTGTTGTTCAGTCGTAATTTTTCAAGTCTTCAACATGCGCATGGATGGGCGCATGTAATAGCAGATCACATTGTAGTTTACTAAGGGAATAAATGTGTGCTCGAGAGGTTTTAATCACTCTGTTTAAGACTGCTTAGAGTCTGGGTGCTGATAATTACCCGAGCCGGAGGCGAGGGTAATTATCAGCACCCAGACTCTAAGCAGTCTTAAACAGAGCGATTAATACCGACTGAGCACATATTAATTCCCATTCATAAATACCTTTTCGGTAAAAAAAAATCAAGAAATGCGTTTGAAAAATCCCGATTTTGATCAACAAGTTCACTCCAGCTTTTTGAAACATCCCTCTAGCAAAATAATGGAGTGTTCAGCTGGCGAGTAAGATGTAAACAACCCTTTTTCACGTTCTGCGCGATGTCGTGCAGAACGCACCTGGGGCGTTGCGTTTTGAATTTAGAACTATAAAATTCTGAGTCACTGGTAGTGTTGCGCATGCCTACGTGAAGATTGTGAACGTTCAACCAAAGAAACGGTAAGAGGCACTGGATTTTTAGGAGTCCACATTTTATGTGACACTGGAAAAGTGTTTAAGACCAGCTAGCCATGTCTTTATTATCCGTTTAAGACCGGCCACGTGACGTGCTCTCGACCAATAGGAATGGCTAAACTGTCTAAGGTATTTATGAATATACATTATATGCTCTAAAGTTGTTGCAAAATGCAAGTTTAACAATGCGCCATTCTGATGTTCTTGGTGGTCAGTGGTCAGTGGTCAGTGTCAAACTGGAAGCATAGCTACCAACTAGTACGATTTTTTCCTAATTGTTACGAATTGTTTGTTAAATTACGAAAATACGATTTGCCACTAAAACATTACGAATTTCTCATATCCTACCTCACGAAAAAAAAAATGTAAAGTATCATTTTTGACCGAAAACTTCTGGCGAAATGTCGCGATAATGGATGGACTGGTGACAAGTCTAATAAGCATGCAGTCAAGCACCTGATAGACATCAATGCAGTGTGCGCAGTGGAGTACTTGAGGACCAGACTAAAAATATTTTTCAATGGTGTGTCATTTGTGTGCATCTCGTGGATGTGTGGTTGTGTGTACTGTATGAGTACTTTTCAGTGACGATCGTGAGCGCATTTAGTCGCATATTGCCGGGATGAGACCCATCAGTGCGAGATTTTAATCATGGAATTTAATAAGAGTATGGTTGGAATAATTGGTAATAGAGTTTGAGTTTGTCACAACGGACAGAAAAGATAAATCAGCATGCGTTTGCAAGGTATGTTGGCGCGATATTTCTATTGCATACGGTGGCCATAGATAATTGTGTGTAAAAACATGATACGAACTCGAAACTCAACATCGATAGCATGCATCTCCCAAAAAATATGCGCACATGTTATTGATGTTATTATTTATTTGACTTCAACAAACAAATACAGACATTAAAAATTATTATTCACAACAAGAAGGGTATGCGCATGTATGTGTACATGTAAACCATGTACCTGTACTCGATGTTGGTAAAGCTTTTGATAAAACGAGAAGTTGAAAATGACCGCGCGGGTCGATTACTAATTGGGATTTTGAAATGTTGGCAGCTATGTGGAAGGCTGAGAGGGAGTGGTGTCCCTTGCCTCAGTGTGATGACACGGCGAGTGTGTTGTAAATAGGCTCCCTAGATGCCAAAACAGCGTAAGAATTGGTCATTGAAAGCCCAAATTTTGCCCGGGAAAAGTCATGGAAAAGTCAATTTAACATTTCTGTGGGAACCATACATTTGAAAAGGGCCTTTTTCTGCAAAAAAATGAAAGCACGGCAGACAAAAATAAAATAACAGGAAACTTGGTACAGTATCATTACTATCTTTAAACTTGTTGTTTGGTAGTTTATTGTTTTTGTAGCCGCACAATGATTCTATTGGCCTCTAATGCATTGTTAACAGTTTCTTGATTCTTTGGTACCAGTCGATATCAGTCAAGATTTCTTGAGGCCAAAAAAAACCAAAAAGATAATAATTTGAACATTGGTACCATATTTTGTCATATATTCAGTTTTAACATATTGACTAATACATTTTTCAAAGTTGAACAAAGTAATTGACTGGAGCGGGGTTTGAACCTGCAACCTCCGGGTGCTCTATCTACCAACTATCCAGCTCTATGTTGGCGGCTCCCCAATTCGTCAATATCCTTGTTCAAGTGACGCTAGTCAGAAATTGTAAAATATGCTATGTAGCCAGGGACCACGCCCAAATTCAAGATGCTTGATACATATCAATTTATCAATTTGTTTTCCGTCGACTTGATACAATCATTGATTTAACCCTAACTCCCTATGGTGATTTACTAGAAACCTTCCTCATCCTTGCAAATCCCAACACTGTATGGTAAACTGTGCTGTGTGCACATAAACAGCTGGACTCTGTTGATATGTGGTATGCCTAATCCCACGTAAAGCACAGTCAGTTTACTAGTGCAGTATTCATCCTAACAAATTCCAACAAACCCTGGTGTTCGAGTTTGGCTGGTTGGGGATCGTTAGGGTTATATAGACAGTATTCAGAGTTGGTTTTAAAAATGCAGTTGTGGTGACAGTCGTTTGCATATGGCATGGACGGGACGGTCGCATGGATAGTCGTTAAGCTCACCCAAAGCTGTCCACACCATAACGCATTCTTCACTTTCACCGCTTTGAGAGAAATCATCGTTGGGTTCATCCGGAGCCCAATTCAGATGTGCACGCGGGATGCCTTGACGAAAAAATAAACCCTGAACAAGTTCAAAAGGAAGGGAGCGTCCAAGGGGTTAATAAGTTACACGAATTGGTAATTGCATGTGGCAACACATACGGACAGCTTCACGTACGTGTACCTGTTCGAATATGCAGACAAGAAATTAAACAGCCATTTTTATAGAATTCAAATGTATGTATAAATGTACATGTACATGTACGTGTGCCTTTTTTACAAATGCTGAAACATTGGTACTGTTTTATAATGAGTTTGGTTGAGCTGATATATACTACGTGTAAAAAAACAAAATACATGTATCCTACTTTTGATTCTAAAAACTCTGTTATTACCACTGGAATTAAACCAAAATTTCACATTTATGTAAACAAGGGATGACCAAATTTATGGAGTGAGTTTTATCAGATTTGTGCAAGAGGCTGAGATTTAAACGTCAAACAAACAAAAATACTCATTTTCAGAGTGTCGATACAGTGCTGGAGACAGTGGTAGAAGGCATGGCTGCAGCTGAAAGCTTTTGAAGGAATGCAGGATCACCCCTGATGTCATTGCACACCTCGATTGTGTGTTGCGCCAAACGATCGAGGAGGTGTGCAATGACATCAGGGATGACCCTGCATTCCTGCAGAAGCTTTCAGCTGCAGCACGCGCCTTCCGCCACCGTCTCCAGTGCTGTATCGACACCGGAGGACACCACATCAAAAGTGGCAGATTCTGAAAGTGAGTATTTTTTTTGTATGGCTTATAAATCTGAGCCTCTTGCTCAAAGCTGATGAAACTCGCTCCATAAAATTTGTCATCCCTTGTTTTAGATGTGAAATTTTGGTTTAATTCCATTTGGTAAACAACAGAGTTATGTAGGATCAAAAGAAGGACATGTTTTTTTTACCTGTTGTACAAGCAAAAATCAAAACAATGCTTCCATTTTAAAACTTTATGCAAAAAAAATGTGGAAAAACAAGGAACTGATTGCAAAGATACTGGTTAAACAAACCTTCCTCGTGGAGATCATTACAGTCGATCCAAAACTGAGAGTGCAGAGTCATCAGAAATTGAACTTCATCTTCAGACTCGGGCACAACCAAGACACTCCCCATCTTGATGCACTCCTCTTTGGCCTCAAACCACGACAGGGTTTCAGCGATGGCTTTGTAGCATTTACCACCCCTCTGGATCCAAGGAGAGGGACACGCCCCTCTCATAGAGGCCATACAACTCTCGTTACAAACGGTTAATTTTACCAGAAGACCCAGGCTTATCAAGCCAAAGATGAAACGTTTAGGCAATAACATTTTTCAGATGTTATCAGAAATTCCCAGGCTGTTGGTCACTGCTCAAGGCAATTGTCAATATTACATGTACATGCTGTAGTAAAGATATCTGTGAAGGTTTAATATTGCATATTCTCTGGTACAGTACATATGTATTGTGTGCAGTACTGTGTCATTATGCTGCCTGAGCGTTGGGTTTGCAAAGAGTAATGCCATTAAACAATGCTTTTAGCGCACACACACACAAAAGGATTGACAGTGTATTTATTAATTGTTCCCCTGAGTACACCATAATTGATCACATGCGGGTCTTTTTCAGGCTTGTTCCATTGTTTGTGTGTTGTTGTTGAATTAATCGCCATGGTTACTAGTCGTAAGTTGCATTGTCATTGCGATGCACGTAATTGATTTGGATTTAACAAAGCTGCACAGTTTTCCTCTATGGAGATCAACTATTGAAAACATTGGTGTTTTCTAAAATTCGAATAAGAGTAGGCTCCTTAAAAACCAGGAAACTATATATTGTATCTTTCCCAAAAACTTCTTGATTACTTCAATTAAAATCAGCATTATACAGCGAATTACATGTAAAAAGTTCAAATAAAAATGCGTAAAGAATTACAACTTCAGGTGATTATATATATTATTTGACATACTATATGTAGGCTGAAATGGTTTCATATTTGTTCATGTATCGTCTTAACATGTACATGTATATAATATAGAGTTTATGGTAATTACCATACTTAAAGGTCACAACATTTGCATTTGCTGTAATTTTCAGAAATGAACAGATTTGGGGGTTGGTATTTATTATTGATACGTTTAAAGTTTTGTGTTCATGGATGCTGGAAAAAAAAAACAAGAAAAAATGTCGTTCTTGTAGTCTGGTTCCCGACCCTACCGGTACTTCAGACAAAACAGAGCTATTTTTTGAAGTCAGGGAATTGTCAGTCAAGACAGGAAACCAGACTATAGCTGGCTTACACCCCATTCATGGATTTGGACCAACTTCATTTGGTGAATTTGGGGCAGCATTTGAAAAAGATCTTTCTTTTTTTTCCAACGATGGTTGGCCAACTATCATTGGAAATTGATACAAAAATTCAAATTTCCTTGAAAATGACAGCACACCAGGTGCCATGATTTCACAGGATGCTGGAGACCATTATTCACTTACATGTGAGAGTGTTGTGGCATCGTGGTTAAAGGGCACTGGATTCGTGGTCTGTGGGTAAAGCTGCGGATTGTGGGTTCGAGTCCAGCCGGGGTCATGGTGCGTGTGCCCTTGAGCAAGGCACTTTGTCACTCACTGCTTCTCTCCACCCATGAGTAAATGATTGAATAAGCTTGCTTGTGCCTAGCAGGCAGCATCCAGCTGTATACTACCCATGGAGCTGAGATGGTATTTGGAATGTTTAATTGGCCCAATGATCAGGGGTAATAATAATACTCTAAGCGCTGTGATTTAGTTTACTAATATTAATAAGAGCATTTTTAAATGCCGATTATTTATTACATGTAGGTAAAGTCAAGCAAGGTATTTCATAATAATTTGATAGTTTTGTTTTTTAATGTTTGCAACTTTTGTGCATATATTTATACTAACTTTAATTCAACCTTTCCTGAACCCCTCCAGAAAGTAAGACAGGCCCAAGAACTGGAGAGAAAAATTGAAGAGCAGAAGAAAGAAGCAGAGAAGAAGAAACATGACGTGATTGAAGCAAGGAGACGGGAAGGAGAGGAGGACAGGCGCAAACAGGAACAGGCTAAGAATGAGCAGGTCAGGGGTCAATGTGTGTCAAAGATCAACATATAAAGTGAACATTTCATTTTCAAAAATCTGGATAGCTCGTTGGCCATCCTCAGCCGTACAAACAAGTGAAGCCACCGGTACAATTGGTTCCTGAACGCTCTTTCAAATGTGCTTGGCTGTGTTTAAGACCGGTTGGAGTCTGGGTGCTGATAATTACCCAAGCCGCAGGCGAGGGTAATTATCAGCATCCAAACTCCAACTGTTCTTAAATACAGTGTTTAATACCGGCATTAACATTTTCAGTCCAAAAGTCCCAAATTTATAAAACCATTTTGTTCAACAAGTTTACTTGATGTTTTTTGGGACACCCCTCTAGCTATGTTTGGTTGTCTCTCTCGCGAGTCGTCAAAAAACAACTCCCTATAGGTAGGTGCACGCGTCACGTGTACTGCGCGATGCAGCACGGAACACAGCTGTGCCAGTGTTTTGTGAATTCGGACTATGAAATACTGACTCACTGGTAGTACTGCGCATGCCTACGTGAGGATTGTGAACATTTAACCAATAAAATGATATTAAGGCACCGGATTGCATGGGAGTCCAAATTTCATGTGACACTGGATATGTGGTAACATGGCGGACAGTGACTCCACTTCCAATAGGCTATATCCAGATTTTTATATGGCTAGGAATTATCAGGTCAGGGGTCAACTTATGTTAAAGGTCAACCCAAAAAATTCAGAAAATGTTAATACTAGGTTTTTCCCTTCAGTGAGGATATGTTTATGAGCACTACATTTTTGGATCTTGGTGAAAATTACCAGATTGGTAAGGTGAAATTTTGAAATGTCTTGATCTAAAATGTCTTATTTAAAATTTTGGAAAATGGTGAATCCATGCCACTTTCCTCCTGCGGACCAATCAAAAACTGGAAACAGATGCCATGTGACCACTTCTGGACCAATCTGGAATCATTAAACTGCCCTGGATATTCATGAAATTATGATGTAGGATCATTAACAGTCTTTATAATATATTTTCTCTTTCCAGAAGGAACGATATTCACCACCCATTCCTGCACTCCGAAACAAAGAGGTAAGGCCTTTTCTTAAAGGGAACATGAAATAAAATTTTGATTGCATTTTTTTTGCTTAAATCAATAAAGGATGATGTTCTTAACAATATTTTGTGTATGGCGGTGTTTATTTTCTAAGATAAATGGGGGAAAATAATTTGTGAACATGTTTGGTCAAACTACTCCGCCCCACAAAGGGAAGCTTCATTAACATAAAACTTCGCGAGGGGTATGACGCAAGCGGAGGCAGAGACTTGCCGCGCTGCGGGTGCACCGGCATTGCGGCGTGCATCATAATACATGTACATATACATTGCGGCACTGAAAGTTTTTCTGGTGTTTCGTTCGGAATCGAGGAGAAATAACACCCGACTTTCGGCCATGCCGACAAGGTGTGTGGCTGCTGGGTGTAGCAAAACTACCAAGGATGGAGTAAGCCTTCATTTGTTTCCAGTAAATCCGAAATATCGGAGCATTTGGAGAGCCAAAGTGAAGGTAAATACCAGAGCAAAGTGGTCCGGGCCCAGTGAGTTCGCTGCCCTCTGCGCTGCACTTTGAGCCGTCGTGCTTTGATGCTGGTCTGTACAGCAACTTGGGCATGCCCCTAAAAAAAACATCGAGTCAGTGTCTGAATCATTAGAACTCTGATTCGAATCGGACGAATCTGTACCATTTTCATTGGATTCGCTAAGGAAAGAAGAGGACGGTCTTCGGAACTTTTACGGTCATGACGGCCGTCGTTGTGTTCATTCGACAACGGTGGCACCGTGGCACGTCCACGTGTACTGTACATATCCCATGTAGACACATTCGTACGTGTGCATATAATGCCACGTACGGGTACGCGGCGGCTGCACATACACACAGCACAGTAGCTTCGCTAATCCGTCTCGTACCCAGACGTCATTTACGGGCCCTGGATTTCTCTGCCTTTGTTTATGTCATGAACAGCGCCCTCATTTGGAGTTGCCGCGAAAATCAAAAAGGGGGGGTTCAATTTTGGACGGCAAATTACCACACTAAACGTACACCAGAACCAGTTCTGCTTTTAATTCACATTTAATACACATAAATGAATGTATATATAAAATAAAATACGTTATGAAAATTTTGGACTGCATGTTTCCTTTAATATCATTGAGCTGTTAAAGGGAAGATACAACATTTGCATACATCAAAAAACGAAATGATCAAATTATCAAGAAATACCTTACTGGATTGTTAGGGAATGACAATCTAAAGCATCCTGTAAAATTGTGGCTCCTGGTGTGCTGACATTTTCAAGAAAAATTGTATTTTCCAACGCTGGTCGGCCGACCAGCGTTGGAGAAAACTGGCTCATTTTAAAAAAACTGCTCCTAATTTTCATACTTAGTTATTCCACATTTTCTTTGCAATTGATTACACACATGTGAAGAGGAACAAGCCTGCCAGACTGATTCTCTGACCTTACAATTCCCCAAAGTCTACAAATTGCTCCGTTTCATCTTAAGTCGGGTCAGGGAACCGGACTACAAGAACACGATCGATTTTCTTGGTTTTTCCAGCATCTACAAGCCCAAAACGTGAAACAAATCAGTTAAACAATATTTCCTATAACATTATAATCCTCCAAATCCATTTATTTCTGAAAATTGCAGCAAAAGCAAATGTTGTACATTCCCTTTAAGCGGAAATGTAACACATTTAGCAAAGCCAGTACACAAAAGCAATGTGCATTGCATGATATGTTAGCTGGTATATTTTTGCTGGATAAGTTCTGGGACAATAAAACTGATGTTCATGTAATACGTTTCATGCAGTGCCGTGGCCTCGTGGTCTGGTGCATTGAACTTTTGATCTTGTGGGTAATTTTGCAGGTTGTGGACTCAAGTCTGTAAAAATTAATATTCTTACTTTGTTTTTTTAGAACCAGAATCCACCGAGGCAAAGCTCGCCACCAATCCCAACCCTCCGGAAGAAAAAAGAGGAAGAAAAAAAGGTGGGTTCAAATACTGCTTTTTGATTTAGAACAACTTAACACTTTGAGCAGGGCCGCCGTGAAAAAAATCTCATTGTTTTTTAAATATGGTCATAAGTTTGTTTTCAATGGGCCAATAAGGCCAAGCTTCCATGTAATCCCCACCCCTACTATACACCACAAGCCTGTAGACTCCCATTGGCCAGACCCTAGCTACTCCAGAGTAAGGAGTGTTGAAAGACAGAAGCCAAGATGGCGGCTAATGCCTTTGTGCAGTAATTGGACATCTTAGTGGCCATCCCCTAAGTGCCGCCGATCCCTTTGTGTCGACCCCTCGTGCCGCCCAGAGCCCAGACAGGTTGTAAACAATCCCTGGCCATGTGAATGACCTACATCTTGTGCATGTACAGGCATGCCAGGGTTATCGACCTAAAAACACGTAATGTGATAAAATTCTCATGGTGGTTCCACCGCGTAAATTTTTTTGGGCTTGAAGCTCGAAGTGTTAAAGTAAAGCTTAATATAAACGTTGTAAAAGAGTTTGGAAAGTGTAACCTTGCAATTACCCGAAAAAGTACAAAATTTTTGTAACAGAAACCTTGCACAAAGTGAAGATAGGACTGGTACCTAATACATGTACCCTTTGAAATTATTCCACCTGAAATGGTATTGTTCGACAGAAAAACAACATTGAAGGTGGTTTCAAAATAGAGTGCCTGTGGGCTCACTTTTTTTTTTTAAAGGCATGTGTTAGCAATGGAATCAAGTTACAAGACCTAAAAAATCATGCATTTTGTTCTCTCAAAATGTATAGTATCCACTGAGCTAAAAATCCAACAGGTTAGGCCAAACAAAAAAAATATTCTGTTTCTGATATCATGGCATTTGAAAATAGGGTAGGTAGGTAGGGAAATTGGGGTGGGTTTTTTTTTTTGGGGGGGGGCACTTTTTTGTATGTACAGTCATATGGAGGCGTCTGCGTGTAGTTACGGGTAATAGCTAGAAATTGATAGTTTTGGGTGTTTTTTGGTTGTTTTTTTTCCATTGTTTTTTCATTTTTTTTTCACAAAAAAATTAGGGTAGGGGCGGTCAGAATAGGGTACGTAGGGAAACCGGAAGCAGAAACATTTTTTTGTTTTGCCTTAGTGGTCCCCTACTAAAACTTTTGAGCAATTTTGTTACTTCAAGCAAAAAAAATACACAAAAAGCAAATGATCCCATGTACCTGAAGTATTGCAATGGATAGTATAAGTTGTGCATGAAAACGTAACTCAACTGCAAACCAAATTCCTTCTTAAATTTCTCCCAAGGATTCACCAAGAGCAGCAAACAAAATTCACGGAACACCTCGCCAGCCACCAGGAGTGAGTACAAAAATATTGCTCAGAATTTTTCCAGATTTTGATTTGACTTTAGGCTCTCAGTCGGGAAGGACTCAACACAAGCTGACGTGATGATTGTAGTTTCTTGGTAAACTTTAATTTCTGCACATGAATCAGAAACCGTATATGCCTTTTCAGCTATCTTTCTTTCTGTGACGTGAAATCAAATGAGTGCTTTTGTTTAACACTAACTCCCTAGGCCTTTTTGCTAGGATGTAGCCTCAATCCTGCACAATGCTCCAATTGGCCTCAGGGACAAATAGCATATAGCCTCAATCTTGCAAATCCCTCCATTATTTCTTGAATATGGTCTGTGGAGGGGTGACCACTGCCTGAATCCTGCGAAATCCTGTGGCAGTGACTGTCAATATGTTGAGGCTTGGCCAGTGGCATCCTGGAGCATTGCGGAGGATTTCAAGCATAATCTAGTGGGCCTATATTTATGCATGGTTGAGCAAAAACAACACAAGGTCCGGCCAAAGACCTTGAACAAAGTGCATCCTACGAAATCAGTAACACACTTTTGCCATGTAACCTCAATCCTCTAAATTCCTCCACCTTGGCAAAGAGGATTCAGGGCAGGTTGGGTTAATAGTTCTAGAGTAAGCTTGTTGATTGTTCATTGCAAGCGGTGTTTTTCTACAATTCCACGGATGACGCCATCAGAAGGACTTGAAGTAATGGGTTACTGTTCATCTTTTCGTTGCTTCATACATGTAGATGTACTTCCGCAATCTTTGTGACACAAAGAGGATGACTATATTTTTTATTGAAGTTGTTGGAGCAATCATGGTTTAAATAGTTTTAAGCAGGAAAATTGCTTTCTTCTCAGTGACTTTTCGACAGTCCGACAATTGGTGCAGATTTTCTGTGACATGCAAACCAGGCGAAGCCTTAAATCTCACCCTTTTCTCCTTTTAAGAAAGAGGCAATTTGATTTGCTAAACAGGCTTCAAACTTGGTTGGTTGATCGTCTAGTCTCAACATTTTTCTCATCTTTCTTGTTGGTAAATTCCTCACAGCTCTTTGATTCAAAGTAAATATTTTTGGGGGCTGTTTTTCTTCTGGAGTATATTGGGAGCCATTTTTACCTTTTTTTTTTTAATGTAATGTAGTTGACATGATCGATGCTCTACACTATATATAATACATGATTATGTGTTCATTAGCTGCAGCTGTGTTAAATCCTCCAAACTCCAACAATTGGTTTTGTAGGATTTAGGTTAAGGTTTGTACAACCCAACTCACTATTACTTTACATGGGGCTAGATCATCAAATTTAAAAAAAAAAATATGCTGGTTGACAACTGCAGTGTTGGAATTGGAATGTACAAGAACGCTTGTGAGCAACATGAAAATGATAAATTCACTCATCATCAAAGGCACAATCCCTGTGCCTATCTGCCGGACTACAGACGTTTACATCCGTTGCTATGTGTTGCATCTGGTACTGAGTTAGACTTAATGACTGAGATTGTTCACAGAAACTGCCATTTGTAATAAAAAGAAACTTTCCTTTTGATCACTTTTTGTTACGCAACAAAGTCTCAGAGAGAGATGGATGCTAGACCTATCAAGCCAGCCAAAGTAGGTTGTATGGAGTGAGGTAGTAGGGATTCACAATAAAGTGCACCACTAAGCGTTTGCCTCAAAGAGGAGTTTTTTTGCTGAGTATATACACTCAACCAAAAAAGAAAGGCCCCCCCCCTCCCTTTACCTGTAGATTGCACAGCATGCACTCTGGTAGAACAAAACTTTTAACCCTAACTACCTAGGCCTTTTTGCTAGGATGTAGCCTCGATCCTGCAAAATCCTCCAATTGGCCTCATGAAAAAATAGCATATAGCCTCGTTCCTGCAAATTCCTCCATTATTTCTTGAATATGGTCCGTGGAGGGGTGACCACTGCCTGAATCCTGCAAAATCCCGCGGCAGTGACTGTCAATATGTTGAGGCTTGGCCAGCGACTTCCTGGAGAAGTATGGAAAATTTTAAACATAATCCAGGCCTATATTTTTCTGCATGGCTGAGCAAAAACAACACAAGGTCCGGCCCAAGACCTTGACAAAGTACATCCTACAAACTCAGTAACACATTTTTGCCATGTAACCTCAATCCTCCAAATTCCTTCACTTTGGCAAAGAGGATTTTGAAGGATTCAGGGCGGTTAGGGTTAAAGAGTCTTACCATACATTTCTGAATTAGCCAAACCCTTCCCCTTCAACATGTTCAAAGCCCAAAATCCATTGTATGAGAAATCAGTGATTTGAGAAAAACTTGTCTTTTCCAGAACAATTTGATTTTACATTTTTGCGTGCACAAAAGCATGAATCATGTACGTGTATACATGTATGTAACTGCATTGTGTGCATGGAATTCCCACAAATTTAGATTGTAGTTTTTTTCTTTTTCATTGATCCTTTTTTAGGGGGGTTGGGGGGGGGTATAGGGCATATTGTTTAATCTAAGCATGTTTGCCGAGCTGCAAAGCACTTACGATTTTATTTTGATCACCTTGTATACTTAGGAAAGAGTGTGCCACAAATTGCGCACAGTACAAACAGTGTGTTTGTATAATGAGGCACTTTGTCGTGTGTGCGTGTTCTTGTTAAAGATGTGCTGTTCCTGATGTTTTCAAGTATCAATCCAAAAGATATATTTTTCGGGCTGAAACTTAAAGCTATTCACTTTACAAGACAAAATTCAGCTTGAAAAATGTTTCTGGGTGAAACTTGAAAACTAGTCACTCTGTAGAGAATTTGACCTAAACAAATCTGCCTGCATTTACTTCACAAATTTCAAATTATAATACAGTTCTCACTGGGTAGACTGTTTCCCACCCCTATCAGAATTGATAATGTAAGGACTGAAATCCAGTCTACTCTCCAGGCAGATCTGTATGCGTACATGTGCTTTTAAACAAAAGCAACCCCTTTTTCAGATGGTTGCTGGTGCCCAAAATAGAAAAATAACTTTCTGTTTTTCAAATAAAACTCCAAAGGTACATCTTACAGTACATCTTACTCATTCTGTGACACGCATGTAACAAGTAATAACATACATGACTATCCATACCTTTGTCATTTTGGTTGTAACTATATACAGGGCGAGCAAAAAAAAACGAAATCCAAATGGCTGGACCAATTTTTGAATGAAATTGTGCCTGTGGCATTTTCAAAATCTAGGATATGAAAAACCCAATCAATGCGCTTTCTTTTAGTACAAGAATCATTCAAATCGCTCATTTACTTTTCAAGTTATGGAATTTTGAACACAACCACCGTTTTAAAGTTCTGTCCACAGATCACAAAATGGTAAGTGTTCTATCAGCAAAACGAAAACAATTCACACACATTACTATGAGAATTGTATTTCGTTTTGCTGAAAGAAAACTACTTGTTTGGGATCCGTGAACAGAACTTTTAAACAGTGTTTGTGTTCAAAATTCTGTGCTAAAAGAAACTTAATGACCAGGCTTTCATATCATGGATTTTGAAAGTGCTACATGCAAAACTATATTAAAAAATTGGTCCTGCCATTTGGGTTTCGTGATTGTTTTACTCACCCCTGTTATTAATCTTTGGTTGTGGAGCCATGATGAATGCAGATATAGTTTGATTGTGTCTTGCTGTGTGTCCAACATTTTGTGAGAATGAAATATCGATCAGTTGGATGGACGTATCCCAGCCCTTGCCATTTCCCCCAACACTTTCACTTGCACATTTCTCTTACACTATGCACATGCCATTTTCTAATCTTACATTTACTTACATGTATCGAACAATTATGCTCGGAAAAGCAAAACAGCAAAAGGAAATAGCTGAGTAGTTTTGAAAGCTTCGATTCTTAAAAATGGGAATTTTTTTATATTTTCGCGGAATTTTCAAGGTAAAAACTTAATGGGGACCAGTGGCTTCTTTTGTCTATTAACCTGAGCTATCCCTCCAAAGCAAGATTTTTTGTTTCTGTTTAAAATCTTGTAAAGTGTTTCTTTGCTGTCAAAAATTTAAAACTCTTGATGTGCAATGGAATTAACGTGTTTTGCCGTGACATTCGTTCAATAGTAAAATGAAGTTGACACTCAAAATTTCATGTTTTTCCTCACAGGCTGATATATACAACAGACCATACTCAAAGGTACACAGTCATAATAAAAAAGAAAAGTTGTAATTGTACTATATTAAAAAAAAAATTCACTCCTTTTCAACTTTTTCTGAAGGATCTGAAAATATTGTAGTCAATAATTTCTTCAAGTTCCAATCGTCATCATATCCTTCCATTCCTACCTAAAGGCCTTTCTCTGAATGCATTGAATTTACACGTATTTACAAATGGAACACGGCAAACAAAGTTCTTGTGATAGTTTTTTTCTTTCACTCATCCTAGCACATGACGTAAGAATGTGTCTGGCATGATATGAAGTATATATACAGCATGATTAGCATGTTCTACAAACACTGTCCCCAAATCACCATACCACCAAATATTAACTCAAATACTACACCCCTTTATGAATTTGTTTTATTCCTTTGTAAAAAATATAACATTTGCATGTAGAGAACTTCAGTTTTTTGATGACCTTCACGTGATTGAATAATTGTATATTCTTCAGCATGCTGTCTAAGTTTGCAAATCGTTCCAATTTTCCGAATCATTCCAAATTCTGTCTGCTTAGCAAACTCAGACTTTGCCTGCATGTCTTTTATACTCCGCTTAGTACATCTATCAAAACTCATTCAGCCTTTTATTCTTCCTTTTTGTCATTTTCCTTTGCCATATATGCCTCTTGCATCCGTAAAGGAGAAACCATCAGCCCTGGATAATCCCAAAACTAAGGATAGTCCCCAAACTAGGGATAATCCCAATGCTAATCCCAATTCCAATGACAACATCTCCTCCCCCTGGAATGAGCTCTCCCCTTCCCAGACTCCCCCACAGGAAGAACTGAAACGGGAGAAGGAAAATCCTCTGGGAAATTTATGGGAATATTCCCAAGGTCCCACTGGAAAAACCTCGGAGGAGAGGGCCCGGATTTTCCCTGACAAAGAAATCCCGGAAAAGCACGCCCAGCTGGAAGCCCTGGACAAATTCCGGTTGCCGCCGGAATCTCCCTCGAAATCCCCTCTCCCGCGGGTAATTTCCAAGGAAAACGCAGCCCTGAGTCCCATGGAAAAGCTGCACACACACAAATTGAGAGAAGGGGATGAGGCTGGTGATGGAAGACAGGGGAAAGATGTTCAGGAATCACAAGGAAAACCTCTGGAAAATCCCGGAAAATCTACTGTGAGTTTTTTTCTGGAAGTTGGTGTGACAGAGTTGTTGGTGTTTAGTGGCTTCGTTAGATTTTAACCCCCTATTGTTTTTTTAGTGTCAGTTTCCGTAACTAACCCAAATAATACAGGTAGAATAAGTATCATTTTAATGACTGAAGTTTACATGTATAACTTCATGTAAGCTTTTGTAGCAACTTGTAAGCTTTTGTAGCAATAACCACTACATCAGAAAGAAGTTTGAAAGGCATCACAAGCTAGGGTTATGTACAGTATATTGCTACATGTATACTGAACATTTTGCGATCATGAACATGTTTTCCTTTTTCTCCCATTTTTATCGTACAATGATCCCAAAATGTGATGACCTAAATCGCTTAACGAAAGACTACTTGATCTCTTGTGCACCCCATTATGTCTGTTACGGTGATATTCTACTTTATCTTAAAGCAAACCTGACTCCTTGATGCTGATTGGTCGATCCATGACAACAAACTGTGCTACATTATCCCATGTAGCACGGCCGATACCGCACTCTGCATACCGGTATTGCGCTATTCCAAGATGCGCGCACCATTCCCGTTGCACACACGTATAAAACTGCTGTACAGCAGACGGTGTGTTTTCCATCTTAACTAACTGTGCGTCAAGTTTGCTTGAAGATAAATTCGTTATCCCACTTGGGCTTCTGGAACATAGCATAATGTAGTGCGTCTGTGTCCCACAGACGCATGTGGGACATAGATGCAATACATTATTCTGTGTTCCACTCGCGCTCGTGGGATAACCAATAGTGTATCTGTATGTGCAGGTATGCATAACGTACATGTAACTATCTAATGCGAAGCATATTAACTGTCGTGTCTAGTACTAATACAACATGTAATTGTGCCGTGGCATGTACTGTAGACTCTGTGCACAATTAAGTACCCCCTTCAATGGTTACAAAGCGAGAGTTGGGGGAGACCACTGAGAGGGCCTCTTGAAGGCATTGTATGCCTTGTGCTCACGCGAAGGCGCTACTTGGGCTTGTGCAAATTCAGGATAAATTAGTTGTGTGCATTTCGCACCATACACGTGCAAATCAGTACGCTCTTATCCCGAGGACAGATACGCAAAGAGAGAACAACAGATTCTTTGTTGTCCTCGAACATACATCCTTTGTTGAAAACGGTCTTTGAACTCAAATTTTTATGCTTAGTCTATGGGAGAGTGTTATATTATAGAAGCAAAGGGAAAGACAATGCCTTGTCCTCAGATGTAATGGTAAAACATGACTGCACGCATGCGGTGTGTCTCCCCTAATGGAGCTCTCGATAGTGGTCACATTTCATGCACGGAGTCCATACATGTAAAAATTAAGAAGAACGTATATCTAGCAGCCAAATCAAGCTTAAACTGGTGTTAAGTGCTACCGTGTATCACAAGCACCTACAAATTAAATCACGAGTAAAGGTAAATCTGAAATCTGTGACGGTGAAGGGAAACATAAAATGGATTGACAGTATACCCTATGTGTATGTCGTTACTAATGTTAACAAGCAGTCTTCTCTCTGATTGTATGCAGTGTGCGGCGTGTCACTTCATTTTTTCCCTACCTCTTATAGATTTTGTTATGCCAAGCTTGACTTGTGTGGATTAACTTAAAAATAGTACATGGGAAAATTTTAGAGGATATGCCGTGTAAAATTACTGTCTCTAAGAAGAGAAGTGGTTCCGAGAAGAACCTGAGTAAGTAACATGATATTTTGGTCATGCTTCGATCATTCCCGCAAGAGTGACTTATATAAACACCATTGGTTCTTCTCTGAATTGCCCCTCTTTAATAGTAGAGAAAGTCACTTCATAATAATAGTAAATATTTCTAGTTGTGCCTTCCTCCATTTAACACCTGTCGATCACTGCTTATAAGGCTGAAATATTCATATCTGTCCCCTTCGCAATCTTGCTTCTAAACCAAGGAGTTTGATTTGGTAGACTGGCTCCGCTCTGTCGACCCTGACCTGGTTGTATATGCTCCTGCTTTGGCCGAGAACGGGTACAAGACCGAAAAGACGGTGCGTCGTATGAGCCGGCATACCCTCTTGCAGTTTTGTCCGGATATGAAACACGGACACGTGGAGGCTTTGCTGCATGAAGTCGATCGCATTCAGACTCCAGCCACGAAAAAGGTACCCGGCACAACTTGTTGGCGTTTTGATTGGTTGGTTTTGATTCTCACTTTCTGTTGCGGGTTTGCAGTTCCCTGTTCAGTCTCTTCAAAGTTACAACTGACAGCTTTCTATTGTTATCTTTGACTGGTCCACTCGAAGTATGTATCGATTTTTCATTTGTTATGTTGAGTAATCTTTTCTGGAACTAACACTGACAGTTGTCATCTAATTTTCTTGTTATTTTGCCCGTATTGGAACTGTTTGAGGAATTACATGTACTATAACAGTGAATAAAAGTTGCAGAAGTAATGGTTGCTCTGAGCTGACCTATAACCATGTTTTTGAGCAAATGTTCTGTAACGATGCCATTTTCTGCATACAAATACTAGAATAATCTTGTTTATTGAAGCAGTGTAGTTACTTTGCTTAAATCTCAAAATTAAAATAGAATAAGTGTAATTTTTGACCGGTTGCAATGTTTAATGTACATCAAAACCTTAGATTTACGTCTGTTGATGCCTCCAAAATGGTATTGTTACAGCTCAAGAACATGGCCTATTTTTATGTGTTTTTCAGCCGACCTTTGAACTCTTTCTTACATGTATTAACACTGTTAAACCTTTCTTGACTCCCAGTGCGTTAACGTACATGTATGTCACTGACATCTGGTGTCCCGATTTCTTACTTCGACATTCTGTATAACATTGGACTAACTTTGTTTCAGATTTTTAATAAACAGTTGTGTTCTGGCTTGTTTCCTTTTGTTTTATGTGCGGAAAGTTATGCACACTTTGGGAAAGTTACCCCAGTTTAAATTTCAATTTTGTAAAATTTGTCTTTTGTTTTTGTTTGCGTCATGAATTTATTTACAAGCTTCTGGAAGAGGACAGAATAAGGAACAATGTAAGATCTGTTGTACGTGTTTCATCATTGTTTCGATAACATGTAGTTTGTAAATGTTTGGTACCTTTGTTAACATTTTATTTCTGTATGGCGAAGACCCAAAGGAATGTGTCTCCACAGAAGAGTACCTCAAATGAATTTGAAGTGTGGGTGCTAACTCTGTGGACCAGAGTTATTTTGCAAACCTTGAAGGGTTGTGAAGTGCAGAAGACTAGGAGGATTAACATGATTAATACTCGATACAATCGGCCAATTTGGGATAACTTTGCCCTCAACTTTTCTCGGATTTTAAATTACAATGTACATGACTCCTTACTTGATATTTTGATTTTGTCGCTGCTGCATAAACACAGGAAGCTCGTCTGATTGATTTGTTGTCGGATCACGACAGCTTGTCCGACGACGACAAAATCGAAGTGAGATTAATTCTTTTTGAAACTTCTTCGATATCGTGCATCCCTGTATCGGCATTTTAGAACGTGTCTTAGAATATGGGCAGTTCCACAGTGTCGGACGTACATTTTGGACAAGGCAACATAATCATAGTTATAAATTATAAAGTGGATTTGTATATCTCATAAAATGTCTCAGTTACAATGCAATAATTATAAAAAGCCATTACTCTTCCTACTTTTTGGCTGTAGTAGAAGTTGTCTCGAAACACCATAGTGTGGGAAGTACTCAGATTAATTGATTTTTGAGGACCGATTATTTATTTGTTTAGGTGTAAGCAACAGTCGAACAGGTGCACATTTTTAAAAATAAACTATACTTCAATAAAATACACCCAATAAGCTTCAAAATGATATACATTTCGAAATTTTGGTATTGAGGTTTATAATTCTGTGGAATTGCCCATTTTTTAGATGTGACTATTTTGTGATGCTTCTTTCTGCTGTAAATATTCTCTGCATGTTTCTCTTTTTTTCAATATCTGTCTGTGGTTGGCGCCAGCAGCGTGGTTCTTGGAGTGAGCATGCTAAGGTTTTGGCTCCGAACCCGAGACAAAAGGAACCGAAAAATAAACCTAGAATTGTAAGCTACTTGCAGTGGAACGCAGTGTGTTGAAAACAAGTGTGCGTTAGATTCACGTTGCCTGGTTTTTGTGTCGTACCCTTGCACCAAATCGAACTTGATTTTACAAAACTTGCTTGATATTTAACTACCACAAACCTTTCTTTCTGTTTGCTTTCAGTTATTGGACTTGCACACAAGTTTTGCACTAGTTATACATGTATACACAAAAAGTAGGCTAGGTCTTGGAAAAAAGAAATCTTGTAACAACGTTGTGCTTATAATTTTCATATCCGATAACAAAAACCAGATCTCACAAAATCTGAAATTTGTTGTTTTACTTTTTGCATCTGTTGATACAGAAAGTTAAATCTTCACATCTCAAAAGATACTGTAAAATATGGGCATTCTTGTTTCATCTTTATGCATCTGTTGGTGTTAAATGTTTACATTTCTTTGTGCATTTGTTTACTTTTATACTCTTGTACTCATGTAACAACATGTCTTTGACAACATGTCTGACAACTTTCTGTTTTGATGGGGACGGGAAGTTTAGAACAAGGGGCGTTGCCAGATCACTTTTATAATGAGGGGGGTGTGACAACACATTTGCCAACAGACCATTCTGTGCTGGAAGGTAGCCTGGATTTTGTTCTGGCCGCAAAAAAATAAACGGGGGAGAGGAGGCTCATCAGTGTTGGACACTATCGGACAATTGGTGGTGCTATTTGTTGCGGCATATTATCTGACAGATTCATGGTTTTGCCAACAGGACAACCATTTTGCCGACAAAAACGAATAATGCGTGGTGTCATTCCCCCCCCCCCCCCCCCACCCCCACACCCCACCACATCTAGCGACGCCCCTGTTTAGAATTCTGTTCCCTTCTGGCCTACAGCTCAGCAAGTCTCTTAGTAAACCTGAATAATTATGAATAATTATTCAATTGTTAGGACAAAATTTTATTGGAATTGAATGTTTTCTTCCAACTGTTATTTACCCCAAGCCTTTTACAAATAATGCTTCTAACATCACACTAAAATTGCACGTTCATAACAATTTATGTTTCAATCCTCAGAATTCCAAAATCTAGCCCCCCTCTGTTTGATCCAATACAATCCTTCATATTTCTCCTCTCTCACTGTTCACCTTTTTTTCATTTCTTTTATTTTCACACCAACACGTTTGCAGTTTCATCCGGGCTTGTTTTCATACAATTCTGTAAGTCTTTTTTTTTTGTGCTACGCACAGTTTCCATGTATACGCCCAGGTAGTATAGAAAACTGCACCTTATACAAATGATTTTCATTTGAAAGTTGACAAAAATAACAAAAATGGATTTATTCTTGTAATATCACAAGTTGAATGATCGGTGTACTTCTAACAGGTAATGAACTGTGATTTCATGTAGGTTGCCCTACATTAGCAGAAATTTGTCACAGATTTGTAAGATCTTAAACTAAATGACACTTGCAGTTTTGCTACTTTGCAATTAATAATGCGTGTTATCAAGGCAGCGCAGTATATGTGTGCCAAATATACTTTATATATTTGAATATCTGATCATCCACCAAATAGCTTTTGCAATTCAAATATTAAAAAATGTGACTCCAGAAAATGCAGAAAAGCATCAATGATGTTGTTTAATCGTATAAGTTGGGTGGTTTCATCGTTTATCAAATGCCAAATTTTTGTTGGCAATTCCTTTACATGCATCATTTGAAAACTTGCATTGGGAATACATGCATAAGCTCCCATTGCATCTTTGAAGTCTGTCAAACGTTAGTCAGCAAAAATATATATCGATACATACATGATTTTCTGAATACTTTATTAAGCTCATAGTCAATTTTGGACAGGGGAAGGGACCAAAGGCAGTGTATAGGCACAGGGGCAGATGCACGCGCAGGGCACAGGGGCACGTGTAGACACAGGTGTAGGTGCAAGGCGCAGGGGCAAGGCACAGGGACAGGTGTAGGCGCAGGTGCATGAGTGTGCTGATCCCAATCAGCAGCCCATTTAATTCCTGATCAATGCATACAGTTTACATGTAGGCAAGCACTTGTCAAACTTGATTGGCGCATGTGAAATATTCAATTATTAAATCAAATTAGTTCGAGTAGTTGAATACTTAATTATTCTAAAATGCACAGCTCTAGAATATTTTACTATGTGTTTGTGTTTGCATTATTTTACATTATCTTTTTCAGTATTGAATACTTTCCACTCATTTTACAATTCATTTACCATTTCATTTACCATTTCATTTACCATTTCATTTCATGCATACTCAAGGAGAGTCCACCTGGGGATACTTTCACTGATTTTCTCATTGATGTCTCCAAGGAAGTAAGATTGTGCCGTCTCAATTCTCAAATGATTTTCTCTTTTCTATCTTCAAAGCTTTTCTTTGTTAAATTCTCACAGCATTGCAGGTTTCTCTTCTCCTTCCACCTTTAGACCTGAACATGCATTATGCTGTTATCTTTTTCCTCTATTTTGAATTTTGTTAGGCTTGTGAGCTTTAAGTGATTTTCTTTAATTTCCAGCATCTTGAGTACCTAATTGTTGGTAGATATGTGCGCTATATAGCATTAGGGAGACATTTTCATGTCTCCCTAATGTCACAGCCCCCCTTTCGAGGCACAATTTTATTGTCGCACTTAGGTTATATTTGTTGCTCGTGGTCAAATTAGTAAACATACCAAAATTCGTGGAAAAAGGACAAGGGAATGTTGGGTAAGGGCACTTTTAAGTTTGAAAAATGCACAAGTCTATGGGGATGTCTCCCAAATGTCCAATCCAGGGTAATAATTATTATTATTATTCTTAAAATTAATGTGGCCTGACGTTGCGAACTTAGCAAGTTCTTCTTCAGAGGCTAAAACAGAAATGACAGAGGTACATACATTAACATGGGGGTGCACACAAACATGCAGGGCTGAAAGAAGAAACACAAAATGAGGATTAGGTGTGAAAGGTGTGGAAAGATGCAGGGGAGGGTGGATGAGAGAACAAAGAAACAAAGGGAGAGGGCAAACCACAAGGGGTCTTGTGTAAACAGGGGAGGGACCAGAAAGGGGAAGGATCAAAGGTCACAGGGAGTGGGAGCGGACAAAAGAGTGTGAGAGTGAAGGGATGATGCGGGGGGGGGGGGGGGGGGCGGACAGTATGGAGGTGGAAAGGGATGAAAGATGGGGGAAGATGGGTAAACACAAACAAGGAAGACCAGGTGGATTATCTGTAACAGAAGACAATGGAGGAAGAAAAGGATTAGTCATTTCCAAGTTGGATGTTGAGACCATGTGGTTGAATAGTTCGAAGACGATTCATCCACACTTTCTCTCTGCTGAGGCGAACTGAGTCCTTGCGATGGCCAAGAGATTCAATGCCCTGTAAAATCATATCAGAAATGGAGTGGTTAGGCAGGTTGAAGTGATGACCAACAGGGGTGTCTAATTTCTTGGTGTTGACCGTTGACCGGTGGGCATAGAAACGCTTCTTGAGCGTATTCTTAGTCTCACCTACATACTGCACTCCAGACTCACTTGATTTTACATTGTAATGAAAAATTGGTAAAGACCAATCCGGGCACACTACCAATTCTATCACGGAGGCCCCCGTCCATGGCGAAAGCATTGTGCTAGCTGTTGTTAATTCAGATAATCCGTCACGGGGCAGTTGCTTTGTACAATAGCTTGCATAATGGTTTCTCCATTTAAGGGTGTCCTGTGTGTGCACAGTGATCACATGCCCAGATGTGTGTACACGATGTACATAAATTTAATTTTGTTGGCACATTGACAATTATGGACAAATCAAATACAAGGTGCACAAGTAACAAAAAGTAGTTTCTGAAACCAGTTTTGATAAATGATTCACTCTTTTATTCTTAGCCTGGACCAGTTAAACAGAATTGGCAGGTAATGACTCGTTCTTTTTAAAAGTACATGTAATTAGTGAGATATGATCTAGGCTCTTTTATTAATCCAGTTGTGTACAAAGATGTGAACATGCAGAATTCAAAGCATAAATCATAAAGCATCAATTGTTTCCTTGCCATGAAAGGACCGAGAATATTTCTATTCCCCTGGTGGATGGGTCCTATGCTCTGTACACATAAATGCACAGTCGAGACCAAGGACTTATGTTTGCTATAACCAGAGTTTGTGTTAACAAGAGTTAATAACTGCATTGGCCAAGTCATCGGCACTATATTTCTCAAAGGAGAAATATATCCGTGAAACCGAATTGTATAAAACTATATTGAGGATTTCACAGTTTTACCATCGATAATACTATTTAAATATACTCAATAGCAAGTTTATCTCAAGAATAGGTAATAAATGTCCATATATTCACGTTTCCCCTCCCCCTAAAGATGATCTACAAATAAATATAATTGACAATAGTGTCTTAAAACTCAAGAGATTCATTTGTGCAAAACATGGACCTAATATTTAGTGATTACAACCTTCTTGCCCCTGCATGCAGTCTGATATGTATAAGAAGGCAGTCAATATAGCAGAGGAGCACTTGCTACATGTCCAACAGGTTTGACTGATTTACAGTGTGGTTTTAACTTCTATGTGATCTAACATGTCTAAACCAAACTGATAACATTTTGTGACTTTTGAGAGTAAAATTAAAGTTCCTAACAATCCTTCTGTGAATTAACTTTTGTGATTTGTAAATTTCAGGTCAATTTGCTGAGTTAGCAGTTTGCAGCAGTTTTATTCATTTTCCCCTCTGATTTCTAATAAATGACAAAGTTGTTTTTATTGTGATCTGGTTCAAAGCCTTTCATGTTGTGTTCATGTGCTGCTGTGATATTGTTACCTCTTTATGATCTTTATTCTAAAAGTTGCTGTCTTAATTATATTTTTTTTCTCTTAACAAATTTTCAACTTGTGTGTTTTATTCCAACTTCAAAACCCTTCTTTTTCCTTTTTGGCATCTGCAAGGTCGTTCAGATCCATCTTACAAGCGGACTGGTTCCCAGTCCTTATTGATACTGATTGTGGGGTGGGGAACCAGTCTTTCCCAAAAAACGGAATTATTGTTGGGCCGCAAGCAATTAAAAAAGTCATAACTAAACATGGGCCAATTTTTATAGACCGGCCCATAGCTCATTCAAAAGTGAATAACTTTTGTATCGCTAGAAAAATAGCAGTTTAAAAAAAGGAATCTATTTTTGGCATGTTTGGGGGATGAATCTGGAAAATAGCTCAAAGAGTAAATTAAAATTTAACTTTTGTAAGCTTTGGGGTTTTTTTATGCACGCTTACTTTTCGTAGTTATTTCTGATTGTACTGCATATCACTGGGTTTTTTTTTTTATAAATGCACAATAATCATATGTTTGTCTATCCCAAAGGCTTTGATCCAGCGAATAAGTGAAACTGTTGTTGTTTCACAGTCCAAAAGAATGTTAAATAAAAAACTAAAGGTAAAAACAAAGTGTCCTCACCAGAGTGTTTCTTGTTTATCTTCTTAAAGGAACAAGAAGGCACTTCGAAAGATGGTCCAGACGGGGCAGGTCGCGACCCCCGTGATGTCATGACGGCGTTATCAGCTATGCGTCGTCAACTGCACAGCGAGCAGCGACGTATTCAGAGCCAGTTAGACCGAAACAAGGAGGTAGGTTCAATCATTTGTGGAGTGCCATGGTTCAATGGCAACGGTGTCTGACTCATGTGTGCTTACATATTGGCACTTATGGGGTACCAGGAACAAAGGGCAACAATATGGACAATGGTACCCAGCAAGTCTGTCCTTAGAAACTGAAGTACAGTACCCCATAGCGGTAACACTATATATTTTGAGATTTCTAAGGGGACAAAGGAGAACAAAAGAAGGGAATCAGGTTCGAACAATAGCGGTACCCATAAACCCCAAATGCTAAGTGTGTGTGTTCCTGCATGGCATAACGCCCGAGGACAGACAACAAAAGGAGCACAAAGGGGCCATTGATCCTCGAAGGAAGGTGCCTATTGTCCTCGAACGCAGGTTTGTGTGCTTAGTCTATGGGAGAGTGTTATATTACAGGGACAAAGGAAAACACAAAGCCAATCCTCGGAAGCATAGCAAAAAACGACGGTGTGTGTGTGTGTGTGGTTGTGTGGGTTTGAACCCTGACGGGGAACATGGTGCTTGTGTTCTTGGGCAAGACACTTTACTTCAATAAGCCAGTTTGGTTTTTCAACTGGGCATGCACTCAATGATGTGGGTCACAGGTCATTCGGCATAATAATTTAAACACTCATCGAAGGCATATGAATGCACAAGCAGATGATTGCACGATGCTTTTGCGTTAATTACGAGCAGATTGGACATTCGCGTAACATCACGCATGATAGCGTAATATCGCGTCAGCGATTTTATCCCAACTGACCTTTGACCTGGACTTCTTCATCGAGATACTGAACTGGCTTATTGACTCCACGTAGGAGTTTAAATGGGTAACTGTGTGGGTAGAGACCAGATTGTGCTGATCTCAAGCTGTTGGCCTGATGAACAGGGGTAATAATTGTGAAGGGCTCTGAGACTTTAGAGTAAAGCGCTATATACATTGTAAGTATGACATTATTATGATCATCAGGTCAGACTAAACGCATTCCTTTGTTATTGTTCATCCCATTATGTGTGACTGGACTGATGAAAGGACTTGTGATGGGCTCGACTACAACACTGCCCTCAACTCTGTCTTTGTAAACATTGAAGGGGTACTTGTGCATGTGGAGTACGCCGCAAAGCAAGTACAGGTATGTAGTATACTACCATGTAAGATTGACTTCTATTGTTTTTTTCTTGATCTGTCAGCATGATCCATATTCCGGTCATAAGCTCAGCTCTCGTCGGGCCAGTCCTCAGGTTGATGTCTTTGAAGTCGCTCGTCACAAGGCACCGGTTGCCGTCCGACGGGAGCCGTTGACTCATCACGCCGCTGCAGCTGAATTCTCAAGTCTGAAAAACAGAGGTGAGTGCTATATTTGACATGGTTTTCAAGTAGAGACAGGTTTTGTATTGTGATGGATAGCAAAATTTAGGACCTAACCCTGCCAGACTAACTTGATGGGGATGGGGTGGGGGTGGGGTGATAACAAATTTGCCGACAGACGACTCTAGTCACCCAGCTGCTGCACTGGGGTTTTTTTTTGGGGGGGGGGGGAGGGAGCTGAACACCGTCTTTCTAATGAGAGTGCCTTTCACAGTAGACGATCATTGACAGTATGGGACAATAGGTGGGGCTATTCGTGCGGCATGTTGGAAACAGATGCACAATTTTTCCGACAATGATTTTGCTGACGAAAATGATTATTTGGGGAGGTTTCACACCCACACCCCCCTCAGCGACGCCCATGCCTAACCAAACAAAATGAGATTAACAAACACCCTGAACTACTTTTGAGCCTTGAATCAAATCTTGCACATGAGAAATGAAAAGGAACTGTTAATGTTCACCCAGATAACATCCATATTCCAGGCATGTAACTTTCCCTCGGATCCGCAAATTTCCTCGTTTTTTACTTCTCATGAATGCCATTTCAAATTGAAAAATTCTGTACAAAGTCTTGTGTGTGGTTTGGAGTTGCCTGGTTTTTTTTCTAAATTCCCAGTTGCATGCCTGATATTCAGAGAGATGTCACATTGATTGACATATCCAAATTGACATATCTCTTGTGCAGATGTCTTACCACTCGACCACCGAGCTGATGGGATCGGTTGGCTGGTTCGAATCTGATGTACATAGCAGCGGGTACCCGCATTAACTATTCATAAGATGGAATTTTTGCGTCGGGGTGATGTAAATCAAATTAGGTTTTGCCCTTCACCAACGTATAAACACTGTATACTCAGTGTGTTAAAATTCCATCTTATGAATAGTTAATGCAGTACCCGCTGCTATGAACATCAGATTCGAACCAGCCAAACGATCCCGTTAGCTCAGTGTTTGAGTGGTAAGACATCTGCACTAGAAAGCAGGAGGTCGTGGGTTTGAGTCCCACCCGAGTGATTTTTTCCAACTTTCACTCGGGAGGTAACACACTGAGTATACAGTGTTTATAGGTCGGTGAAGGGCAAAACCTAATTTGATTTACATCACCCCAACGCAAAAATTCCATCTTATGACATATCGCTTGTGAGGAAATAGCTATTTAGTGGTGTTTACCGCACGGAGAACGGGTGTGCCGACGTTTAAGGTTTACTTTTGTCTGCAGAGTCTAACTCCAGACTGAGATTGCGGGAGCAGTTCCCAGACCAGCCCAGCTCGGACCTGACCCTGGAGGCTCAACAGAGGGCGCTGTTGCGACACCAGCAAGAGAAATTGGACAATCTGAGGAGAGGAGGTATAATCACAGATAGAGTAGAATCTTTTCTGATTTTCCTGATGTCATTTGTAGCTGGAGGCTGACGGAAAGACGTAACGAAAAACTCACCAGGATTTGTAGGGTAAAAGGATAAACGAATGAGCCATAATCATACATGTACAGGGTGAGTCAAAAAAAAGGAAATAAATATGCCCCCCCCCCCCTTTTTTTAAAAGAAGTTCTGTTTGTCGGACTTTTCAGAATGTTAAAGCCCAGTTAATAAGCTTTCTTAAAAAAATATTCATATCACTCATGTACTCTTCCAAATACGGAATTTTGAACACAATTCTAGTTTTAAAATTTTAAAATCCACGGCATCACATTTAAGATACGTGATATTTCAGTAAAATGACACCATGTCGTATCATGAAAACGATATCAGAATAGTCCCATAGGTCTCAGGGGTAGCTAAGTTACGGCAGGGCAAGACTCTTGACATTATGAAGCATGTTGTTTTAACATTGGAAGCAGAAGGTGTTTAAATAAAGGTTATGATAAGAGCCAGTTATCATGGTTATGTGAGTGTTCTGATGTTTTTTTTGTTATATGTGAATTGTTTTTGTTTTGCTGAAATATCACTTACCCTTATTATGATCCATGGACAAAATTTTGAAACTGCTTTTGTGTTTAAAAGTCCATAATTTGAAAGTAAATGATCGATGTATAAATACTAAAAGAAACCTTATTAATTGGGCTTTCACATCCTAGATCTGAAAAGTGCTACATGCAGAACTTCATTGAAAACGTAGGGGCTTCCATATGGGTTTCCTTTTTTTATGACTCACCCTGTGTAGCCAGACCAAATCCTTCAAAATTCAGCAGTTGGTTTTGCAGCTTTTAGACAGATTCTGGACATTACAGCCCATTCATTGTTTAATTACACGGGGCTTGATGTCCACAACCGATGTTATTCAAGTACAAAGACTATGTCGTCAGTTTGGAAGCACAAGTTAAGCTTTTGAAATATTGTACCCTTTTTTGTGTTTGAATTTTGTTCAGCCAAGAGCAAGAGACCTTTGGAAGAGCAGATGCCAAGCATGGATCTCAGAGATCTAGGCAGGGTGAGTAGACTTTTGGTATTCAGTGTAAGTAACAAAAAAAGTTAGTTAAGTCTGACACAAGCCAATGTGGCCTATCAGGCCGGCGTTTATCTCCGGTTTCAGTAGCATGAAACGACAGAGAATATTTCTACTCCCCCTGGACGGGATGCTAGTCCATGGCAGGTTACTCCTCAGCTAATGCCGGTACCCATTGATACTCCTGGGTGGAGAGAGGCAAGTGGGGATGAAGTGGCTTGCCCAAGGACACAACATATGACCAGCAGCTGAATTCGAACCCCTGTCCCTCTGATCATGAGTCACAAACCCTCACCACTAGGTCACACTCGGTGTAAAATATTCAGTGTAAAAGGTGTTTAACACTAATCCCTTCAAACCCCGAAAATCAACCAGGCAATTTTGGAGAGTTGAGGCTGTGTGCCGGTTGAATTTGGAGGATGCACTGTGTCAAGTTATTAAGCTGTACCTTGCGTTGTTTATGTTCAGCCATGCATACATGTAGGCCTACATTAATACTGGACATCATTCTAAACTGCTTCTGGATGTCACTTACACTGCTTCAACTTATTAACGCTGCTTGTTGGAAATTTTGAAGGATTGAGGCAGTGGCCACCCCTCCATTGAACAAATTCAAGAAATAACAGATTATTTTGGAGGATTGAGGCAGTATCCAATTTTTACGTGGAGGCCGTTGGTGAATTTTGAAGGTTTGAGGTTGTATCCTAGCCAAAAAAAACCCAAACAAACGAGTCCCACGACAATTTGGCTGGTAACATACTTTTGTTAAGCAAATATATTTCCCATGCTTAGTATCAAAGCAGTACACTTATTTAGCCCTTCTCTCCTTCTGTTTAGAATGACTCTCCTCTCCTTGCCTTGGAATCAGAGAGTGCCTTCATCGGAATCAACAACGGCGTCGCTGATATTCCCAACACTCCCCCTCACAGGAAGAAGCCCCCATCCCCACGCCGAGACTACGGCGAACCGTCAACGTCAGTGGCTAAGGTAAAGTCACCACACATTTCTTAGTTTGTTCAAAGTTTAAAGGGACCATGCAATGTAATTTTTTTTAATGCAATCCTTGAACGTACACCTTTGTGTCCCATTTAACCTTATTTTTCATTTGTTTGCCATTTTCAAGGGTATTTTGGGCCTTTTTGGTTTTTATGCTAATGCAAATTTCCATATTCATGAGCAAAACTGTGATGTCATTCCAGGCAGAAACCTCAATGTTACAGCTATTTTAGCTCAAAAAGTTGCAGAAATGTTGGATATTTTGCTTTTCTTTGGTGATTCGTTGTTGTGTCAGTGTGTGGCAGTAGGCCAGTGACCAAACCTTTGTCACAAAAATTTTCATTGAGCAACTTTTTGACTCACGATTTGAACAGAAAACCCCAAAACTGAACAGTGTCTTCCTGAAATGACATCACAGCATCAGCATCCTCAGTTGGAAAAGCATGGAAAATTTTAATGTTTTGCATGGACCATGACAGTACAAGTATCATGGATTTGAGTGTTAGTACTGTGGATTCAAAGTCTGAGTATTTTGGTATTCAAGTACAAGTACAATTATTTTCATGTTGTAGCTGAAACCTTTTCCGAGACCTCACACAAATGCTTATATAACTGAATGTCAGGAGTCAAGTCTAATGAGAATGAAGACAGACTCTCAGTCTCTTGACTTTGATCGTACTTTAAGTTGGATTGTTTTAAGGTAATACCGTGCAGTTTAAAATAAATGTTTTATGGGAAACTTGATCTTAAAAAGGATTTTGACACTTAGTAAGGCATTGCTTCATGAACTGGAATGTTGATCTTTAAAAATTATATCTCGGCATTCTTTCATCAAATGTGATCAAGCTACATGTACATGAGTCGTTTGTGAGGAATTTTCATTTGGAGGTTCAGGCCAGAATAGGGCCACTTCATCACATCACTTCATCACATCTCTTGGTGTTCCAACTTCCATAATTTTTTAACTAAAGATGGTATCAGCATGCGGTTTTCACAGTAGTAATGCTGAGATTGTGCTCTTTTCAAATCTGTAATAAAAAATGTTTTTACCAGGGTCGCATTGATCGCATCACAAATGATGACAGTCGGTAAATTGTTATTTGATTGATTTGCTCTCTGAAAATTTAAACAATTGTTAAAACTGAGTGAGGTCTCCAAAGGTCAAGGAAAGGTCTGGACTACAGCACTGTTATGAGTACGAGTGTGAGTATCCTCAAAATAGTACCCGAGTACGAGTACTGAGTATGAGTAATGTGACACTGATTTCTGTTTTCTGTCTACTCAGCCCAAGGACCCTCTGGGATCGACGATGAGTTTTGATAATGACACTATCGACTACCTCGCTCAGAAAAACAAAGACAGAAACAAGGCGCTTAGACAGCTAGAGGGTGAGTCTCCAATTTGTTTAAGGTCGACGAAACTCGAGCTTGGGTTTATTCAAGTTAATTTGTGATTTGTTTGGACTTTTTGTTTTAATTGGTGAGTCAGTAAATGAATCTGTTTGTGATCTTTTGCTGACGTATAATTTAGAGACTGCATTGAAACCGTTTAACATTTCTTTTAGCTGTTATTTTTTTAAAGATTTTTTTTGATAAACCACTAAGAGAATCTGACTACATATAGGTGCAACTTTATAATTACTGATATATTTTGTTTAATGACATAAGAAAAATTTGAAGTTATCACTAACATTTGGGACAAAATCTACGAGGAATCTATAATCCAGCTGATGAGGCATTACAGGTTCAAAGTGAAAGTGAAGAAACAAATTTTTGATTTGTGGTTCCTTTGTGAATGAAAGCTTTTCATGTGATGTTACTTAGAGTCAAGAGGTGTCAAAAACCTGCATAATTTTCATCATGAATTTTTTTACCTGACTGACTGACATTAACTTGTGACTTAGACTGGTTGTTTGTTGGTAAAGGGAGCTGGGCAGTACTATTGTATAGGATTACCCTGCAATGAGCTACATTTTGTACATCTGGCCCATTGTCTAGACCAGATGTTTGTCTTGTCTTGTATTGATAATTTTGTCGAGTAAGACTTTTATATGTTTATTTTCCTAAATCTCAAAAACAGATAACACCTCTCTAGTTGATCCGGATGATGTGTTGCAAAGGTTCATGATGAGGGATTCACATGACAGGTAAAACAAATCTCAAAGTTGTTATTCCATTGAGAACATTTCCCTAACCGTCAAATATCAATTGAGTTTAAACCCTATTTCTGACTTCTTTTTCCTTGTAGTGAAGTGAAGGCTGACTAAATGAAAGCCTATTTGTACATATGCAGGCATGCAACTTTTCCTCGGATCTGCTGATTTTTCTCGTTTTTTACTTCTCACGAATGCCATTACAAATTGGAAAACACTTTAAAAAGTCCTGTGTGATTTAGAATTTCCTCGTCTTTTCTACATTCCCAGTTGCATGCCTGCATATGGCGCAATCTTCCCTTGGATTGCATAAAAAGAAATGGGCCGTGTTCAATTCTTTGCTGTACAATTTTTTTTTTAAGATGTCATTTCAGGTATCACTAGAAATATGTCATACCTTCATGCCATGCAGCTGTCTTTCAGGTTAATGTTATGCATATTGTATGTAGGCCAAGTAAACAGGATTTGTCATATGAGAAAGTAATTTGAGTAAAATGTGGAATCGCCTGTTGGAAAATCTATGCTGATATACATTTAGCTAGAGCTGCGTCGAATGTACCAAATATTCAAATATTTGATCATGGCCGAGTATTCAAATAGCATTTTTTTTTCCCAATTCAAATTTTCGGAAAATGTGAGCAGTTTTGAGGAGATGAAGAGAAATCCTTGTTAAAATGCATGCCATTTTAATCCTATGAGTATCAGCTAGTAGGACACATAAACAATTTTTTTTTTTTAAATTGGTACATACATGATTCATTCATTTCGGTTTTATTGTTAAAAAAAATAAGATGACCAAAGAAACAGTCCAAGGGCTAAAAGTATTTGTTTTACAGTAAAAGTTAATATGATGTTTTTAATATTTATAAAAGTGCATGCTAATCCTGATCAGTGAACCACTAAATTATTACTACTAAATTATTTGAATATGCACACCCCTATGTACGTACCGGTAGCATCTTTAAAGAGTTGTCCATTGTAACTATCTCACCTCACTTTTCAGTTGTATTGTTTTCATATTGCTTTTATTTTACCTTGCATGCTTGCTTGTTTCATCTAGACTCTAGTGAGTCGTTGCTCAGATATCAAAGGTATGGCTGATGCAAGGGCGGATCCGGGGGGGGGGGGCCAAAGGGGGCCATGGCCCCCCCCCCCCCCCCAAAACAAAACCAATTGTTTTTTTTTTTTATGTGACATCGCAATAAAGGCAGGCAATGAGTACACCACCATCTTTTCCTCAAAAAACATTGGTGAAGGTGGTCAGAAATTGCCTCAGATCGCACCACAGAGCATCTAGAATCCAAAAAATTTTCGGGGCCCTTAAGCGGGCCCCAAACCCCACGCCGTAATTTTTGGACCCACTTTTTTGGGGGGCCAAAATTTTTTTGGGCCCCCCAAAAAAATTGTGTTCTGGATCCGCCCTTGGGCTGATGAAGAGTAGTTTTTTTTATATTGGTTTGCTGTGATGTGAAAGATTTATAAGGAGTACCATGTCATTAGTCTGAATGGCATATATTTAGTTTCTGTAGACTTATATATAGCCTTGGTCAAGACGATAGAGTCCGATGATCTATGGACGGCCGCAAAAGAAAACAGTATCCGGTAGCCCTGTGCTATGCAATCACCCCCAAATGCAATATGATGAAATATGAACCTGCCTAGCTAAACCTAACTAAAAGTCTAAAACTCGTTCATGAGTCAAAAGTTTTTAATTTTTTTTCCATTTCGCTTACATTTACAGACCCAAATCAGGCAAGAGTGAAGATCTGAGCTTATGGCTGCAGCCGACTGTCAGTGACTACTGAGGTAATAGAAGGGAACAATGCTACCACACAGGGCGAAAATGCAGTCTGCAAGATCTAGGTCACACGCTGTCCCTGCAGTGCCCTTGCATACCGCCCTCTAGCGGTGACGCGCATGGGATTTGTTGTATGCCATTGAATCAATCTGAATGCACTTTTTCAATGGGTTTTACCCTCCACTGATGTCATTTTCAGGCATGAGATTTGTTAGACTGTTGTCTGAAATCAGACTTTTTGAATCTGAGAGAAAGACATTATCAGTATTCATGTATAAAGAAATCTTTCAGACTTTTCATCCAGTTTTCAGACTATTTTTTAAATTGATAATCTCACCCCTGCATTTTATAATCACTGAATAAACAGTGTCATTTGAGAGCTTTCCAGAAAAAGTATACACAAGCATACTCGGGTGGGACTCAAACCCACGACCTCCTGCTTACTTGCGCAGGTGTCTTTCCACTCCACGTTTGCCTTGGTTGACTTGCTGATTTAAATAATAATGTAATGGCGCTTTGATATTAGTGAAAATCGCTATAAATATACCAAAATTTGTGGGGGTTGGATAAGGTAAAATTGAGGTTAGGCGAAATCAACTTTGGAAAAACAATTGTGCACAAGTACATGGGAATGTCTCCCGAGTGACCCATTATCGGTACAAATTTATTATTATTATTAAATTCATGTGTGCAGGTATTACAATGAATGAATGAAATTTTGCATTTCAAAATTTCATTGGTGAAGGACAGAACCCAATGTATGTATACCATTTGAATTTGTCTTAATTTCATGACATGGACTGATTTAAGGGCTAGTAATTTCTAGCAGAAATTTTGGTGAGCTGTTTCGTGTTCATTGATGATGGAAAAACAAGAAGAAAAACCTGTTTGTTTTCAAGCGTCAAAGTGTAGCTCACTGAATCTGTCATGCAAAAAAAACCACACAACGGCACATGAGCATGTCTGAGTGCAGGCTGTAGGGAAGCAAATTTATACATGTACCTAGCAAACCCGAGCTGGCCGAGCATACACAATGTTTTTTTTCACAGTGATAGTTTGGTTCGAACCATTGTTAGGACTGATACAAAATTCCTGTGTCCTTGACAATGACAGTATACCTTGCGCTACTAATTCACAGGTGTCTTGAGACTAACTATTTAGTCTCAATCAAGCAAGCTATATCATAATATTTTTGGCAGTTTCGTTTTAGAATGTTTGCAAATGGCATAATTTACCTTAAAACTTTACATTTCTAGTACAAAATTCCATCGATGGAGTTTAGTCAGATTGACATATATATGGGCAAGTCAAGCGTCACGGACATTAAATATCTGACCTCGTTTGGTAATTTAAATAAACCTTAAAGTGTATTTTTCGAATCTTACCTATCCATCATCTAGTATAAATGCTCAACGACCTTACAGACTAGGAGTTTTGCATTATTTCTCTTAATTAATCTTAAGCAAACAGATAGCACAGTTAATTTGCTCTGTCACGGACATTGCATTTTCCGCCACAATAATGGAATTGCCTATTGAGTTATTTATACTCTGTAGCTTTTTTTTCTTATATTTGTACCACTTCTTGTTTGTATCTCTGTTTTTATCATTCTGTCTCTTTTGAAGGTAGAGTGCAGGGTTTCCCAAAAATAGAATAGAAAATCAACATTGGTGTGTACAAAATGTACCGTTCCCTTATATAAATATCTGGGAAAAGTAAAAAAAAATAAAAAAATAAGGTTCTGTTAATTGAAGTGCCTTTAATAATATCTGCAACTTTGTTGCTAGTTTTACCGTTTGCATTGTGTGTGAAAAAGGATATGGAAAAAGTAAATGGTAATAGTTTTCTTTTTCGCCTACCATATTTCTTATAACTTGAGGTAACTTTGACGTCATTAGGATGTGGACAAAACCAATTTGTAATTATGACTGTTTTATCAGCGATGTGTGCTGCAGTGATGAATTATATCTGTAATTTAAACCTAATCATACCTTGTGAAAACATCGCTTCATTTGTAATTTATTACTTCTCCGAAGAACAGTATAGCACTGTTATTAATATGGGGCCATTTTTGGACCCTTTGTAGATGTGTACTTAGATAAACATTGTGTGTAAAACATTTTAAAATAATGCGTTTCCTGATCATAATCATACGTTTTTTTTTGTATATTTAATGTACATTAGTGTTGAAAGACTACCGAATTTCGGTGTAAACATTTCCTGTAAAGTTTAAAGGAAACAATGTATTAAGTTACAGAACTATAAATTGTACATTTCGAACTCCGGTGTAAACATTTCCTCTGACAATACCAAAAAACTAATGTCTTTATATAGTTACAGAACTAGAAAACATGAAAATATGTACTTAAAATTTGGTTATGACTTTGTGTTATCTCCTGCTGTTGTTTTTAAATATCATTTATTTGACATTGAGTAATGAGTAATGAAAGCATAGAAAAAAATGATATACTTAATTATTGAATGAGCCGTTTGGGAGGACAGAAGGTGAATAAAATAAATTCAATTCCTCAAAAGTGATATTGTTTGTATACTGAAGTATAATTATTTGTACTGTCACAATAGAAATATTCGAAAGAAAAGACTTTGTTTATCTGATATTAATAGTTTAAAATTAATTTTCAGTTATCTTGTAAATTAGGGGCGACTATAAGTGCATTAGGTCGCCCCTAGAGGATCCGACGATGACGTCACTAACGTGCATTAGTCATAACTACCTCGGGGGGTCGACCATTCGGTAGTGCAATAATTATCGCCCCTAGGGGCACAGGTGACAACACAAACATGCACACACAAACTCTTGTTTTACTATACTCCCGTAATATAACACTCTCCCATGACTAAACACATTAACAATCGCCCCTAGAGGTACTGATGACGACACAAACAAACACACCTTTACGGACGACCTTAATGGTCGCCCCTAGAGGTACTGATGACGATACTAAACGAGCATACCTCTAGGGGCGACCATCAATGATCGCCTCTAGAGGTACATACCTCTACGGGCGCCCTTTATGGTCGCCTCTAGAGGTACAAACCTCTACGGGCGACCATCAATGATCGCCCCTAGAGGTACTGATACCTCTACGGGCGACCATCAATGATCGCCTCTAAAGGTACATACCTCCACGGGCGACCTTAATGGTCGCCTCTAGAGGTACATACCTCTACGGGCGACCATCAATGATCGCCCCTAGAGGTACTGATCACGATACTGAACGAGCATATACCTCTACAGGCGACCTTAATGGTCGCCCCTGGAGGTTCCTACATGTACGGGCGACCATCAATGATCGCCCCTAGAGGTACATACCTCTACAAAAATCATTATTTTTGACTGATTTAATCCCAAATTTTCGTCGAAATTTCATTTTGAATAGCACATCTGTCCATAAATGTCATTCGAATATGTTCTAGGGTCCTTTAAGCATCTTTCAAGCAAGATTGAAAGCAATTTCATTTTCACCAAAATTGGAAAAAACACAAGGGGTAAGCCTTACTTTTTTGATGAAATTTTGTCAAAAAATGAATTTCCTCCAAACTATGCAGAAATACTTTTAAAGGCAAGAGGAGCATCAATCAACATTCAAACACCCAATATATTGAAGATTTAGGCAAATACCATGGATTTTTAGAGAAAAACATATTATTTTTGACTGATTTCACCCCAAATTTTCGTCGAAATTTCATTTTGAAAAGCACATCTGTCAAGAAATCGCATCCGAATATGTTCTAGAGTCCTTTAGGCCTCTTTCAAGCAAGTTTGAAAGCTATTTCATTTTTTCCCAAAATTCGAAAAAACACAAGGGGTAAGCCTTACTTTTTTTATGAAATATGGCCCAAAAAGTGACTTTTCTCCAAACTTTGCAGAAATTCTTTCAAAGACAAGAGGAGCATCAATCAACATTCAAACACCCAGTATTTTGAAGATTTGGGCAAAAATAATCGATTTTTAGAGGGAAAAAATCTTATTTTTGACTGATTTAACCCCAAATGTTCGTCGAAATTTCATTTTGAATAGCACAGCTGTCCATAAATCGCATTGGAATATGTTCTAGGTTCCTTAAGGCTTCTTTCCAGCAAGTTTGAAGCAATTTCTTTTTTGACCAAAATTGAAAAAAAAACACAAGGGGTAAGCCTTACTTTTTTGATGAAATTTGGCAAAAAATGAATTTCCTCTAAACTATGCAGAAATTCTTTTAAAGGCAAGAGGAGCATCAATCAACATTCAAACACCCAATATATTGAAGATTTAGGCAAATACCATGGATTTTTAGAGAAAAAATATTATTTTTGACTGATTTCACCCCAAATTTTCGTCGAAATTTCATTTTAAAATGTACATATGTCCATCAATCGAATTGGAATGTGTTCTAGGGTCCTTAAGGCATCTTTCCAGCAAGTTTGAAGCAATTTCTTGTTTTGAACAAAATTGAAAAAAACACAAAGGGTTATAAGCCTTACTTTTTTTGATGAAATTTAGCCAAAAAAATGAATTTCCTTCCAAACTATGCACAAATTCTTTTGAAGGCAAGAGGAGCCTTTGGAAAATGTTCTAGGTTCCTGAAGGCTTCTTTCAAGCAAGTTTGAAGCATCCTCATTTTTTCACCAAAATTGGAAAAAACACAAGGGGTAAGCCTTACTTTTTTGATGAAATTTGGCAAAAAAAGTGACTTTTCTCCAAACTATAATGCAAAAATTCTTTTAAAGGCAAGAGGATCATCAATCAACATTCAAACACCCAATATATTGAAGATTTGGGCAAATATCATGGATTGTTTGAGAAAAAAAATCATTATTTTTGACTAATTTCACCCCAAGTTTTCGTCGAAATTTCATTTTGAAAAGCACATCTGTCCATCAATCGAATTGGAATGTGTTCTAGGGTCCTTCAGTAATCTTTCAAGCAAGTTTGAAGCAATTCATTTTTTCACCAAAATTGGAAAAAAACACAAGGGGTAAGCCTTACATTTTTAATGAAATTTGGCCAAAAAATGACTTTTCTCCAAACTATGCAGACATTCTTTTCAAGGCCAGAGGAGCATCAATCAACATGCAAACACCCAATGTATTAAAGATTTTGGCGAAAATCATTGATTTTTAGAAGAAAAAAAGGTTATTATTCGAATTCGAGCATCAATCAACATTCAAACACTCAATATACTAAAGAGTTGGGCAAAAATCATGGATTTTTGAGGAAAAAAATATTATTTTGGTCTGATACCACCCCAAATTTTCGTCGAAATTTCTTTTAAAAAGCACATCTGTCCATAAATCGAATTGGAAGGTGTTATTTTGTCATTTAGGCATCTGTCCAACAAGTTTGAAGCAATTTCATTCTTTGACCAAAATTGAAAACAAAAAACACAAGGGGTAAGCTAACCCCTTGCCACTTTACATTTTTTGGAAAAATCACAGTTTGCAGAATTCTCATAAAAACTTGAAGGTTATCCCTTGCCAATTAGAATTTTCGCAAAAAAGCCTTAAATTGTTGGGATTTCTGTATCAAAATTTAAGGTTAACCCCTCGTAGGGCATAGCCTATATATATTATTTTTGCAAAAAAAAAAATGAAATGTTGGGACTTTTCCGTATAAATGTACAAATTAAAATTTTGAGAAAAATGAAAGGGAAAATTTTGAAAGCGAAAAAACCCCCAAAAGTGTGCAGAATTGTAATAAAAATGTAAGGTAACCCCTTGCCAATTCGAATATTGGAGAAAGGTGAATTTCGGAGCATTTAAAGCATAATTAGGTTTGCCCCGAGTGAAAGTTGGAAAAAATCACTCGGGACTCGAATCCACGACCTCCTACTTTCTAGTGCAGACGTCTTACCACTCGATCACCGAGCTTCCGTGGATCGGTAGGCTGGTTCGAATCTGATGTACATGTACATAGCAGCAGGAACTGTGAATGGGAATAGAGTATGTTGTTTTTATTCCATGAAAGTTGACTTTCGTTCGGACTAACGTATTTTTCGCACTGAACACACTGGGTTGTTCGGGCTATATTATTTCAATTGTTCGACAATTTCTCTTGACATTCAACATTGTTATATCAGTTTAAGTCACCAGATGTTATATATCAGTTCGATACATCGGGTATTTTTTACAGTTATCGTCTGGAAATCGAGTATGTTGTTTTTGTTCAATGAAAGTTGACTTTCGGTCTGACTAGTGTATTTTGGGCTCTGAACACACTGGGTTGTTCGGACTTTATTATTTCAATAATTGAACATTTCTTTTCACATTCCACCTATTGGTGTTATGTCAAATCACTAGGTGTAATTTAAGTTCAACACAGGAGGTATTTCTTGAGTTATCGTCTGGAAAACGAGTATGTTGTTTTGTTACATGAAAGTTGTTCGGACTATAGTGTAGGTGTTTTTTTTTTGGCGCTGAACACACTAGGTTGTTCGGGCTATATTATTTCAATTAGTAGACAATTTCTTTAGATATTCAACAGACTTGTGTTATTATATCAGTTCGAATCACCAGATGTAATTTCAGTTCGATACATCGGGTATTTCTAGTGTTATCGTCTGGCATTGCTTTCGTGCCATGAAAGTTGACTCATATTCGCCTTGTATTTTTCCCGCTTAATAAGTAGCATTGTTTTGGTAAT